CTAATATATGTTTCTGAATGTTTTTATTCTAAATATTTTACTATGTTTTGTTCTAACTTCAGTTCAAAATTCAATATTTTTTGAGAGTAAATATTTTCATATTCCTTATCTTCATTTAGAATATAATCAATTGTCATTTAAATCTTTTTTTTTTTAAAAAAAAAATATAAAAAAAATTAAATAAAAAATTACTTTTTTAATACATTTATCTTCTTCAGAATCATTATCCCTTATTTTCCACAATAAGTTATATTATTAGTTATTAGGAAAAAATTTATAATTATAGAAATATTAAAATAATTATTAATCATTTTAAATTAATTCTTATTAAATGATTTGTTATCCGTTTTCTTATTAAATATTTAAAGTTGATTATATGTTCAAATTTTAAAAATTCTAAATGTTTTAAGTATACAAATTATTTTCTGTTAAAGCACTATTAATATTTTTATTTGATAATGTATTTTATAAGTTTTCTTTGTTTATGTTATAATCTTGACTAAATATTGAATTGTTTTTGCTTTTTTGAAGTTGTATTTCTTAGTTAATATTTTATTCAGGATATATTTATTGCCTTTATTAAATTATCTAGCTTTTTTGGATTTCTATATTTTAATATCCCTAATTATCATTTTCTTTTTCATTAACATTTTAGTTTTCTTTATTGTTAATATTTTCATTTTAATTTTAAAATAAAAATTATTAAATATTTTTCTAAAGTTGTTCACCGTTTTCAAGAGGAATCGTATTTAATATATTATTTATTCTTTAATAAAAATCTTTAAATAAATATATATGAAATTAAATAATATATTTATATAAGTAATATTTATTTTAAAATATTTTATACCTTCAGATACTTCTTATTTATTTTAAACAAGATCCTAAACTTTTTAAGTTATCTAAAATAAATAATATTTAAATATATAAAATGAAAAAAATACATAATTAGAACTCGTATTAGTTTTAGATATTATTTTAGAATTAGAATTATATACTTCTTAATTTAAATTATCTATCTATTTTTTATTTTTTTTTATAAATTTCTAACATAATTTTACATTTTGGTTGTCTATATTTTATTAATTGTTTCCTTATAATTAATTTAAATTATTTTATTCAAATGATTTATTTGCTTAAATAATTTATTTTGGTATATTAATATCAATAATATTTAAATTTTTACTTTCTTTTTATTTATTTTCTTCTTTTTGATTAGATTATAATTCTTAATTACTTGAATAATTTTTTTTATCTTTAAAGTTAAATAACCTTCGTTTCTATATTTTTTTTATAATTATTATTAATTGTTTAATAAAATCTTTTTAGGATTTTCTTACTAGTTTTCTTCTTGACTACATTCTAAAAAAAAAATATAATAGAGAAAAAAATATATATAAAAAAAAACATTTATCTGGTGAATTAGCATCTATAATATAATTATCAATAATAATAACATTTTTATCATCACTTCTATTTTTAGAAAGACTTTATTAATTATTATTTATATTGATTAATTCATTTTTTTTTTTCTTTTTTTTCTTTATCTTATTAATAATTGATGATTTACTCTTTTATTTAATTCAATTAATTTAATTTTTTTTCTAAATCTTAGATAATTCTTAAATGTTTATTTACACTAATTTAAATTAAGTTTTATAAATCTTTCTACTATATATTTATTTCTTTTATTTTATGCTGTTTTTCTAATGTTTATTTAATCATCTAATTCTTTTCATTTTCAATTAATTATAATTTAATTTTTAAATTCTCCTCATATTATTTCTTTATACTTTCTTGTACAAATATTTTTTCATTTTCAAATTTTTTTTAATAATTAAGTTTTAATAATTTTTCCTTTTTTTTAATTCAATATCAATATCTTATTAAAAGGCCATTTTGATTTCATTTTTTATTTATTTTATTTTACTTACATTTAAATTTTCAGCTTAAATTTATTCCAATTTCAACTTATATCTTTCTTTTATTATATCTTCTAACGAATCTTCAATACAAAGTTTTTTTGTTTTAAATGGTTTTCTTTTTTTTCTATTAATTCTTTTTTTTATTAGTATTGTTAAAATATATCACTTTTATTATATATATTTTCTATTTTTTAGTCTAATTGCAAATCTAATTATTATCTAATCTAATTCTAATTATTTTATAACTAAATTCTGTATTTTTGACTAAGCTCTTTATAAATTTATTATTCAATCTTTTTTTAATAATTTATTTAAATATTTTTTTTAATTTTTTTATTCAAACTATAAATTAATAAAGTTTACTTATGGAATTATTTATTAAACCTAAAGAAGGGCTTTTTCAATTATTTCTTGGTTTTGTTGCATTAATATTAAATAATTATATTTTTAATATTTAAAAATTTCGCTGTTGTATAATTCTTTTTTATAAATACTAATATAAAATTATATTTAAATAATAATAATTATATTTATTCTTTAAAAATGATATAATTTTTATATAAAAACCAAAAAAATGATATTAAAATTATAAATAATGTATTAATATATTAGTTGGATATTTTTATGAAATTAATAGAGACTTAAAAAATAAAAAATTAATATTAAATAACATAACAAATTTTTAAGATCATTTTAATCAATTAAGTATTATTTAAATATTGCTAATCTAATCTATAAAACTACAATAAAATAAATAATTAATAATAATTGTTTTATTAACAATAATATGATATAAAGTTAAGAGGTGTTACACTAAAAATTAAATAACAATTGCTGTATAAATAATAGTATAATTTAAAATTAATTGAACAAGTTGTAAATTTGTGATGTTTGTGTTTTTAATTAATAAAAATGTCTAAAACGATTTGATATAATTATTAGAAATTCAAATATTATAACTTAGCTTAATAAAGATTTAAATTTAAATGAAATAAAACTGTTTTTAAATAAATTATGGTAAAAACATGTTCGATAATTTGAGAAAAAGAAAAATTTATTTTTAAGTAATATTGAAAAATATAATGATGTAATAATTTAATTAATACAATATGAAGGAATAATAAAGAATATAAATTTAAACTAAAAATAATGGAATGACTGTTAAATTTTAGGTTCTTATTAAAGCAAAAATACTAAATAAATAATCGAAAATTATAATCAAAGCTTAGAATTTCTTTAAAAAATAAGGCTAAATTAATAAATGGACCAGTACTTAATATTGAATAATATTAAAGAATTGTTTAAAAAACAAACTCAATAATATGATAATTTATTATAGAAATACAAGTAAATTATATATTTATTAAAAAAATTCTATATTTATACATTATATAAAAAGTTTATGCAATATTGTAACTTTAAATTCTCTTTAAAATTTTCTTGATTAAAATTTTTGCGATTAATTTCTAAATTAATAAATTTAAATTGTTTAAACTAATACATTATGGAACTTAGCAGGATTCGATTTTATTTTAAGAATAACTAATATATAATTTATTCACTAAATATATATTATAAATAAATTTTTTAAATATAAAACAAATTTTTACTATTAAGTGTATTTATTTTAGGATTAGTATTAGTTTAATTTTGAAAAATTCTTATATTAAATTTAAGTTTTATAATTTTATTAAATACATAATTTATAGATATATTTAAAAAAAATAATTTTAAAAGAAGATGAAGTTAGTAAATTATTCTAATGTATTTAAAATTTCTCCTGCCTTGAGTATTTTGGATTAAGTATTAATATTTAAGGAAAAATGAGTTACAATCTAACTAATTTGCTTTCTTAATTATTAGTAAAAAATATGTTTTCTCTTAAAAAACTTTCTTTATCATTTTAAAACTCAAATTAAAGTAAAGAGTCGTTTATAATTATAGAACCTTTAATAAATGGAATAAGCTAATTATTTTATTTAGAGTTTTTATATATTAGCTTAAAAAATAATTAGATCAATAAAAAAAACGGATTAAGCATTGGAAAAATGTTTTATCTTTTAAAAAATATTTAAATAATTTGTATTTATTTAGAAAAAAACAAATTAGAAAGTAAAGCATGTATTTAAATTGTAAAAAATATTAGCAGCTTGTAAAATATTAAATATGTCTCTTTAAATTTTGAAGATAATTTGATTACTGACGAAAAGAAGCAAAAATTAAAATAATTATTTAAACAAAAAATCTAAATTTAGTTAAAAAAACAATTAATTTTATGAATAAAAAAACAATTTATGGATTAAAATATTATTATTATTTATATTTTTATTGTTATTTCTTTTTAAAATAAATATAATTAATTTATTAATAAAAATAAAAAAAGAATAACCATTCTTATATATAAAAAAATATCATTTATTTTTATATAAAATTCATTTATTAAATAACATTTTCCTATATTTCAAAAATACTTTTCTTCCAACTAAATTTACATCATTTTCTTTAACTTCTTCTTACTAATTTTCCTAAAAGAAGATTCCATTTGAAAATAAGGCTTTGATTTTACCACTTTTGCCAAACGCACACTAAATTTTCCCTACATTCCCGAAATTCTCAATATAAATACTTTTATTTAAAAATAACTCAATTTTCGTTTCTTTTTTAAACATATCCTTAATAATAATAGTAAATCCATCACAAACTTTTTCTACAGTTCCTTCTCTTGTTTTTTCCCTAAAAATTTTCAACTTTTTATCTTTATTAAAATCTCCTTGAACCAACGCGACGAGAGCGTTTCCATAAAAACCCAACCTACATAAATTTGATGAAACATCAGTATCAAATTTTGAACAAATAAAAAGCGTACCAGCACTTGCGTACATTTCTTTTTCGAATTCTATTAATGCAAAAAGTTATTCATCAGCCTTTTTTTATTATATATATTCATCATAACATTCCACATATTCATATTATTTATTAAAATCGAAAATATACCCGCCTTTTTTTTTACCACCCTCATCAAAATTTATATTCACTTTTATTGATTCTAATTCTTTTTATTCTTCTATATTTATCTCATGTTTGAATAATTTTATGCTACCCATACATGTAAAATGACAGGTTGTTATATGGTATTTTCCTTTAGATTTTATCGGATATTTGAAGTAATTTACTTTATTAACCTTTGTATATAATTATATATAACTTTTATAAAAAAAATACAGGAATAATTGAATATTTAGTAAATTAAGCTATTCCTGGTGTGCATGCTATTCCTCTTTCAATTAAATTATGGTCTAATTATGTAAAAAGGATGGCTGCACGATCTCCTTAAATAATCTAATTTACTGGTTTTTTGAACATTTGCATTGACTTGGATTTTTTTGTTTATTTTATTAATGGAAATTCGACTTCTTAGCCTGAAGTATGCGAACCTTAAATAACAGTACCTGTAATGACACTTCCTTTGCCTTTAATAGGAAAACAATGGTCTATTAAAAAATAAAAAGGACCATCTTTATTCCTTTTAGGTATTTCTATTTAATCTAAAAGACAATCAATTAACAACTACATATTTTTATTTTCATTTTCGACTGCTGAAACTGGAATTATAGGAACATTTTAACCAAATTTAGTTTTTTAAAATACTTTCTGCAACTATTCCTTTTTTTTTATTATTATTTCTTCTCGTTTTTCTATAGGTTATATTGTATCTATTTTATTTAAAACCACAATTAATTTCTATATTAAAAGTTCAGCTGTATTTTTTATAATTATAAAAAAACAATTTTTTTAATAAAAAAATTACCAATAACTAAACATTCAGCAGTTTATGTTTAAATTCCTTTGTTTATATCAATTACTAAAAACATTATATCTATTATGGATGCACCTCCTAATATTGTCTTTATTAATGATGCATGTCCAGGGCAATCTACGAGTGTGAATTATAAATATTCAGCTTTTAATTATTCCCGAAATTTTTCAGGATTTCGTGTGAAAAAAGCCGAAAAACCTAAATCTAGGGTTATACCTCGCTCTTAGCTTTAAGGATTTTTATCTAAAGATGCTGTAGATGTTATTTTACTTAAAGCTTTTGATAAACTGGTTTTTCCACTATCTATATGTCCTAATACACCTTTTAATTGTTTATTTTTATATATATTTTTATTTTATTTTGTAATTAAATTTATAAATAAACCTATGTTTATATTAAAAGTGGATTAAGGGGTTATTTTTTACATTTCTTCTTCGGTAAATGCATATCTGTTGAATTCCTTTGATTCTTCCATTATTTTTTTATTTGAATTTTTATTTTTTGTGTTTTAAAGCAGAAAAATAAGATTATATTTATAATTATTAATTATTATATTAATGTGTATCTTATTATTTATTAAATTATTAAAAAATAAAAAATAAATTATATACTTTATTCTAAATTAATGAAATATAAAAAAAAATAACAATGTATTATTATTAAATTATTAAAATAATATTATCATATTCCTTAAGACTACCTCATAACAACAATATAAAAAAGAGAAACGATTCCCGTAACTAGCATATAATTAAACAAACAAAAAGAAAAAGAAACCTCTATAAACTAATTAGTATAAAATCCAAACTAATTAATAAGTTTGAAAAGATTCCTTGCGTTTTAAAAATGTTCCTAAAAAAAATTACTATCTCTATTTTAATCAACAATATTATCATATTTCCCCCCTTATTAAACATATCCTCCATTAAAAATATAGCATCTATATAACACCAAAAACACAAAAATTAAAGGAATAACAACTCTACAAAATAATTAATAAGTAATAAGTACCATAACTTATACATAGGCCGAAACTTTAGCTCTAATCGACTCGAAAGTAATAGTATCCGAATCATTTACTAAAACTTTTAGATTCTCATATCCTTTTAGCATATATAATTGTAATTGATATTTTAAAGTTCCAGCTAAACACAAGCAATGGATAAAAATTAATATATATCTGAAATATTAGACTTAAAAGTACTAATTATGCCCTATAATATCCTCTATAACTACCCTGAGAGGTTTTAAATAAAGTAATATAACCAATAAATTAGTTAATAATGCAAAATTTAATAAATAAAAATTCTTTTTGTGGAATTTTAGGGTAAGACCTGTGTGTAAGTTGATTGTTTTTTCTAAATTAGCCTCCTCTTATCCTTCTTCTTATTATTTGATTTCTTCACTTTCTAAATCTCCCTTAATTAAATATTACATATTATTCACATAAGTAAGACTAAATCTTATCAAAGAAGGTGCGACGCTAAATACAACTAAAGTATTAATAAAAATTCCAAACAATTAAAAAGCTTCAACAGACATTTCAACTGGTTTTACTTGTAAAGCTTTTTAAAATTATTCTTTTATGTGTTAGTTTTAGTTTTTAACTGCATTAGAAAAATCTATATCTATTAATTCTTTAAAACCGAAAAAAAGCACAGAAATTAAAAGATTAGAAATAAAAGAAACTAAAAAAGACACTTTTGAATCATAACTTTTCATACCAGCTATTTTTACAGATTTTAGTAAATAATATATCGTTATAAATTAAGCCATTACTCCTATTATAAATAATAAGTTGCTATAAGTGTTAAATTTTAAGATTTAGGGAATATTTGTCTTATTTATTATAAATGATATTATTAAATGTATGAAAAAACATGAAAATAACATTATTGTAAAATCTAATTCTCTCATATAGGCTGTTTTGTAAAAATAACTGAAATTCGACTTTATCATTTTTAATGGAAGTAATGGTTTTTTCTATTTTTAATTTTTAATTTTAATTTTAATTTTTAATATTTAATTTTTTACTCCTTTAGGATTTTTAGAAAATTTTTCTTATTCTTTTCTTAATTCTTTTATTTCTTTCTCGTCAGGGGGAAGAAACACTAATATGTCTTTTGGAATAAATAGAAAATTAGGTTTTCGTGTTTTTAATTAAAAATATATAAAGAGTAATATAATAAATATTATTAAATCAAATGATAATATTGCCATTTTTTTATTAAAAAAAATTAATTTAATTAAGATTTTTTTTATATATTTAAGAAAAATATAATATTTTAAATTTGAAATAATATAAATATATTTTATTTAAATAAAATATTTATAAGATTATCTTAATATTAAAAATTAAGAAATAATATGAACATATAAATATTAGTAATAAAAAATTGATATAGACTGAAATATAGATTAAAAAAAATAATTATTTGTAAAATAGAAAACATAAAATAAAAATTATAAATAAAAAAAAATTATAAATATTTTATTAAAAAAATTTAATATTTAAAAAAAAAAAAATTATTAAATAATGTATTTATTAAATATAACAATATTTTAAAAATGAATATATAGAGAGTTACAATAATTGATTTTTTTTTATTAATTAAATAAGGATAATATTTATAAAGTATATATATTGATATATTTAATAAAGAAAATCAAAAATAATACTATATAAATTCTTATATAAAAAAACATAATAAAAATTAATAGGAGTCATTTATTAAATATAATTAAAAAGATAGAGAAATAATAATATTAATTTTTTTTATCATAAAAAAAAAAAAGTAAAAAACTCAACATTATATATATATATATATATATATATATATATATATATATATTATAAAATATTTTTATATTAATATATAATTATTTACTTTAAATTTATTTATTTAAAAAAAAAATATTTAAATTAATTTTTTTTATATAATTTATATTTTTTTAATAAAAATCATATTTTAAATTAAGCAGAAATTTAATATAATAAATATTAATTTATTAAAGATTTAAATATATATGATATTTTATTTAAATATTTATAATATATTACTTTTTAATTATATAATGAATATTTACTAATCTAAAATTTTATTAGTAAAATATCTAAAAAAATTATTTATATATTTTTATGTAACATTTTTTATTTTTTTTATGTATTTTTCTAATTTTTTATAATTACATATTTATAATTATTTTTTATTATATAATTTTATATTTTTAATAATAATTATATTCTATCTATTAAGTTTGAATAATATTAGTTAAATTATATAATTTAATTTATCATCTTAATTTATTTAATTATAATATTTACTTATTATTTTATTAACCTATTCCAATTATATTCATTTTTTTCATTAAATAAATATTATATTTATTCAAAAAATTATATATTGATTTATTTTTAATATATTTTAGTTTAAATATATTTTATATCTATAAATTCATATTAATTCTTTAAATGCCTTTGTTGTTTATTTTTATATATCTATTTAAAAATTCTTAAATTTTATATCCATAATTATTGTTAATTATTTTTTGATATTTATATTAAAAAAATAATATTATAAATTCTTTAATTTTTTTTTTTATAATAATATATCAATATATTTACTATATTACAATTTTACGTTTTTAATTAATATTTACTATTTCATAATAATATTATTAATTAAAAATAAAATTAGATCTTTAACAAAAATTGATTTTTTTAAATCATTATAATTATATATGAAATTAATAAAATAAAAAAAAGTATTTTTTAAAAGTTAAATTTTTATAAATATTTTGTTAATAGTTAATAATTTAATTATTTTCAGATTTTTATTTGTTAGATATAGAGAAATAAAATATGTTTTTTGAAAATAATTTACATTTAATTATGTTTTTATTTTTCATAATTGCCTATTCACATTTAAAAATTTCTTGTATTTTATTTTCATAATATTGTTGTTCATTGATATTTTTAATAAAAATCGCAAGCAATTAAATGATAATTTTTATTTATAATTTTTATTTATAGTTTTTTAACAATGTTTAATTAAAAAAGGCTATATTATGTTTTTTTACTATAATTAATATATTAGATTATTATAACGAAGCCACATTTATTGACCATATAGCTAATTTATTTATTTAAAAAATCTAAATAATCAATAATATTTATTAATTAATTATACAAATTATATAACAAAAATATTAAAATATTTAAATAATATTTTTTAAAAAATATTTTTTTAATCTTATATTTTTTTTTATTTTTATAATTAACTACTAAAAAATACAATATTAATATTAAAAATATGAAATGTATAAATTTAATAAATAAATCATTAAAAAAACTTATATAATTAAATACATTCTTATTTCTTATAAGATAATATAAAAAAAATAATTAAATAAATATAAGATAAAATTTAATAATATATTTTATAATAAATAAAAATAATATTAAAATTTAAGTATTTTATAGTAAATATATATTAAATAATAAATTTAATATATATATTTATATATATATATTTAATAATTAAAAATATTTTATTATTAAAACTATTTAAATACATTATCTATTTTATTTTATTTTATTTTAAATTATGTTTATTTAAGCTTTTTTTAAATTTTTATTTAAATTTGCAAATATTTTATTTTTATTTATTTCAGGGATAATTATATAAAAAAATATTCGATTCACAAAATTATAAGTATAGTAAATTTTATTTTATATTTTATTAATTTATATATTTAATTTTGTCTGATTTCATTTTTTTGTCTTTAGTTGTTTAATAAATTATAAAATTAAAGATATAATATATATAATTTTAAAATTTTTATTAAATTAAAAATCATTTAATATGTTTATAATAATATTATTACATTTATAACTAATTTAATTTTTTTGTTCAAATAAATTATGAATTATATAATGCATTTTAGAAATAAATTTTACTATTTAATATAAATAAAACATTATTTTCTTAACAAATTTTTAGTTTATATAATAAATTAGGTATTGTCTTTTACTTTAATTCATAAAAGTTCACAAAATATTTATTTTCTTTATTTACATTTGCTAATTATTAAAATACTTCTTTAATATCTTTATTATTTTCAAGAAATTATTTATATTCAATCAAATAATATGGTATAAATTCTAAATAAATAATATAAATTATAAAGAATTATTATATTTTTTTTTTAAAAAAAACCTTTGATATTTTATTATTAATATTTTTCATTATGAACCAAAAATTTGTTTAAAAACTTAAAGTTTAATCCTACTTTATTATCAACTTCTTATAAATAATCTTAATTATTTAATAAACTTTAAATATTTTCATTTAAATTTTCTTTTATATATTCTTAAAAATCCTCCAAATTAAATCCTTAAAATTATTAAAATTATGCAATTTCAAAAATACTATTAACTAAAATATAATAATAATAATAATAATAATAATAATAATATTAATAATAATAATAACAACATACATTATAGAATTTTATTTTTAATAAGTATTTAATGTGTATGTAATATAATTTTAATCTAAAACTTAAGATATAAATCTAATAAAAAATCACACATTTTGCATTCGTTTTCATCAAAAGATAATTAAAACTAGTCTATAATTAAAACAGGAATAATTTTGTTTTCATTAAAAGTACTAATAGTCTATTTTAACTAATCTATATTTTAAAACCCTAAAGATTATTCAATATCTTTTTAATTAATAATTGTTTTTTATAACTTTATATATAATGCAGGTTCTTTGTTTTATATTTCTTTCGTAAACTCTTAAAGAAAATACTAACATCCTTAATCTTCTTCAGAAAATAAAATCTTAAAGTATTCTTTTTCTTCTAAAAGTTAATTTTTGTAATAAACATGGCTATATTTTTCAATTTAAGAGGTAAATTTTAATATTTTGGCGTATAATAAATGTTTTATTCGTAAAACTTTGAGGAAAAGTTTACTTCTGTCAATCCTAAGAGAGAGAAGTTTACATAATTTTATGTTTTTAATTCATTTATTATTATAAATAAAAACAATGAAAATTTTAATACCAAAATAAATCTTATTTTATCTTTTTAAGGAATTTACGAATTCCAAATACTTAAAGAAGCATAAATTACTAAAACTGTAATATTTATAATAAATAAAAATTAAAAAAGCATTTTATTTTTATTTATAAATATAATATTTTTATATAGTAAATAAAAAAATATATAATAAATAATATTTTAAATAATTTTTTTTATTTCTTTAGTTTTTATTATTATTATTTTATTTTTTATAAATGATGTGTAAAAAATAATATATTTTTTTTGTTTATTTTTTTTTAAAAAAATATATTTAAATTCTTTCAACTGTTTTATTCCTCTAGTTACATAGATAACTAAGTAGTCAAATTTTATGCCAATTATTCTGCTTCAGTTAAAATAACTTCGTATGATTTTTTCTCATCTTATGGACAACTTTCTCTATTAATAATTTCCTTTAAAAATAATAAAATTAAATATACATATTTTTTATTTTAAACAATATATATATACATTTAATAATGTAGAACATCCTTAAATATTTTAAGCTGCTATTTAATATGATGCATTTTTCAAAACAATCTGTAAATCTTTATTTAGGTTTAATTTATTTAGTTAGTGAATTATATGTTAAAGTTAGTATATTGTTATTGATTTTTTTTACTCAGACGTCAACTAAAAATATATATAAAAGTTTTTCATATAATAAATACCTAATTTTATAATTGATAATAAAGCTATTATTATTAAATATTTTGTTATTAAGCTATTTAATTCTAAAGTTATTCTTTCTATTACTATTACTAAGCCAATACATCCTAATATTATTACGCAAGAATAAGTTATTATTATTATATTTAACTTGCCTTTTTAAAAAGATATAAATTAAAATAAAATATATATATATATATATATATATATGTATAATTTTTATACATATATATATATATATGTATATATATATATATATATATATATATATATATATATATATGTATATTAATACTGAATTTGCTACTGTTGGTTCTCCGTGTGAAAAATAACAAGTTTGCCCGTATTTACATGCCCCAATGTCATTATATTTACATCTTATTGATTTATATGTTTATGTTTATACGGGTTGAGCTGGGGTTTATGTTAGAGTAGCTAATGAAACCAATACTGTAGGATCTTTTATGGGCTATAAATTATTTAAAAAGAAAAGGGGAATAAAGAATATATATTTTTAAAAAAAATTAAACAAATAAATAATTTAAAAAATCGTAAAACATCATTAGGATTTCGCAATTCTTCTTATCCGTGTGCAAAATGACATTTTGAACCAATTTAACAACTTCCAGCTTTTTTTTTTTGTCATTTTTTGAGCTTTTTTTTTTTTTACTTGTAGACCAATGTCGACATAAACTTGTTTTATATTTTTATATCATTGCTGCGTATGTTGGTATCAATTTTTTTTTTTTTTATTAATTTAATATTATTTTGATTATTTTGATTATTTTTTATATTTTTTAAAAGTTTTTGCTTTTATTTTCCTTTTTTTATTATTTTAATTTTATATTTAATATTTTTTTTTTAATAAAATATATGTCTACATTTTTAATTAATATATAAAAATTAAAGGATTTTAATATAAAAAATTGTATTAAAGAATAAAAAAATAAATGTAAATTATAAATTTTTAAAAACATATAAAATATTATTATTAAATATAAAAATTTAATTTTATTAATTAAAAAAAAAAATTATAATTAATTTTAATAAACATTTTAACTTATTTAAATATTAACCAATATTTTTTAGAATATCAAAATATAGTTTTTTAAAATATATGTTTGTTTTTAATAATGTATTAAAAATGATTAAATATAAAAATTCTTTTTTAAATAACTATAATATTTTTAATTACATATAGTATAAAATTTTTATAATATAATTATACATCAAAAAAAAAATTATAAAAATAAATAATTAATTATTTTGATAAAATATATAAAATATGAATAAATTAATATAAATTTTCTTACAATTTTATAATATTAATATATTTATTTTAATTAAAAAAAAAAAATTAATGTTTATAAATAAAAATTATTTTTTATATTAAAATAAATATGTATAATTAAAAATCTAAATAATTTATTATAAAAATAAATATTAAATACATATGTTTGAAAAATAAATATAAATTAATATACATAAATATATATATATATATATATATATTTTACTTTATTACATATTTATAATTTATATAAGTTTTTTTTCAAATAAATTTAAAATAAGTTTATATATTTTAAGAAATTTTCAATTATAATTAATATAAATTAATTATTTTAATCATAAAAATAATAATAATATAATACTATTTATTCTTAAATACCTTTCTTTCCATTTTTTATAATTAATATACCATATATATTATTTAAATAAAAAATTATTACATAATATATCATATTCAATTAAATAAATTAAAGATTAATCATATAAAAATCTTTATTTTTTCTCCAAATTTTATTTATTTTGATTTATTATCTGAATATTTTTTAATAACAATATACTTATTTCTTTATTATAATATTAAATTACTAAATAATTATATAAATTTTTACTTTCATTTAAAATATACATTTAATGGATAAAAAATATACTATAATACCTATAAATTTATATTTTAAATAATACATGATATAGGTAATGATAAAGTCTATATGAAAATGTTTTTAATATATAAATTCCTTCTATTTTTTCAATTATTTTCATTGTTCTACTTTTAATTGGTAGAACTACTTTCTCGGGGATATAAAATAGTTTTATTTTGGATTAATATAATACATAATGGGATGCTTTCTTTTAATTAAACTACAATAACAAGTAAATACTTTTATTATTTTTCTTAGTTAGAAAATTGTTATGTCTTGGGCATATGTCAATTATCACCCCATTTTATGTTTCTATGGTTGATAATTTGGATTTCTTTAGAGTCGATATAGTGCTTATATTTAAAAAATAAAATGCCAAGCTTATTATCTTATATTAACTGAAATTATAAAAGAATCATGACTATATATTATAATAAGTTTTATCAATTATTTTAAGTGTTATTTATTTTATTTTTTATGTAAAAACTTATTAAATTTTGTTGTTTTAGATTTTCCGCATTTATATCTGTTTTAAATTTATTTATTTTTAGATTTTTTACAAATTCCTTTTTTTATAATATTAAGATTTTTCAAGAAATTTTAATAATATTTTTTGTTTATTTATTTGAGAATTTTAATATATAATTTAAATTAAAATAAATTTTTAAAAGATAAAAATTTAATAGATAAAATGAGATATATTGCAATTATTTTTATATCTTTTAAGTCTTTTAAAATTTAATTTTAATATTTCTTATTTTTTTTTAGATAAATAATTAGGTTAAATAAAGTAAAATTGTTTTTGTTTAATACTTTTACAAATATAATAATAATATTTAGTTTAAATTTTTATATTAGATGATTTCTGATAATAGATTAGATAAACAATCTATAAAAAGATGATTATTTTTTTGTAATTTAAATAATATATATATACTATATTATTTTTAATTTATATTAAAAATAAATCAATATTTAATATAATAAATTAATATTTAAGAAATGAAATAATTTAAATATTAATATTGACGTATTTATATTTTTATATTAATATAAAAAAATATATATAAATAAATTTTTTAATTTTTTAAAAATATATTAAATATTTTTTCAATTTTATTAAATAAAAGAATATTTATTTTATATTTAAAAAAACAAAATGTAAAATAGTAAATATAAAGAATTATATAAAGAAATTGAAATTATAGGAAAAGGAAGTTTTGGTAAATAAATATATATTTAAATATATATATATAAAAATAAACATAAATATTTCTAGGCTCTGCAACATTAATAAAAAAAATATCTACAGATCAATTATATGTGGCCAAAAAGATAGAATTATCAAATTTATCATAAAAAGAATAACAAAAAGCAAAACAAGAAGTAATAAATAAAATAAGTAAATATTATTTATAAAAAAGGCAGAAGTATTAAAATAACTGGAACATCCAAATATAGTTGCATATGAAGATTCGTTTATTGAAAAAGATACATTAATAATAATTATGGAATATTGTGAAGGTTAAAATTAATTATTATTTTTAAAAATAAACAAATATATAATATTATATTCATCAGAAGGCGATTTATCATACCATATTAAATTGTAAATTGTAAATAGATAAAATTTTCCAGAAAGAGATATTTTAAATTGGTTTATTTAACTCTCTTCAGCCTTAATTTACATTCATTAAAAAAAAATACTTCATAGAGACATAAAGACATAAAATATATTCCTAGCACAAAATAATACTGTTAAAATAGGGGATTTCGGTATATCAAGAGTACTTTAATACACATAAGAATAAGCAATGTCAGTAGTAGGAACACCGTATAAATATTTTAAAAAATAAATATATTAAAAAATAACTATATATATATATATATATATATTTATTTATATTTACATTTATATATTTTATTTATGTTTCTTTGTATTTTTTATATAGATATTATATGAGTCCTGAATTATGTAAAAATCAACCTTATTCTAGCAAATCTGATATATGGGCACTTGGATGTGTTATTTATTAATTATGTGCTTTGAAAGTTAAAATAATTTTTTTTTTTTTTTTTAATAATTTATATATTAATTATTTCAGCTTCCTTTTGATGCAAATAATTTAATGGGTTTAATGTAAAAAATTATTAAAGATAAATTCTAAGAAATACCATAATTATATTCACAAGATATGCAAAGATTAATAGAGTATTTTATATTATAAAATATTTTTTAAACATATATACTATATAATAAAATAATTTAAAATAAAGATAAATATTAACAAAAGATGAAAAGTTAAGATCTAATTTAATGGACATTTTAAATTAGTAATTTTGTAAATAAGTAATGTAAGAATTCGTCAATTTAGAAGGTAACGCTTAGACAATAGTGTATAAAAAGACGCATACCAATGAAGAAATTTAGCGAATGTTAGATAAGTTGGATGAATCAAAAGAATCATCTTGTTAATATGCTGAATCTAATGATTTTTATTTATAAAGTAAAATAAATTCTATATATTAAGGGACTCTTTAAGAAGATGATTTAGAAGAATATGATAGTGATAAAGAATAATAGAAAGAATTAAAAAAAACAAAATAATAAATTTAATTATAAAATGTAGTTAATTAATATAAAGATTTAATTAATATGAAATTAGATAATAAATAATTAGAAAGTATTTATTTTATTATTATTTTATTTTATTTCAATTTCTTATTTTATTAGATATTTTAGAACAAAGTGTTGAATAATCTCCAATAAACATTTAACGTTAAAATAAAAATTGAGTTTTCATTAATCTTATTACTTATCAATTTAAAAATCTTTTTATATATTATTAGTTAGAAAAATAAATATTAACAAATGCTTATATAAAAATAAATAAATATTTTATATCTTATATATAAATAAATAAATATTTATTAAAAAAAAATAAGTAATTAGTTATTTTATTTATAAATTTTATAAAATCTATTTAAAAAATAATTATTAACAATTATTTTTTTTGTTAAACAGAAAAAAAAAAAAAATGTAAAGACCTCGTTAATGCACATTCGGTCCATAATAAGAAAGTATATAAATAAAATAATAATACATCCATTAAGAATAGACTAATGAAACTAAGCCATTAAATGAATTATAATAAAAAATTATCCAAACAGAAGAATCATATGATTCCTAATTTATTAGAAATTGTGATGAAGACATTCTTAAAATAATAAAAAAATACCAAATAAATTTTTAATAAGGAAAAGCTTTTTAATTTTAATAATTACAATAACATTAAAATATAAAAACTTGCCAAGAATGTATAATATGCAAACAAATAATAGATTTTTTACAAATATAAGTAAATGAAATGTAAGATCGGGAAATAAATTTCAAAAAAATGAACGATTGTTTACTAGAAGCTATAAAATAATAAAAATAAGACAATAAAATAAACAGCGAATAAATCCTAAAAGAAGAATATTTAAAAGATTTAAAAAACCTTAAAGAAACATCCAAAAACTAACAAATATTTTCCCAAAATTTGATAAAAGATCTTCTTTTAAGAATTGAAGAAATCGAAAATGCAAAAAAATAATTAGAGTTGTAAAAATAAAAATTAATATAAGAAAATGAAATTTTTCAAAAAATATTAAATGACCTTCAATAAGCTTTAAACGAAATAGAATTTAAAATAAAAAATAAAGAAAGAACTGAAAAAACATAAATAGAAATCTTAAATAACCAAATAATAATCCTTAATAATTAAATAGAAAAACTTTAGAATGAAAATGACTTTTTCAAAAAGAATTTTCCTTTATTAGAAAATGAAAATTAAGTTTTAAAAAAAGAAATTTCTGAAATTTCATTTTAATTATAAAATGAACAAAATTTGAATTAATAAAATATTCATCTTTTAAATGAAAAGGAAAGAAAAATATAATATTTAATTATTAATTCAAACAATTTTAATATTCTTGATACCAAATATTAGGAACTTCTTTTAGCTTTCAATAAAGAATAAAGCAAAAATAAAGAACTATCTTAATAATTAACGGATATTAAAAATTCGAAAAATAATGAATTTATTAATATTTAAAACAAATACTAGTAATTATTTTAAACTTTTAATTAATAATCTAATCTTAATTTTTAACTTAAAGATGATTTCGAAAAAAAACTAGTTCAAATTATTAAAGAAATCCTCAATAAAGATAAAAAAATTCGATAATTATAATCGAAAATAACTCTAAGTAATTTAATTACACCTAATTATAATTCATCTAAATCTATGACTACAAAAAAGAGAAGTTCTTTGACTCAGATATACGTAAATTAAAAAGAATCTTATATATTCAAATTAAAAAAAAATAGGAAAATAATAACAGAAACATAACAACGAAAACATAAATATAAGAAAAAGAAAATATATTAAAAAGTCCATAAAATAATAGCAAAGATTAATGTCGAAAAATAAAAACGACAATAGATTCTGGAGAAAATAAGGAAAATTAAAATTATTTATTAGAAGAAATGTATAAAAATACGTAATAAATTTTAAAGAAAAATTAAATTAAAATAAAAAATTTAAAAAATGAATTATATTAAATACTAAAATATTTTTTAATTGATAATAAAATTTATATAAATGAAAATTAAAAAGAAGAAAATAAATAAATGAAAATATTGTTAAATAATTTGTAAGAAAAGTGTATAGCATAATAAATGAATTATGTTATTAAAATAATTAACTAAATACTCTTTTAAAATATAGAAGATAAGAAAAAAACAATAAATACTTCGCCATGTAATATTTCATTAAATATTAGTCTATTTAATTGCAATTAAAACATAGAATAAACTAAACAATCTTTAATAAATTTAAATAAATGAATAAATTTATATAAAAAAATAAATAAATAAAAAATGTATTTATATATAAATATATATATATATTATTTATTTATTTATTTATTTATTTTTATTCATATATATATTCATTATTACAAATAAATATATATTTTTATTTTTAAAAACATTTTATATATAAATGTTTCTATTTATAATTAATCTTATTAGATATTTATAATTTAAAAAATCATATAATTATTATTTTTATTTGTTTAAAATTTAAATATGTATATATATATTTATTAAATATAATTAATTATTAATATCTTTTTTTCATATAGTTTTTTGAATTTAATTTTAAGATTCAATTTTTGATAACTGTTTAGTTAATATATTTTATTAATCATTTAGAAATTAATTTGCTTATTAATCATATTAATTTTCTTAATTTAAAATTATATTATCAAACTTATTTTTCTCTTTATTTGATTCTATTAATTTACTTTTTTAGCTTTATATTTAAATATTTTATTATTTTATTTTCTTTTTTAATTATTTGATATATTTTTTTTATAAAATTTCAACTTATTCATCTTATAAATTAAAAATATTATATGGATTATATAATAAGCTTATAATTTATTAATATTGTTATAATTTTTATTATTAACATTTATTAATTTATCTTTATTTTTATAATTATATTACATAACTTTATATAATATCATCTTTTTATTGAATAAATATTTTTAATTATCCTATTTTTTATTTTAATAAATTTTCCTTTTATTAATTTTCGAATTCCTTATTTTTTATTTTTTTTTAAAAAAATATTTATAGAAATTACACTATATTATATCCCTTATATTAATTCATCTTTTTATATTATTTTTTATTAATATAATTAACTAATAGAAACTATTTTATGAAATTATTCATTGATTAATTCATATTATAAATCTTTATTATAAATTTCTTTTTATAAATTATCTATCTCTATATATAATTTATTAATATATATAAATATTATATAAAAAATTATTTTTGCTTACAAATTGTTTAAAAATCAATTAATTTTTATAATTTTATAATTTATAATTATTTAAAATCCATAATTTGATTTTTATAGATTCCTTTTTCATCTTCTAATTAAAAATTATTAATTTCTGAGTCCATAAAATCTATATTGTTATTTTATTTTTCGATATTCAAATTTAAAACTTTCAATTATTAATTTTATTAAAGGACAGTTTGTTCTAATTTTTCGATTTATTATTGTAAACATGAATTATTTTATTCTTATTATTTAGAATTATAAGATTCTTCTATATAATTTTAAAAATATAAATGAGAATTTATGTTTTCTTTTTCAAAAATATTCTTTAAAATATTTATATATATTTAAAAAACAAAAATTATATAACATAACTTTATTCAAATTAAATATTTATTATTATAATCTAAATTTTTCATTTAATACTTTTTAATATTCTAAATATGTCTTATCTTTTTCTTAAACTGCTATTTTAAATAAAAGTTTATATTTTTAAATTTATTGATTTATATTAAAATTATGATTAATATTTTTTTTATTATATTCTTATTAATGTTTATAGCCCAAAATGTTTTTTTCTTATGTGTTAATTTCATTTTGTAAATTTTATTAATCTTTTTTAAATTATTGAAGATATTTAATTTCCTATAAAAGGCTATTATTTTCAGATGATTATTATTCTATGATCTATTAAGTTTAAAATAGTTAATTTTATAATTGTTTTTTTTCTAAATCATTTCTCAAATATAAAATACATAAAACAAATGATATATGTATATATATATATATATATATATATATATATATATATATACATATATATTACTATTAAATAATTTAATTTAAATCTTTTTATTATTCTTATAATTCAATTTTCATTTTTTAAATTTATAATTAATTCTATTAATTAATTTGGACTAATTTTTCTTCTTGAAAATAATAAACCTCAATTTAATTTTCCAATATTTAATTCTGTTATTCTTTATAATTTATTTATTTTTCTAGTTTTTCAATTTCTATTTAATTTATTATATTTTCTTAAGTTTTAAGCTAAATTTTTTCTTCTAAATCTATTTATTGTTATCCAACTTCTTTTAATTTTTAACATTATAGGTTTGAGGCACACAAATTTTAATAAAGTTAATTCTTTTTAATTAAAAAAGAATTGATAATTAAAATAAATATATACATTTTTTTTACCAGACTTCTATATTTATTATACCATTAATTAATTTAATATTATAAAGTATCTATATATTATTATTTTTAATCTTACTATTATTAATTTGATTGTTTATTAGAAAATGATAATTAAGTTTATTATTATTTTTAATTATTTTGTTTTTAATATTATAATGTTTGAAAATGAATGGAACTAGATTTTTAATATTTAAAAGTATATTTATTTAATGGGCTACTTTTTTGGCTTACTATACATCCTACGTTTTTATTTTAGGGTGTCTTATATTATAAAGAGTTATGCTTAAGTTAGTTTTTGGGAGAATTAGTGTTTACGTTATATTTTTATATTATATATTGCATTTTTATTAATTGGATTATTATGATTTTATATAAGATTTTAAGTATAAAAATAAATTATAAATATTTAAATATCTATTTTTTTAGTTCAAATTGTTTATTAAAAAAAAAAAAAAAACTATTAATAATAAATTTATATACACATGTTATTATAATATATAAACTTTAATTTTAATATTTAATATTTCTTTTTTTTGTTTTTATTTACTAATATTTTTTTTAATCATTAAAATATTTACTAATTTTATATTTTTTTCACTTCTTCTTCCAAATTTTATATATATTATTCACAATTCAATACTTTTTCACTTATTTTTGAAATTTTTTCTTCATTCATTATTTCTTTTTGTTACTCTTCGAATTTTTAAATATACTCATCTAAATATCTATTAGATATTTCTTTTATTCTTTATACATTTTATTTCTCGATTTCCTTAGTTATTATTTTTTTAAAATAAAATAAAATAAATAAATACATTTCTATGTTCTTGATTTTCTTTATTTATTTATTCAACTAAACTACTTTTGTTTTCTTAAACTTCTATTTTTTATTAATGATGAGTAATAACTTCCTTTTTTTATATATAAAAAATAAAATAAATATATAAAATAAAAAAAATTATTAATAAATACATCAGAATGAACATAATTATTTTTCATATATTATTCTAATTTATCAATTTAAAAATCTACACTTTACAAAGTGTCTTCTTAAAATTTTTAATATACCTTTTTTTTCATTTATTTTTTAAGGTTATTATTTATATAAAAAAACCTATTGCATTTAATCATTTTATATTTCTTTAAAAATGTCATTTTTTTTACATTCGAAAATTATTTTTTAAATCGCATTTTATATACAATCATTTAAAATTTGACTTTTTTCTTATAAATATCCTTCTAAATTAAATAAATTTTGAGTCATATTTTTTTTTGTTTACAAAAAATTAAATATATATATATATAAATTTTAATTTTAAAAAAAAAGAGGAAAAAAATTTTCAAAATAATTTTATTATAATTTCAATTTTTAAGTAAAAATATCAGAATTCTTTGATTTTTTTCATTAAATTAGTTTAGTATTTACATTTCCAACTAAAAATTTTATTGTTGTTAATAAAATATTATATTTTATTATTATACAAAGATAATATTTATATAAAAAAAATTAAATATTATATAGTAAATTAATTATTAATAAAAACTAATTTATAATATATAAATATCATTTTTTACGTGTATTAATTTAATCGTTTCTACATTTTTAAAATAAAAAATTAAATATAATATAATATAAAATATAATAAAATAAAATAAAATAAAAATATACTTATTTTTTTTGTTATAAATATCCTTTTCTTTATTATACTTTTAAATAGTTTTAATTAACTTCTCATTTTCCTCAAGTAAAGCATTGTATTAATTGTTAAGAACTTCATAATTGAAATTTTTACAAGAAACTAATTCAAAATTCTCTTTTTCCTTACATTCAAATTAATATTTTAATTCTTTTATTTCTTCTTCCTTTTTATCTATTTTTTCATTCAAATCTTCAATTTCCCTTTACAAATCAGCATAATTAGTATTCATTAGTTTATTGTATAATTCTTGATATTTCAAATATAATTTCTCCATATATTAAGATAATTATTCGATTTTTAAAAGTTTTTCTTCATTTTGTCTTTCCAAAATATATATTTAATGTTTATATTAAAGTTCTTTTTCACTAATTACTAATTTAAAAGCATCAAACTCTTATTTAACTTGAATATATTTTTAATAATCTATAGTTTCCTAGTATGTCTATTAAATTTATTTTATATTTTATGAAAATTATTCTTAAATTTATTAACGTAGTTCCTAATTTTCTTTCTATAATTATACTATAATAAGTCGTGTTTTTTAAAGTTGATTTTTTAAGTCATCTTTTTCAATTATTAATGAATTATCTTTTTTTTATATATATTTTAAATTTGTTATTTTATTTTATTACGATATTTTTATATTGTTTCTATTTTTTATTCTAAAAAATCTAACGGATAGAATTTGTAGTTTTCTTTTTTTTTTTTTATAAACTAAATAAATATTTTTACAAAAAAAAAAAAAAAAAGTGGGTAAAAGTCCTAAAAAAACAAAATATAAAATATAATATATATATATATATATATATATATATATATATATATATATATATATATATATATATATATATATATATTAAAAAATTAAATACAAAAAAATAAATAAATAATACAATTTAGAATATAAATAATAATAAAATCAAAAGTTCTTTTTTAATAATAATTCAATAAATTCATTTTATGAAATTTTCCCATCTTTATTAGTATCGCATTCCAATAGAATTTCCTACCAGAAAGTGTCTTAAATATCTCCCATTATATAAGATAATTCTTCTCTACTAATATTACCGTTTCCATCCTAATCGAATATTTTAAAAGCTTATTCCATTTTTTATTTTGACAAAACCACATCTTTATTAGTAGCTGCCATTAGAAATTCTAAAAAAAAAAAAATTAAAAAAAAAAATTATTAATATTTATTAATAAATCATACATATATACCCGTAAAATCAACTTTCCCTGATTTATTACAATCTACAATATCTAAAATTCTCTCCACTTATTCAATTGCTAATTCTTTGTTTCCACAAACACTCGTATATCCTTAAATAAGTTCATCTTTTGAAAGCATTCCATCTCCATTTTAATCCAAAGACATAAAATTCTTCTATAACTCTTGTTTTTCTTGTTAAGTGATCATTTAGGATACAATATAAGTCATAATAGCCTATTTTATTTTCGACCGACTCTAAAAGTTAGATAGATTTTGTAAAGTTTTATTATTAACAGGAATTGCTGGAGCATTTTTTTAAACCCAGTTATCGTTTAAAGCCTATAAAGCTGAAATCCTTTTTTTAGAGTCATAAGTAAGCATTTTTCTAATCAAATTTTTAGCATCTTCTGAAATATGATTCCAATCTTCAGGATCGAACTTAAATTTACCCAAACGAACTTTTTTTAATATTTCATCTTCATTTTTGCCTGTGAAAGGGGGATATCCACATAATAAAATATATAAAACAACTCCACAAGACCATACATCACATTTTTCATCATAATTTTAATCTAAAATATATAAATAAAAACAATTATATATAAAAAAAATACCTAAAACTTCAGGTGCTATATAATATGGAGTTCCTAATCTTTTGGACATTTTTTTATTTTCATCAATTTTTCTGGATGTTCCAAAATCAATAACTTTTAAATTAGCGTCTTTTTTATCTGTATCAAATAATAAATTTTCTGGTTTTATATCTCTATGTACAATTTAATTTTCATGACAATAAACCACGGCTGAAAGGATTTATTTAAAATAATCAGCAGCCATTTTTTCAGTAAAATTTTTCATAGATTTAATTTTATCAAAAAGTTCTCCTCCTGAGCAATATCTATATTTAAACTTTAATATTAATATAAAAATACAATTTTTTTTTATAAATATAAATATAAATATAAATATATATATATATATATATATATATATATATCCATATATATCATAAAATACTCTGTTATTAAATAATAATTTTTAGAATCTTAAAATAATTCAATTAATTTTAATATATTAGGATGATCCAAATTTTTCAGTATATTCATTTCTGAAAAAAGCCTCTCTTCTTCTTCTTTTATTACAGAACTTTTTTTCAATGTTTTCATTGCTCGAACCATTCCTGTATTTTTATGAGTTACTTTGCATACTAAACCGAATGCACCTTCACCTAAAATTTCTCCTGTTTTGTAATTTTATTAAATTGTTCCTTATTTTAAATGTATGAAAATATCAGGACTGATCGAAAATTCGCTCATACAGCTCATTTTTTATTTGCTTTAATAAGCTTTTATTAAGCTTTAAGTAGAAGGCCTTTTAGAAGTTTCGTTTGTTTAATCTTCATGCCTTTATTTATCATCGTTTTTTTTATTTCCTTATTACTTTTTAATTATTTCTTATTATTCTTTTTGATTTTATTTAATTGGTAGTTATTCTTATGAATAATTTTTTTATAATTCTTAAAAATAACTTTTATTTTCTTTTGTTTATTCTTTATCGTTATCTATTTTATTTTTTTCTTATTTTTAATTTATATTTTTTTCATTTATTATCTAATTTATAGATTCTCCTTGTTCTGGTATTGTTTATAATGGAGTTTAAAATTTTTCTTTTAATGATGAATCATCTTTTAAATTAATTTTTTTATACATATAAATAGAATTATATGTTTTATTAAAAATATATATATATATATATATATATATATATATATATATATATATATATATATATGAATATTTTTACTATTTATTTTTTCAATAGTTTAAGCTTCTTCTAAAAGAAATCTATCATCAGTACCATTTTAATATAATTCTTTAGTATTATGATATTTTATAGATAATATATTATCTTTTTAATTCTATTTTTATATTATTTGGAAAATTTTATACTAATTAAATATTTAAAAAAAAATACAGTTAATTAATTGGAATTTATAGGTATTTAATAACTTTTTATACTTTCTTCATCATTTTATTGAATATCGTTATTTTCTCTTATTTATAATTTTTCTACTTTTTTTTTATATAATACTTATATTAAGATAAATTATTTTTTTATATGTTATAACCTTCACTAAAACCATTTAAATGGCAACATGAACTTCCCATTTTATTTAATTTTTTTGTGTTATTATGATGAACTTTTAATGAAATAAATTGCAATTTTTATCAAAAAATAAGAATAAAACAATAAGTTAATTAAAAAAAAAAATTAATTTTTAATAATAAAAATATATTATTTTTTTAAAATGTAAATAACTTTTATTTCTTTTTAATTTAGAAATTTTAAAAAAAATATATATACATTTTAGAAATAAATAATTGTAATTGCTTATATAATTAATAAATTTATTTATTTTAATAATAAAATATAATTATTCTGATGTTTATGTTTTTTTTACTTAATAAAAATTAATTATTCTATTATTGCAAATTATTAATGTTAATATATTTTTAACTATCTAATATACAATAAAAAATAAAAATTAATTAAATGAATTAAGAATATTAAATTATTATTATAAAATAAATAAAATATATTTAAATATAAATTAAAATTGATTTTTATTCAAATAAGTCAAAATTTTAAATAATTTTTTTTTTCTTGTTCTTTATTTTTTTCTAATATTAATATTAATATTTTTCATTTAAATTTTCGTTATTAAGCATTTTATTAAAATTTTTTAATTTTATTAAATATATATTAAAATTAATATATAAAAATATTTCTTTTATAAATTATATAAATCAATAAAAAAGTTAAATTATATGTAAATAATTATATATTAAATATTAATTAAAAATAAAAATATGGAAATTAATTTTATATTTAATATTAATATTAATTAAATTAAATTTTTCGAAATTATTATATAGTTTTCTAATTCAATTTTTTTTCTAATAATATTTATTTTATTATATTAATTATTTATTTACTTATAATTTAATTTTAAAATTTTTTATTTTAGTAATTAAAGTTTTTACACAATAAAAAAACTTATAAATATATATGTATTTAAATAATCGTTTTATTTAAAAAGTTTATATAAATTGAACGTAGTAAATTTTATTTAATTAATAATTTTATTTATTATATTATCTTTAAAATTATTTTATTTTCATTTTCTTTTTTCTAGAGGTGATTTTATGTTTTTTACATTAGGATATGTTTTTTGAAAATTTTTTGCTTAATGTAATAATATAGTTGAAATTTAATGAATTTAATCTTTGTTTTCTTCAACACTTATTAATTAAATAAGTTTTTATATTATTTCACCTGTATTAATATTATTATTTTTTTATTAAATAATTTTTAAAGAAAGATATAATATAGCCCAAGCAATATAAGACTATTTATATTTCGAATTAATTTCATAAATAAAACAAGTAATTTAAGTCAAATAAATACATACACTATAAAAAAATTAAAAATCTTCTTAAGACCCAAATAACTCATTTATATTTAAATTAATTATTATTGCATCAAAAAACTACTTAATTGTAGGCATGCTTAAATTATATTATAAAGCTTCTAGTATTTATAATTCTTTATTTTTTATATTTTCTACAGATAGCTTTTAATGTCCTATATCTTCATAAAATGTTTATAGCCTCAAAGCTTATGTTTAGTTATATTTTTAAGAAATAAACATACAGGAAACTCCAGTTAAATATAAGTCTTAAGGAGTTAATTATCTTTATTTTTTATAAAAATATAAATAATATAATATTTTTTTACTATTTACAATTCTAGAAAAAAATATCTTAAATTAAAATATAATGAAAGAATGTCTCATCTGAAAACGAAAAATTATCTTTCACTTCGAGCATCCAATCAACCATTTTAATTCGAATATCATTTGATATTAAATGATTTTATAAATATAAGTAAGGAAGTACTTCTTTCTTAATAAAAAATATAAAATATAAAAAATAATATTAAATTTTATATATTTATATTGAATTTATTTTTATAATTATTTATTATAAATTTTATTTTAACATTTATTAAGTTATTCAATATTTTTAGCTAATACGTTTATTAATTAGACATTAATTTAAATATAATTTTGGTTTAGGTTTCATTTTAAAATTATTATTATTGTTTATTTATATCATTAACTAAGCATTGTTACTATTATTTTATTGAATTGTTTTTCTTAATTCTTTTTTTCAACAAATCTTCTATATCCATATTATTATCCTATTATTTTTAAATATAAATTTGACATTCAATTTATTTTATTCTAAGTTATTATTTGCTTAGTAATTTATATTATTTTTAATAATTTTAAATTAGGTAATTATTAAAGTATTCCGGCATCTTATTTTTAAATTTTTTATTATTTATTTATTTTTATGAATATATAAAAATTAATATTGTAACAAATTGCGAAAAATAATAATATGTAAATATATATTTTATAATAATTTATAAAAAAAAATATAAATAAATATATTTATTCATATATATTATATATTTATATATTTATATATTTATATATTTATATATTTATATATTTATATATTTATATGATATTGATATTTTTTTTTACTTAATTTTTTATAAAAATTAATTATTTTCAATTATAGTATTTTTTCAAATAGATTAATATAAAAAAGATTTTTTTATTATTAATATTAATTTGTAAATATTTTTATTACTAATTCCATTTATTATAAATTTTTTTTTATTATTCCATAATTAATAAATTTCTTTACTTTTTAAAATTAATAATTATATCAATATATTTTTTACTTTAAATATATTAATTAATATTTTATTTTTTATTTTCTATTATTTAAGTCTATATAATTATATTATAATATATTATTTATTTAAAAAAAAATACTATAATAATTTAAAATATTATTTTAAACATAATTTTAAGTTAATATCCTTATAATTTTAAGTATAAAAAATATATTAAACTATAAATTAATCAAAAATTAAAAAAAATTTATATTTATTTAAAAAAAATAAAATTTTCCTATATTTTTATTTAATATAAATAATTATACAAATTTATAAATAAAATATATATAATAAATATTTAATATAAATAATTATATATTATAATTTTTTTTTTTTATAAATATATTTGTATTTTAATTATGAAATAAATTTTATATATAATAATTTATATAATTTTTTAAAATTTAAAATATCGTATTTACAGGTAATTAAAAAATATTTATTCCTTTTATATTTTACCTAAAATATAATTTAATTTTTAATTAATGAAAGTGTAAAAATTACTATTATTTTTTATACTTTTTTATAGTATAATTGTAATTTTATATGATTTATATTGTTTAGTTAATTATTATGCAGCAAATATATTGAGAATTCCTGTATATTAAAAAATAATTTTTTTTTTATTTTAAAATTTTTTTTTTAAATTAATAAATAAAAAATATTATTACATGATTTATATCTTTATATTTATTTTGTTAATTTTTAAATATGTAAAGTAAATTCGATATTCACATATTTTATTTTCCGATTATATTTTGTTTTTTTTGTTTAAAATATATAATTATAAAATTTTTAAAATAAAAAAATAAGATTTAATATAATGGACGACTTTTTTGAAAATGAAGATAATCAAAATATTATCAATTAATAACGTATTTATATAAAAAAACATATATTTATAAAAATCCTATTAATATTATAAATTTAATTTTGACTCATATCAAAAAATAAAATATTAAAAATAGAAACACCTTAGAACAATAAAGAAGAAGAAAATTAAGAATAAGAATAATAATATTAAGACGATTAATAATAATAAGAATATTATTAAAAATAAGAATAATAATAAGAATAACTAGAATAATAAAAATCATGTGGGTAATAAGAATAATTATAATGTTAAGAATAAAATGAATAATAAGAATATTAAGGTTTATATTTAATAATATATAATAAACTATATTTTTAATATAAAAAAATCTAAAGATTTTAACAATTAATAATCTTAAAATCAAAATTATAACTTAACTCTTTAACAAGTAAATTTTTATATATTATTTAATAAAAAACCTAAATTATATATAGTTAACTGAGTAAGATTTAAGAAGATAAAAACTTTAATAAGAAGAAGCTGAAAGAACTAAGTAATTAATAGAGAAGTAAAATGCAGAATTATAATAAAAACAATAAAAAACAGAAAAATCAAAACAATATTTAGAAAATTGGAAAAAGTAAAAAATAAAATAAAAATATAATATTTATTACAAAAATAATATATAGAGAAAGAGAAGTATAAATTAGATAAAAAAAAAAGCTAATCTTTAAGAAAATGAAGTTTTAGTAGAATCTAGAAATAATAAAGCTTATGTAAATTAAAATATATAAAATATGAAAGTATAAAAAAATATAGAAAATATATAATATATAAATGAATATATCTATATAAATAATTATATATATACTAATTATATTTTCTTTTAAATTATATTTTTAGAAAAACAGTTGGGAAAAAATTGTTTAAAATATTAACTTAAAAGCAAGTGATTATTTAGGTTCTTAAGATGTGAGCAAAATGAGAGAATGTATTTTAAATAAAAAGCTTGATCTTGCAAATTAGGCATGATTTAAATCAAAGAAAGAGAAATAATAAATAAAAATAAAAATATATATAATATAAATTTAATATAAAAATATAATATATTTTTATCTAAATAAAAAAAATAGTTTTATTTGTTTTTTGATTATTAAAAAAGTTATATAATTCTTTTTATTATTTTTATTTTGTATAAATAAAAATTTTATCCCTATTTTTAATATAATTATAAAAATTTTGTGTTTACTTTTTTTTATATAAAATAATTATAAAATTAAAATATTTTTAATAAATAAACTAATTTTTTATATTTTATAAAAAATGGCCTAAAGATAAAGTATTTTATATAACGCTTAATCTAGAAAAAGGTTTTTTATAATTTAAATTATTAATTTATACGTTATTTTATTATAAAAATTAAAAGAAACACTGCACAATAATAGTAAGTTGACTATTTCCTTAGCTAAGTTTTAAAAGATTTAGAAATAGAAAAATAAGAAGCAGAATCATTAAGAAATTTATTTAATAGATTCGATTTTTAAAAGTCAAACTATTTAGAATAAAAAGATTTAGACGAAATATATAGATGTATTTATAAATCATATTAATTTTTCTCTAATTTTATATATATATATATATATATGTGTTTTTAAATAAAAGAATATGATTTTAAATTTCCTTAACATATTTTAAAGAAGAAAATTACTTAATATTGTAATTATAAAAAATTGAGAAAAGTAGACTTTTTTCATGTTTGTGATTTATATTTATAATTGAAAAGAGAAGATAAACAATAATAGGAATAAGAGGAAATAGAATTTAGTAAATAAAAAAATATTAATTATACAGTGAATTTAATAAATAAAAAGTTGATGCCTTTGTTGCCTTAGGAGGAAATATAGATAAAAGTGGTTTTGTTAAAAAAAAATTAATAATGGAAATTATTAAAAAAGAATTCGATTTGATTATTGATATTGAAGATTTAATAGATAGAAGTTAAAGTAGTTAGCAAGAAATCGATTTTTCTGATTTTTGTTAAATATTTGAAAACGGAGGAGAAGAAATTAAAAGCAAAGTTTCTTTATTATCCGTAAATTTTTATTTATTAAAATTTTAAATTATTTATAAAATTATAATTAAATTTAATATTTATTTTTTAAACTATTTTAGAATATATCTAGATAAAAGTCAACTACAAATTTAGGAGGATAATAAGGATTTTAAGTAAAATATAAAGATTTTGAATTATGGTTAGAAAGAATGGATGGAAAAATATGATTTTATATTCTTTTTTAATTAAAATATTATTTTATGTTGAAAGATAAATATTTATATTATATTAGATCAAAGAAATATTTATATTTTTTGTTTTTATATTATTTAATTTTTAGTTGATATATTTAATCATTTTTGTAAATTTATTATAATTAAACGACAAAATAGATTACGTAAAAATCTTTTTTTCAGACTATAATAATTTATTAAAAATAAAATAAAATATTTTTTTGAAGTACTTAGAAAAAAAAAATCATATAAAAAAATATTATAATAAAAAAAAAATATCAAATAAAAAAAATGGATAATTTCGACGAAAAAGTTGATGAAATAAAGCTTGTTCCCGCCAAAACTGCAAAAGTAAAAATCTAATAAAAAATAAAAAAAAAACAAAAAATAAAGGAAATGAAAGCTATATGTCGCCCAGAATTCTAAAAAAACCCTTCAAAATACTATCCTACAAAAGTATTTGAAAAATTTGGTTACACAAGAAACCAATGTCCTAAATGCGGAAACTTTTACTGGAGAGTATCTGAAAAGCAAGACACCTGTGGAGATTCCCCGTGTGTCGGAAAATATACATTCATAGGAAAAGGAACCGGTATTGGAGAAAAGGGAAAAAAAATTACATACAAAGATGCATGGGATATTTTTGAAAAATCATTAACATCTACCAGAATTCCATGTTCAACCGTAAAACGTTATCCAGTAACAGCTAGATGGAGGTAAAAAATAAACAAAAATATGAAAAATATATTTTTAATTATTTTTTAAAAACTCAATCGACAAAATAAAATTAGATTAATATAAAAAAAGCATATAATAGCATTATTTTTCTTTAATTAAGTTTTTTATAAAAAAAAAATATACATATATATACAAATATAAATATATGCTAAAATATATAAAATATAAAAATAAATATAAATATATATATATAAATATATATATAAATATATATATATAAATATTTATATAAATATATATATAATTATATATATAAATTTAATATATATAGAAATGATGTAGATTTTGTTGCTGCTGGTATTTATTGTTTCCAACCATATTGTGTAACAGGTGAATTATAGCCCCCTGCTAATCCTTTAATATAACCTTAATTTTGCGTTAGATTTAATGATTTAGACAACATTGGTTTAACCGGTCGACACTACTCTGGTTTTGTTATGTTAGGTATATAATCGTTTAACTATCCTGACAAATTTGTATTTTTCAGTGAAGAGTGTGTAGAATTTAACTTGTAATGGTTAATTGAAGGTATGGATGTTCCAAAAGACGAAATTACTTTAATTGAAGATGTATGGTCAGGAGGTGGTAATTTGGGATCTTCGATTGAAATTTTTGTAAAAGGGCTTGAAGTTGGAAATATGGTTTTTACAATGTTTAAATACTATCCTGACGGAAAACTAGAAGAACTAGATATTACAGTAATTGACGTAGGAATTGGTTTGGAAAGAATTCCTTGGCTAATTAATGGAACTCCTACCTCTTATTTTGATGTATTCCAAGAGGCATATAAATATTTACAAAGTAAACTCAATATAGATACTCATACTGATGTCTGGGAAAAAATAGGGCCTTATACATGCCATTTAAATGCAGATGAATCTGAAGATATGTAAAAAACGTGGGAGAAAGTAGCGAATTCAATTGGAATGAACGTAGAAGATACTAAAAAAGCTATTACTCCAGTAAAAGAATTATATATAATATTAGATCATACAAGAACAGCTTTTGTCACTATTTATGATGGATGTCTTCCTTCTAATGTTGGCGGTGGTTCCAATATAAGAAATATTATCAGAAGAGTTTTCGCTATTTTAAAAAAAAATAATTGGTGGGAAAAACTAGGAGGAATTGAAGGATTTACTGAAATTTTTGAAAAACATAAACTCGACTTAAGCTAATTATATGGAGATTTTCTCCCTTATAAATCTTTTGATGCCATTATACGTATGGAATATGAAAAATGGTCCAATACAGATTCTGCTTAAAAGTAAAAACTAGAGCGTCTTTTCCAAAAAACAAATAAATTGAACCTAAATGACTGGATTGTAGCCATAGAATCATGGGGAATGCCCCCAGATACAATTTCTGAGATTACAGGTCTTTCATAACCTGATAATTTATGGTATGAAATGGATTTAAGAAAATAAAAATTAACAAAGCCTCCTGAGTAGATTTTATATAAAACAGCTCATTTACCTGAAACAGTTTCGCTTTTTTACAACGAGAGTTTTTCAGCTTCAGCTTTTGATGCAAAGGTAGTTGATATATTCGCAGATATTAAAAATGCAAATAATAGAAATATTGTTATTTTAGATTAATCAGCCTTTTATCCTACTTCTGGTGGTCAATTACACGATACAGGTGTACTTACAATTGAAAAAGAGCACTATAATGTATTAAATGTAGAAAAAGTAGGAAAATGTGTCCTACATATACTAGATAGACCTCTTCCTAATCCTGAAAACAGTCATTATATTGGCAAAATAGTATAAGGATAAATCGATGAAAAAAGAAGAAAAATTCTAAGAAATCACCACACAGCCACCCACATTATATTTGCGGCATGCAGAAGAGTATTAGGTCCTCACGTGTGGTAAAATGGTGCCAAAAAAACTCTAGAAAACGCCCATTTAGATATCACTCATTTCTCTTCATTGACTAAAGCTGAAGAAATCGCAATAGAGAGTGAGGCTAATACAATTGTTTTAGAAGGACTATCTATCAAAAAAAGTTTCATGGACAAAGCTGATGCTGAGAAAGAATATGGTTTTAGATTATATTAAGGAGGTATTGTACCAGGAAATTCACTTAGAGTAGTAAATATTAAAGATACTGATGTAGAGGCTTGTTGTGGTACTCATTGTGATAATACTAGTGAAGTAGGATTTATTAAATTATTAAAAACTCATAGAATTTCAGACGGAATTCTAAGATTGTACTATGTTGCAGGGGAAAAGTCTATTGAAAGATTAGGAAAGGAAACCTAAATACTTAGTGATTTATAAAAATTATGGGGTATTACTCAAAATGAAATTGTTTCAACTGCTTAATGTATATTTACTGATTTTAAGTCTTACAAAAAAGAAGCTGAACATTAAAAGTAGAAAATTTTAAATTTCTAAATTAAATTGTTAAGCTAGAATTAGCAATATAAAAATGTTTTCGTTAAAACACCAGAAAAAGAAGCTAGTATTTATTTCTCGTATATGGGTTAATATGCTTAATAAATGAAGGTATATATATATATATATATATATATATATATATTCTAATTTTATTTATTAAATAACTTTATTAGGACTTAGGAAAAGGTATTATTTTTATTGCAGAAAGTTTTGTTTTTGGATAATTTGGTAATAATAATTCATTTGATTAAGCTAAATTTTTGGCTTTACTTTAGGAAGAAGAGAAAAATGCAGGATTGAATTATAAAAAATTATAGAATTAAGTTAGTTTTAAGGAAGGAAAAGTAAAAAAAAAAAATCAAAACTTAATAAATATATAATTATATTATTATTAAAGAAAGCTGTAAAAGTAGATAATATTATTTAATTCTCATTCACAGGAGTTATAAGATATGATAAAATTAAAAATTATTTAATTCAAAACGGATTATTAGAAGCATTAGATTTATGATGATGAGAAAATTATATTTACAAAAATTATATATTTTATTAAAGAAAAAATTATAAAATCCAAAATTATCTAAAATATATAAATTGTTTATATAAAAATTAATCATAAAATAATAATTAATATAATCCGAATTTTTTTTTTTTCCTTAATACTATTGTAAATTAAATTGATATTATTATTATAGAATCTATTAATTATTTACTAATTTCAATTTTATTGGAAATGCTTTTAATTTTTATTTTTTATTTGTTTTTAATATTAAGAGGATTATTTGCAAAGTAATTAAGTTAATTAGTATAATAATTTAAATATTTTGATGAAATAAAATTAATAATTAAAAACTGTATATAAATAAAAAAATGTATTTTGGAGAAATTCATTTATAATATAAATCATAAGAAAATTTTATTTAAAAAACAGATAATAAAAATTAACCTTAATGAAAGATTTTTTTATATTTATATATATAAATTTTGCTTCATTATCTTTTTTTTTTTTAATAAAAAATAAATAAAACATATTAAATAAAAATAAATTTGTATTTATTTTATTTTATTTAATTATCTAAATTTAAAATTTATATATAAAATTAATAAAATAAAAATAAAAGTAACTAAATAGATATATAATTTTAAAATAAAGAAAATGATTTTTTTTAATTTATATCTAATAAAATACTTTTCAATAATTATAATAACTATAAAAAAAAAAACATCAAATTATTTTTTTGTTTTATTTATTAATATAAATATTATAATTTTTAAATATAAATAAATAAAATGTCTGTCTTAATAAAAAGACTATTTAAAACACTCACACCCCTATAAAAAAAATATTTAAAAACTAATTTCCTGTGTTTATCATATAAATTTACATCCGAATAAGTTCCTCGAACCCAAAACGCATACGAAATAGCCTACGAGTAATCCACTAATCCCCATACTCGTGAAAGTTTTTGGTTCCAACAATCAAAAGCAATAGATTGGTTTAGTTATCCATCCTAAATTCTTGATAAGTCCAACTCAAACCCTGGCTTATGGCGTTGGTTTAAAGATGCTTAATTAAACATGTGTCATAATTGCATAGACCGTCATTTACCTTAATAAAGCCACCAACCTGCTTTAAATTGGTATAGTGCATATTTAAATTAAGAAAAAATATATACATACAAAGAATTACATGAAAACGTAAATAATCTTTCTTTAATATATTAAAAATTCGGTTTAGAAAAAGATGATGTGGTAATTATTTATATGCCTATGATTCCTGAGGCTGTATTCGGAATGTTAGCCTGTTCAAGAATTGGAGTTCTTCATTCAGTTGTTTTTGGTGGTTTTGCAGCTTAAGAATTGGCTAATAGAATTATAGATTGTAAACCAAAACTTATTTTGACAGCCTCGGTTGGAATAGAGCCTTAGGGTAAAATTATAGATTACAAAAGTATACTAGATGAAGCTTTATAAATTGCGAAAAATAAAAATTAGGAAATTAACCCAAAAGTACTTATAAAATAAAGGGAATTTTAATAAACTTAAAAAATAAATTAAGGAATTGATTACGATTATGAAAGTTAACTTATTTGGGCCAAAAAATAATAAAAAAACGTCCCATGTGTTTAAGTAAACGGCGACCATCCTTTATACATTTTATACACTTCCGGAACAACAGGAACTCCGAAAGGAATAGTCAGAGACACAGGTGGTACTGCAGTGGCTTTGTGTTGGTCAATGAAACATATAATGGATATTGAAAAAGGGGATTCTTATTTCGCTAGTAGTGATATCGGATGGGTTGTGGGACATTCCTTTATCGTATATGGACCTTTACTAGTGGGAGCTTCAACTGTTCTTTATGAAGGAAAGCCAAATACTCCAAATCCTGGAGCTTTATGGAGATTAGTGGAAAATTTTAAAGTAAAAGGGCTTTTTACGGCTCCTACAGCCTTAAGGGCAATGAGAAGAGACGATCCTTAGGGAATTTGGATACAAAAATATGATGTTTCGAGTCTTACGACTATTTCTATAGCGGGAGAAAGGTGCGATGTGCCAACTTATAATTGGATAAAATCAGTTTGTTAGGGTGTATTTGTGAATGACAATTATTGGTAGACTGAAAGTGGGTGGTAAATGTCTTGCAATTTTAAAAATTTGCATACATGGCCTTTAAAACCTGGGAGTGTAGTAAAACCAGTACCTGGTTATGTTATTAATATTTTAGATGAAAATAATTAGATTATTACAGCGCCAGGGAAATTGGGAAAAATTTGTGTAAAATTACCTATGCCACCTTCTTTTATGCTCTCTTTATATAATAACGAAGATGCTTTTATCGAAAAATACTTAAAAGATGCCCCTGGATATTATTAAACAGGAGATTCGGGATATTATGATATTGATGGATACCTTAATGTTATGTCAAGAATAGATGATATTATAAATACTGCAGGACATAGGCTTTCTACAGGAGCTATAGAAGAAAGCTTGCTGAATAATAGAGATATAGTAGAGGCTGCAGTAGTGGCTAAACAGGATAAATTTAAAGGGGAAATTCCAGTTGGGTTTGTAGTATTGAAAGAGGGGTTGAATAAAAGTTAGGAGGAAATTTAGAAAGAATGTGTATTAATTGTGAGAAAAATAATAGGACCAGTGGCAAGCTTTAATAATTGTATTTTAGTAGAGAAATTACCGAAAACTAGAAGTGGAAAAGTTTTGAGAAACATATTAAAGAAAATGGTTGATAATTAAGAAATTGTTAATATTCCACCAACAATTGAAGATGCTAGTGTTCTAAAAACTATTAGTAAAATAGTTAGGAATTATTATAATGATTGAAGATATTTATTTATAAAAATAAATTAAGTAATTTTTTTAAATATATATAATTTTTTTTTTATATTATTAATAAATATTTATATTATATATATATATAAATATGTATTCATAATATAATTATATACATATTATTTAATATTTTTTTTTTTTATTAATTTATTATTTATTCATAAAATATATATATTTTTTTATTTATCAAATCTTTTAAATTCTAAAAATATTTTAAAAATCTCAATCGAGATGACATAAAAAGTGGGAAAAAATGTATTAATGACTTTTTTTTATATTAAATGAATTGTAAAAAAAAATTATATTCGTCTTATAAAATTTTATTAAAATTTATTTAGATAATTGAAATGTATAATAATATATATAAAAAAAAAATATATTTCTTAAGTTAATAAATTAAAACTTTTGATATATAATAATAAATTTAGATTAAATTTAAATTTAAAGATTAAAAATCATTTATTAATACTATAAAAATAAGAGACTAGATAAATGAAATTAATATGATTATAGAATATAATATCAGAAAACAATATTATTAAATAATTAGTATAATTAAAAATAATAAATATTACTAAATAATTTAAATCAAAGAAAAATTAAATGATAATGAAAATGATTAAATTTTTAATATATATATATATATATATATATATATATATATATATATATATAACTATTTATTATATATATTATATAAAATTAAATAAATATTTTTATAAATTATAAATTTATAAAATATATAAATTACTAAAATAATATCTTTAATACAGAAAAAATTAATATAAAAAAAAAAAATTATATATATATTTTTTTTAATTTTTATAGAAAATTAATAATATTTAAAAATTTATATAATTTATAACTTATAAATTTAAAATATTTTTAAATTCAATTTATATTCAAATTTTAAAAATATAAAAATCATATATATATAAACAATAACTAAATATACTTAATAAAAGTCAATATATATATTTATATATATAAAAATATAAAAATGGGGAATATACCCACAAAAATAGTTTATTCTGTCCCAATAAGTGAAAAACTAGCAGGTGAATCACCAATATACCGAAATCCATTAAGTTTAGACAATTTAATATCATCCCCAGATAGCGATATATATACAATGTAAGATGTTTTATTAAAATCATTTAATGAGTATCCCTCAAATAAATGCTTGGGTTCTATAAAAACATAATAAAATAATATCGGTTAAAATTTACAGAAAATATATTAAATAGAAAACAATAAAATTCCAAATTTATTTATTTGCGAAAATAATAAATAAATAAATTAATAATTATAAAAACATGAATTCGAAAAAAATACAAGAATAAATCCACTGTCATATAGTGAAAAATAAAGTTTAAGACACTTACAAGAAAATTTAATTGATAAATAAAAAAACAAAGAATAAAATCCTCTTAATTAAGAGAAAAAATATATATTTAAAACATATTCAGAAGTACATTTTTTATGTTAAAATTTAGCTTCAGGCATACATGTATTAAATTTAGCTTAAAAAATATAACAAAATGGTTATCGTGAAATGAATGTTATAGGAATATGGGGTAAAAACTCTGATGAATGGATAATATTAGACTGTGCATGTTGTTTATATAATTACACTAGTGTATGTATCCCTGAGAAAATTCGGGTGGAAGACTTATTATAAATTTTCGAATAAACGCAAATAAGTACATTATTTTGCGGAAGTAAATAATTAAATAAAATAACTAAAATAATGCAAAAAAACAACATATAGTAATTAGTAAATTTAAAAAATATAGTTAGTTTTGATGAATAGAGTTTTTTTTTGAATAACTTTCAAATTAATTTTTTCACTTTTGATTCTGTTATTAAAAAAGGCGCACTTTTTCACAATCTTCAAATTCCTTTAGTATCTCCTGATTAAGTTTTGACCATAAATTTTACTCTAAATCAATAAAACGGGAAATATATAGGAGCTCTAATTTCCCATAGAAATATAGTTAGTTTTTTAGCCGTATTGGTAAACAATTAGTATATAAAATTGAATTAAAATGACGTTTATTTTAGTTATTTGCCACTTTCTCATATTTATGAAAGAGTGGGTGTATACGGCTGTCTTTTTGGAGGATGTGCGGTAGGGTTTTATAGTGGGGACATAGAAAATTTGAATGAAGATTTGAGAATCTTACAGCCTACAATACTTTGTTCTGTGCCTTAGATATATAATAAATTATATGAGACTATATATATGTAGTATTTCGAAAAAGCTGAAGGGATTTCAAAATGGATAAACGAAAAAGCTTTCGAAAAAAAACTTTAGAATTTTAAAAATTCAGGAGTGGCTGATGTTTAGCATTTTTTTTTAGATAAAATGGTTTTTGGTGAAATTTAAGACTCTATAGGTGGTAAAGTTAGATTAGCATTTTCTAGTGGGGCTCCTGTTTTTCCACATGTATAGGAACGATTATAAATTATGTTTGGTTTCTAGTTTATTTAAGTGTAATTTTTTTCCTATTAAATATATATATATATATATATATATATATATATATATATATATATATATATATATATATATATTAATCTATATATTAATCTATATATTAATATTATTTTTGTTTTTTAAGATAGATATGGATTGACTTAGTCTACAGGACCTGCTTTTATGAGTAATCCTCTAGATTCAACACCTGGGCATGTAGGAGGACCTACCATTAACATAGGTTTTTTTTTTATATTTTTTTGCTATTTATTATTTTATTTTATTTTGTTTTAGAATTTAAAATTGTTGATGTATCTGAAATGAACTATTTTACTGACGATAAAGATGGAGCTAAAGGAGAATTGTATATTAGAGGATTTAGTGTTTTTGATGGATATTTAAATAATGATGAATAAACAAGAAAGGAGATTGATAAAAACGGGTGGTTACATACAGGAGATATAGTTCATTTAAGGGAAAATGGGTCTATTAAAATAATAGGTATATTTTTAATTTTTTTATTTTATTACAAAAAAAAAAGATAATAGAAAAAATATATTCAAACTTTCAAATGGAGAATATTTTTGTCCTGAAAATTTAGAAAAAATATATATGCAAGTACCTTGCATTAGTGATATATACGTACATGGGGATAGCTTTTAAAAATATTTAGTAGGCATAGTTGTTCTTAGGAAAGGTTAAGTGAAAAGTTGTGAAGAAATACTTTAAGATATTTAAAAATTAGCTAAAGATAAAGGATTATTTTAATATGAGATTTTAAGGAAAGTTCATATTGAAAAAATACCTTTTTAGACTTTAGGATTGATTTTACCTTGCGGAAAACTCAAAAGATATTAGACTAAGGAAAAATATAAAAACATTATTTATTCTTTATATGAATTTTGATTTTTTTTTATCACATATTTTGTTTATTATTATATTTTTTATTTATTTTCTTTTTTAAAATATTATAATTATTTGTTATTATTATTTTTTTTTTGAAAAACTAAAAAATATTCTAAAAACTAATATTTAAATCCTTTATCTTTATATATATTATTAGAATTTATTTTAGTTTAACTATTATATGAAAGTATAATTTAAGTAAATTTTTTTAAAAAAATATTATTATAATAAATAATAAACTTTTTTTATCTTTAAATATTTACTTATATCCATAAAAAAAATTGTATACATAATTTTATGTATTATAAAATTCTTTTATATTTTAAACAAAAATCGATGAAAAAAAGAAATTAAAAAATTTATTAAAATATATAATAAAGAAATTAAAAATATATATAAAAATATATATATATATATATATATATATATATTTATATATATTTATATATATATTTTTAGAAATATATATTAAAAAAAAAATTAATATATATAGAGATATATATTAAAAAAAAGTTTTTTTTTCTTAACAATATGAATTAAAACACAACTTAAGAATTATTTATAGACTAACATTACTAAAGCATTCAACAATAAAATAGCCAAGACGAATAAAATATAGAAATTAAATATCCTTCTACATTTGAACATACAAAAGTCCTTTTATATAAAAATTACATTTTATACAAACGAAACTACAAACTAATATTATTTATTTTATTATTTCCAATCTTAATATGTATACTAATACTTATATTTTAATATATTCTAGATAATTAAAATTCCCAAATGCTAACAAATACACAAATTCACAACTTATCTTTTCTTCCCTCATGCTAGTAGTATTCCCTTGATCCGGATTGTTTTTCTTTTATATATGGTATTATAGGTAAAAATGAACCTTGGATAGATTTTGTACTTTAATATATATCTGAAATAAACTAAATTCCAATATAAGAATTCAAAAATGTTTTAAGTTCTTAAAATGGTACTGAATATAATTAAAAATATCAAAAATATATATCGGATCCTCAAAACTAGGGATTTTTAAATTACGGTATTGTTTTTTGTACTGATAGTTATGTAGAAGTCCCTTCCACTTCTTAAGAAAAAAAAATGATCATAAACTGCCAAAAGCCTAGACTTTAATTAAAAAAGAATGTTACTTTTGATAACGGAAAAAATATAAATGATTTCAACACGACTTTTTTTTATTATATTATTTATAATAATACATTCAATTTTATAGATCTTTAAGATACTGAATCTTCCTATCCGATTTTTCATGACAACTTTTTGATTTCTATAAAATTTTTTATAGATAATGCTATACTTAAATACCTAAATATTTCCTAAGATAATCTTTAAACAGAAAAAGAGTAAGATTCAATTATATAAATGCACTTTAAATGGCGTGTTTTTCCCGAGGTTCCTTCCCGATTTAAAAAAGGCTTTGATGTAGTGAATTAATTTGGTTCTTTTTTTTATTTTTTGATACCAATGTATTTATATATGCAATTTTAGGCTGAATTAATGAAAGAAAAAGTAAAAAAAATTCGAATAGGTTTAAATGTATATGGAGTTTCCCATTTAGCTTATTTTTTATCTTTTTTTATAACCGGTGCAATTTTAATAGGACTTGCATCTTTAATTGAAATAATTTTTTCCTATATTTTTAAATTTAGGTTTTTTCTTGATTGTAATTTTATCATATTGCCTAATTATTTTTTACTTTTCGGACTTTCGATGTAATCATTCGCTTTTTTAATATCTACTTTAGTAAAAAGCGTAAATAAAAGTTATACTTTTTCATATTTTTTTGTGCTTTTTGCAGTTATCCTCCAAGTGTTTATAAACCAGCCGTTTTTAGGCATAATTCCGAACCTTTATGACATAAATAGGGATTCTTTTACTACTTTTATATTGATTTTGTTACATTTATACTCTCCGTTTAATTTCACGCTTCTTTTTTACATTATAGGGCAAAAAGCAGGCAAGAAATATGACTATAATTTCCAAATGTGGATTTATGGAAATGGATATGGAATCAAAGATTTTTTCTAAGAGATGGCTTTGTAATAAAAAAATGTTTCTTTTAAAATACCTAGTGGGGTATTTGTGTTTTTTTTATTATTTTGCAATTTCTGTATATATATGGGTTTAGGGATTTATTTTGATGCTGTTTTGGAAGGAAATCGTGGTATAAAGTTGCCTTGGAATTATTTTATTAAAAATTTTTTTATTTTTTTTAAAAAAAAAAATGGTCATAAAAATAAATCATTACTTCTTTTATTATAATAATCAAACGATGCAGAAATTAATGATTAAAATGAAGACAGTATAGAAGAAAATTAAAAAGAACATTTAACAGTATAATTAGAAAGAAATAACGTATATAATACTTTATAATAAGAAGAATAAGATGTTTAAAAAAACGACATTTTTTCAATAAAAATAGTCGATTTATGTAAAAACTTTATCTTAAGAAAAAATAGATAAATAAGAGCTTTACAAAACGTGACTTTTTAAATAAAAAAAAACGAGATTTTTGCACTTTTAGGTCATAATGGAGCTGGCAAAAGTACACTTTTAAATATTATTTCAGGCTAAATAAAATAAACTAGTGGCAATATATTTTTTGGAGATATGGAAATTATAGAATATAATAATATAAAGGAAATTTAATAAAAAATGGGTTTTTGTCCTTAGTTTGATATTTTGTGGGAAAAAATCACTGCCAGGGAACATTTGAAGATTTTTGGGCGAATAAAGGGAATTCAAAAAAATATATTAGATTAGAAAATAGATGAAATATTATCCAAAATTAAACTAGAAAATTTTCAAAATGTGCAATCAGGAAAATTTTCAGGAGGAATGAAAAGGCGGCTTTCCATAGCAATTTGTAGCCTAGGTAATCCTCTTGTAATTCTTTTAGATGAACCGACTACTGGCTTAGACGTGAATGTAAGGAAGGATATATGGGAGCTTATATAAGAACTAAGATAGGATAAGTGTATTATTTTATGTACTCATTCAATGGAAGAAGCGGATATTTTGAGTGATAGAATCGGCATTTTATCTAAAGGTTAGCTTAAATGTGTAGGAAATTCCCTTTATTTAAAAAATATATTAGGTGGAGGTTATAAAATGATTATTTAGGTAAAATAATAGTAGAAGGTATAATAAGTGGTTTAGTTTTTTTAAGATTTTATGGGATTTAAGTAATTCGAAGCGGATATATTAGAGAATAAAATATGCTTTAAATTAGGAGATTAGGAGTAGGTGAAGAAAGCTTTTTAGGTTTTTAAAGAAAAACGAATGTTAGGTAATATTTGGGAGTTTGTGGATGATTTTGGAATTTAAAATGCGAGTATTGAAGATGTATTTATGTAAGTTCATGATTGGGAAGATTAAGTTTAATAAGAAAAAGATTAGGTTTATAATATTAATTGTGATAAATAATGAAAAAAAATTATTTTATTTATAGTTTTTTTTTTATATAAATCATCTTTTTTATTTAAAAAAAATTATTAAAAATATATTAATTATATATTTTTTTTTAAAAAAAAAAACAATTTAAAAAAAATATATATAAATAAAAATGTAAAGAAAAAAAGACGTATAAAGTTTAATGAAAGAATTAAATGTATTTTTAAAATTAAACATATATATATATAAAAAAAGATTGATAAAAATACCTTTACACAAGAAGAACTTAAACTATTCGAAAATGGTGGAATATCAATAAGTGAAAGTGAGAATGATTTAGACGTAAAAAAAATAATTTTTTTAAAAAAAAAAGCTAAAAAAAAAAAAAGAATCATCATGATTCATTAAGTTCATCAAAAATTTTAAAATAAGAATTAGAAGCTTAAAAACTATATTAATAATAATAATAATAAAATTAATAAATTTTTAAATAATAATAAAATTCTTTTTTCTAATAGCAATAATAAGTCTAAAATCCCCCAATAAATACCCAAATACCTGAACTAGATACTATAAACTTAAAAGCTAAATACTCTTCTATAATAAGTATGTTAGAAAAATAAAATTAATACTTAAATAATGAAATATAGAGATAAAAAGTACATTTTGATCATGAAAAGGTTACTCTTGCGAATGATTTTAAGCGACAAGAGGAGGCTTTATTAAACTAAATTAAATAAATCAAGGCAAAAACTATACATGTAGAAGGTTAAATTCCTTTAATAAAGGAAGCCTTAGCCCAAGTAAGGGACATGCTTTCAGGATTAGTACCCGAAAATGTATACTTAAGGCTTAGAGATTTACCAGAAAAGGACTTACCTACTAATGAATGGATTTTAGTGAATGTATGGGAATTATTATACCCTTTTAAAAAAGAAAACGATTTATAGAAAAAAGAAATATAAAGACTAAGAGATGAATTAAGAAAAAATGGAGATAAATAAAATTAATTATTAGGAGAATTAGAACATTCTACAAGAATGTTAAACGATAAAGAAGAAGATCATAAAAGGCATTTATTAAATTACGAAAATTCAAGAAAAGCACTTGAAATGGAACTTCTTAAAATGTAAGAAGAATTAGATATATTGAGAGAAAAAGGAGTAAAAATATAATAATAATAATAAATATATATATATATATATATATATATATATATATATATATATATTTACAATTATATTTATAATTATAAATAAATATATATAAACTTATTTAAAAGTCTGCATATGATGAATTAAATAGAAAATATAAATAAATAGAATAAGAAAAATTCCTTTTGGAAGAAAAAATAGGGTTCTATAATGCTGATTAAGATGGAAAAAATTTACTTTCTGATGTATATAAAGTAACTGATGATTTAAGGCGAAAAAACGAGCTTTTAATATAAGACAAAGATTATTTAACTAAAGAAAATATATAATTAATTGAAAAAAATAAAAGATGTGAAGACCGAATTGATAGATTATAAAAAGAATACTAAGAAGCCAAAGATTAGGCCGCAGAGTATTTATTTTAACTGTTAAATCACCGAAATACCGCTAATGTCGATTTCGAGAAAAGAATACACAAAGAAATAGGAGAATTAAGAGAAAGACATGCTTTCGAACTTGAAAGTACCAAAAATAATCTCATTGATATTTACGAAAAGCAGCTTAGATTCCTTAAAGATACTAAAGAAGAACTAGAAATAAAATGCGAAAGCTTATAAGGACAATTAAGGGAAAAATAATCCTCCTATGAGTCCATTTTAATTGAAAATAGAGTTCTTTAAAAACGCGTTGAAGCAGATTTAGGTGAAATAAGAATTTAATTAAGATTAAAAAGTGAAGAATATGAACGTATATCTAATCTTTATGAGGAAAACTTAGCAGGAATGAAGGCTTTGAAATTAGAAAACGAAATGCTTAGGGAAAAAACTAATGTATTAAGAGCCGAGTACTATAAAGCGGAAAATTCAGCAAAAGAAAATCAAGCATAAATTAAAGCTGAATTAGCTGTATGTAAAGAATAACTAAGAAATTATGAGTCTATAGAAAAGGAAATAGATGAAGCAGTTATGGGATTAGGTATATATAATTTACATATATATTTTATATTAATTTTATATGTAGCAGGTAGTTCTAATCCTTATGACGAGGAAAATGTTTATATTTAAACTTTAAATAGTGCACCTACTAGTAATAAAAGAAGAATAAAATAAGCTATAAGTCTAGCTTAAAGACTTTAAAGTAAATAGAAAGAAAATGAAGGTTTAATTAAATAAATAAAATGTTTAAAAGATGATTTAGAAAAAACTTAAGATGAATTAAGAGTTGCTAAAGATTTAATTGATAGATCTTCTTAACCGTTTAATTATTATTATTATTATTATTATTATTATTATTATTATTATTATTATTATTAAATTTAAATATATATTAATTTATTTTTATTAAATTTCATTTTTATTAATATTTATGTTTTATGTTAATTTTTTAGCTATTCGTTTGTTATCTCTTAAATAGAAGAAAAAGAAAAAGAAATATTTTCATATAAATAAGCTTTAAAAAAATCTGATTAAGATTATTAAAATATAAAAGAGGAATATAATTTACTTAAAGAATAATATTATAGAGTGGAAGGAGATGTTAAAAAACTACTCATTAGAAGGGAAAACATATAAAACATTTAAAGTTTACTTATTAAATTAGCACAGGCTGATAGAGAAAATATATAAAGTAATGTAAAAGATGTTCTTATTTAAATTTAAGAAATTCTTTCTAGTAAAGGTAATATAGACCCTGTTAATTATAAATTAAATGGTTCAGGTTAAAAAAGTCATAATAATTCGTTTAATAATGCTGTTTATTAATAATAAAATAATTTAGTTCCTTAATGGGCTCAAAAATTAAAAAATACATTAAAAAAATGAGTTTTTTTATATTTTTGAATTTTATATTAATTTGCTTAAAATTTAAAATATAAATATATATTCACTATATATTATATATATAGACAAATAAATTTTAAAAGTTTTTTTATTGTATATATATCTAATAGAATCAAAAAATATATATATATCATACATTTATATTTAATATAAAATTAAAATTAATTTTAATTATATTTATTTTATAACAATAAATAAAAATGATATCTGATAAATTATAAATTCCTAAACTACAATAATAATAATAATAACAAATAATATAAAAAGACTAACCATATAATATCGATTAAATTGATAAATAAATGGGCCAAAATTTACAACCAGTTCTTCAAAACATAGTTTCTACTGTAAATTTAAACGTAAAATTAGACTTAAAAACAATCGCATTACGTGCCCGAAACGCCGAATATAATCCAAAAAGATTCGCCGCTGTAATAATGAGATTAAGGGATCCAAAAACAACCGCATTAATTTTTGGAAGCGGAAAAATGGTATGCACAGGGGCAAAAACAGAAGAAGATTCAAATAGGGCATCAAGGAAATATGCCAAGATTATATAAAAAATAGGATTTCCGGTTTAATTTGTAGATTTTAAAATATAAAACATTGTAGGATCTATTGATGTAAAGTTCCCTATTAATTTAGATTTATTAGCAGAAAATCATAAATAATATGTTTAGTATGAACCGGAAATCTTTCCAGGGTTAATTTATAGGGAATTTAATACAAAAATTGTACTTTTGATTTTTGTTTCAGGGAAAATTGTATTAACTGGGGCAAAAACAAGGGAAAATATTGATAAAGCATTTAAAAATATTTACTACGTTTTATGGTAATTTAGAAAAAACGATTTTAGAGGATAAAATAATTTGTTTAAGAAAAGTATATAAAAATGAGGTTTTTTTTTTTTTTTTTAATATAAAAAAAAATATATATATATACTAAATTATTTCTTTAATTAAAAAAAAATATATTTTTTTATATATTTTATATATTTTTTTATTTTTTTTTTCAATTATTAAAAAAAGAAAAAAGTTTTTTAAATTTTATTTTATACTTATTTTATTTCAAAATAATAAAATATAATAATTATTAGTTTTTATGTATTATTCATAAATAATTTTTTTGTATTTTCTTTATTTTTTTAAATAAGGATATTAAATTTAAAATAAATTAATATGGCATTTATTATCATATAAACAGCAATTATAAAAAAAAATTACAAGAAAAATATAAAAATTATAATTTAATAAAAGTAATTAAATAATATTTATTATTTTTTTTATATTTTATAATATAATATATTTTGTTATATTTTTTGTAATATATAAATAATCAATATTAATTTACCTTTTTATCATATTTATTATTATTATTTATATTTTTTTGTTTTAATAATATCATATATTATAAAAAATATCAGCAATTAAATGAAGATAATATTAAATATAATTAATTTTTTTAATATTTTATTAATCAAAATAATATGAATTTTTATAAACAATAAATTATAATTAATTAAAAGTGAAAAATGGAATAAAAAAATCTTAAAAATAGATATAATTAATATAATAATATTTATATATTTTATAGCATTAAAAATTGATTTCCAATTTAGATTTTTATTTTTTATTATAATAAATTAATAATTATTGTTTTATTGATATACTATAAAATAATTTAAATTATTATAGAATGTTTTTTAAATTATGTAAATTTTTTTAAAAAAATATTTTCAATATTTTATATTCAATGTTAAATTTTATATATTTATAAGAAGAAATAATAATAAAAAAAATGTATACTTTAATTAAAATTTAAAATTTAAAAAAAATAATAAAATAATTAACTTAGTTTTATTAAATGTATATGAAAAATAAATAAAGTTTCTAGAATAATTATATAAAATAAATTTTAATTTTTTAAATTATAAATAAAAAATATTTTTACTTAATCAATATTTTGCTACAATATAGTATTTTTAAATTTATTATATTTTATTAGCTTTATCTAACAGAACGATTCATATATACTTAGTTTCATATTGCTAATTTAAAAAGTAATTAATTTTGCTAAAAAATAAATAAAATTTAAAAAATAGTAAATATAAATTAGACCATGAATTTTATTTAAACTTAATTATAAAATATGTAATTTTATAATAATATATTTATAATAATTTTCCTCTTTAATTTAATTTAATTTTATCATATTTAATATATTTAATTATTTATTCATAAACAAAAAAAAAGTCAATATATATATTAATAACATTAATTTTCTAATAAAAATAAAATAAACTAAGCTATTTTCCCAAAAAAGAGAAAAAAAAGAAAATAGAAAATAAAAGAAAAAAGAAGAAGGATATAACAAAAAAACAAAAATAATAATATAAAACCAAAATACAAAAAAACTTAACAAAAATGGTATTCTACAGTTAAAAATTTTAAGTGCCAACCAAAAACTCCAAACGAAAATACATAAAAATAAAGAACTAATTAACCGGTGAGCATATAATGGACATACAATCTATCGAATGTATGTCCATAAATACAATAAAATAATAAGTATAGAAAAAGATAGGAGGACAAGGCGGTATAAGTAACGTCCGTCTAATATACAAACAGCAAGTATTATAAAACAACAACTAAAGCATTGCAAACTATCAACTAAAAAACGGATCAATAATTTATTATGTACCCTTAGTTGAGTTTGATCCAAATATAGGTATGATTGAGAATTGTGGAGATATCCCACTTCCAGAGAGAATATCGGAAACTTTATGTGAGATAAGGAGAAGTTTAAATAATAAAATTACACCTAAATTAACTGATTCTGGGATTTCGGGAAGTTATTTTTTGGAAAGTGTCGAAAGAAATAAAATCGCTATTTTTAAGCCTTTAGATGAGGAACCTTATGCGCCTAATAATCCTAAAGGATATATTGGTAATTCTTAATTATTATTTTTTCCTTCTATTTTTTTTTTTTTTACTTTTAAATTTTATTTATTATAAAGAATATTTAAAGGAAAGTTGGGACAAAAAGGAATCAGAGAAGGCATTTTATCAGGCGAGTAGTGCTATAGAGAAGTTATAGCTTATTTATTAGATATATAAGGCTTTCATGGAGTCCCCGAGACTACTTTTGTTGAGTTTTATCATCCTTCGTTTAGAAATAATGCAGATATAATACAAATCGATAATCAAGATAAAGAAAAAAGACTTTCTGTAATTGAAAAAAAATAATATATGATGGAAAGAAGGAGTACAATATTAACTTATTAATAATAAACTGAATAATTTAATAATAATATCAAAAGAGGAAGTCTATAAGTATTTGTAAAACATGATGATGAATGCGGAAATTACGGAAATTCAGTCTTTTCGACTGATGAAGTTCATAAAATAGCAATTTTAGATATTCGAATATTAAATTGTGATAGAAATGATTAAAATATTTTAGTTAAGAAAAAAAAAAAAAAATGTAAATTTTTTTATTGGAATAATATATATATATATATATATTTATATATTTATATAAATTTTAAATTTATTAATTTTACAGGTGAATTAAATAGCGAATAATTAAAGAATCTACCAAAATATAAATAAGTATTATTTGAATATGACTTTAAACTAATTCCTATAGATCATGGACTTTCCCTTCCTAATAATTTGAAAATATTTTCGGAAGATTTAAACTGGATGTGGTGGGATTAAGCCGAGGAAAAGCTTTCTGAAAAATCAAAATAATATGTGAAGAATATTGATATCAAATCTGATATGAAAACTCTAAAGTAGACTTTTAATTTATCTGAAGCTTGTTTATTTAATTTTAGAATTGCAAATATAGTCCTTAAAAAGGGCGTTGAAGCCGACCTTACATTAAAAGAAATAGGAAAAATATTATATCGAGATGATGTTTCTGAAGAATCTTAAATTGAGAAAATTATTTAAAGGGCTCAGTAGTGTTTAAAAGCTTGTATTGAAATTGGAAATGAAGAAATTATAAGAAAAAAACTTATTAAATATATGTAAAATAATAATAATAGTTCGTAATATTCACCTGATTCTTTATATTTAACTTCTCAAAATACTAATTATGATAATAAAAAATTGATTAATAAAGTTAATGGGAAATAGAATCTTATCTTTAATTTTCCTTTAAGATAGACTAATGATTCTGTTATTAATGGAAATTCATAAAAAAATGAATATTCTTTAGAATATGAATATGAATATGTATAAAAAAATGATAATAAAATTTAAAATAATACTTAATAAAATAACATTATTATATAATAATAATAAAACAATGTTAATATTTAAAAAACTAATAATTGTTAAATAAATAATAATAATAATTAATAATAAGCAACAAATTAATAAAAAAATAATAATCTATAATAAAATAATATTTAATAATAAACTAATAATTAATAATAAACAAATCATTAAATATAAACTAATACTTAATAATAAAGTAATGATTTAAATAATAATTTACATAATAATAGTTTTTAACAAAATAATAATATAGAAAATAATTCTAACACTGACTTTATAGTATAAATAACTGATTCTTACAATCTTAAGTTAGAAAAGGCTAGAAGTTCAAATAAATAAAAAAATCAAACCGAATAAAAATAAACAAACGGGAAAAAAATGTAAAGAAGCTTATCTGTTCTTATAAATTCTTAGAAAAATAATAATGATTAGAAAAATGAAATACAGCATCTTATATCAAAAGAAAAATAATAAATTGTAAAATTTGAAGACTAAGATAAATCTAATGCTATATTATAAAAATAATAATCAAATACGAAATATTTTGATAGAATCGAAGATTATGAAAGTTTAAAAAAGAAAAAAATTTTCGATGAATTGTTCTTTTATTATATAGAATAGGCTCTTCAAACTTACATAGAATAACTTTAAATCGAAAAAGATAAAAAGCGTAAAAACATAGGAAAATATAGAGATAGAATCAGATCTGAAAAATATAATTAGTTCGGATGATTATTTTATGACTTTTTTTTTTTTATAAAAAACAAAAAAAGTTTATTTTTAATTAACATAAAGGATATTTTTTTTAACTAATTTTAATGTTTTTATATAATTTTTAATTAAAGTATATATATATATATATATATATATATATATATATATTTAAATTTTTAATTATATATTTTTTATATTTAAAATAAAATAAATAATTATATTAAATTTTTTCTTTATTAAATTTTTTTATGAAGATTTTTAATAAATTAAGTTTTTTTTTGCTTTCTTATTTATATTTTATTTTTTCTATTTTTAATGATTTTTTTATATTAACAATTATCTTTTAAATATTTATTGTATTTTATTATTAAAATTTTGTTTATATTATAATATATTTTAACATTAACTATTTTTAAAATTATATTATTTAATTCTTTTTTTATATATATATATTTTTTTTCGAAAAATAAGTATTATTAATATTTTATTCAATATTGTTTTTTTGTTTTTTACTCAACTTAATAAATTATAAAACTATTAGATTTTTAAGCAAGATCTTTGTTTCTAACTTCATTAATAATTTTATCTTATATTTTATATTATATCCATTTTTTGTATTTAAAATGCAAATATTAATATTTTTTACAATAGTAATAAAACTCTAAATAAAAATATTATTTTTTTTAATAAAAAAAATAACTAAGTTTAATTAACTAATATTATCTCTTTATAATTTAAAAATAAACTTACTTTAATATTACTATAATTTATTTTACATAATTTTGATTTTCTAATATAATACATTTAAATAAAATACCTTCAATTATTTTCTATTATAATTACCTCTAAGATTACAATTATTTTTTAATTAAAAATTATTCTTATTATTATTTCAATATAGTTTATTTTTTTAAAAAAATAATAAATAAATATTTTTATTAATGATAAAAGATTTTATTTTTTAAATAAAATATAATATATATAATTCTAAACTATTTTTTATTAAATTTATTATAAATGAATAAATATATATATTTATATATTTTTATCAAATCTTAATAGGTTAAGTTAAAACATTAATATTTCCATGAAAATCACAGTGTGTTTCATGAGGATGATGTAATTAACCTTCAACAATATAATCAATATGTGCTAAATGATAAACAGATGGATGGCCACAATTAATACCATGAAAATGTTTCATTTCTTTAGTTTCACTACATATGCATTATTTATCTTCTTAAAATTAAATATTGTTATCATTATCATTATTATTATCTTTTTAATCAACTTTACTACAATGATTTTATTCATTATTATTGCAATCATATTCCTTCGTAATATTATTTATTTTAAGGCTACATTTATTATCTTTTTCATTTTTTAGTTAATTATTTATTTTATTTTATTCATCTTTATTAATAATATTACATATATTTTTTTCTATATTATTATTACCTTCTAATTTATTTAAATCTTACTATTATTATATATTTAATATCTTTTTTTCACAACATTTGCAACCACCTTTTTCTTTACTACATTTTTAATTATTTTCATCGCCAATTTTAAATCTATTTCCACATTCACAATTGAAAGGATTGCAAGTACTTTACATTATATTTTAATTAAAATCAAATCTATAATTTAATTCATTAATTTTTTTCTCAACATCATGTAATGAATTATGTGTAAATTCACTCAATGGCTAACAAACTCCTTTCTAAACTTCATTATTAGCTTAAATGTCATGTATTTCAATTTTCCCAGATTTCTTATTATAATAATATAAATATCCTTTAAATAATATATCATAATGTAAATCATGCTATAAAGCAATATGCTATTAATTAAAGAAAAAAGTCAATTATTCAAAATCTTTTTAAGAATCATTAAAATTACATTCTATATTTTAATATTTATAATTATAACTATCTAGTTATAGTCTTTGTTTTTCTAACTCTTAGATTTAGTCAATATTATTCTTATTATCTTAATTTTATTCACATAATAGTTATTAATTAAGTTTTATAGTATTATTTAAGTTGTTAAGAATATGATCTTTTTAATGCTTTTTTAAACTACTTTAATAAAAATATGATTTATCACATTCGTTACATAAATATTTATTTCTATTTTTCTTTCTTAAGAAATTATGTTTTTGAAATTTTTTTTTTTATTATATAAAAATAATATAAAAAATTAAAATAAATTTAATTTAATTGATTTTATTTAAAAATATATTATTTAATATAAATATAAAAAATGTATACTTAATTTTAATGAGTTAACAAATGCTACTTTAAATTAGAAAAAGTACTAAAATTTCTTACACAAAAATTACATTTATGTAATTTTAAATTAATATGAATATTAGAATGTCTTTTTAAATTTGAAATCTTTTATATATTTATATAAAATATAAAATAATATATCTATATATTATAAAAATGTATATAAATTTAAAAATATGTATATATATATATATTTATTTATATATATATTATTTTTTTCTTTAATTTACATAATATTTAGTTATTTTTTTGTATATATATTTTTTTAATTATTTATTTTTACTTAAGTAAATGATTAATTGCAATTTTCAAAATTACATTTATATGGTCTTTCACCTTTATGTATTCTTATATGTTTTTGTAAACTACTATATTAAATGAATGTTTTATTACAGTTTATTTCTTTACTATTTTTTTTTTTTTTTTAAATTTTAATTTTTTTACCATTTATATGGTCTTTCATTTTATGTATTCTTATATGATCATTTAATGTTTTTTAACTCTAAATTATTTTGCACATTCAGCATAAGTACATTAAAAATTTTTATTTTGTTATTATTAATTATTTTAATTTTTTATTTAAATTGGTTGTTAAGATTAAATATTTTAATTACTAATATTATTTTATTTTTCATATTCATTATTACTTACATAAGATGTTTAATTATTACGATTATCTTAAAATAATTAACTATTTATATTTAAATTATTATTATCATCGAACCCAAATTATATATTAAATTGTTATTTTTTTAAATTAAATGAACAGTCAACTTATTAATTATATTAAAAATTTTAATTAAGATTTATTTTATTTATATCTTTTTAATTATCCATTATTATGTTTATATTTTTAATTTTATTATTTTTATATAAAATGTTTATATTTTAATTTTTTTAAATTTTACTTTTTAATTTTAATAAGCTTTTTTAAAATTTTATGTTAGTTACTACTAAAAATATAAAATGTATAATAAAAAATAATAATATATAAAAATATATATAAATAAATAAAAATGATTATATATATATATTTATATATGTATATATATATATTTAATTATATTTTATATATTATAATAATATGGATTATATTTAATCTAAAATATAAACTTAAAATAATAATAAAAAAAAAGATATTTTTTAAATTAATATTTATAGAAATAACAAAATTATTTATTAATAATTTTTTTTTTTTTTAATGAATATTTTTATTTATTTAAAAATAAAATATTATAAAAAATATAAAAATATTATAATTAAAATCTAACATTTTTTATAAAAATAAAATAATATATAAATAACAAATATTATATAATCATAATTTTTTATAATAGAAAAAAATCATTTTTGATAAAATTAATCTTATTACTAATTATTTTCTAATCTATAATCTTTATTATATTAATAATTTTCATTTTTATTAGTATTGACACTTTTTAGTCTCTTTTTTGAATTAGAAAAGCTATTATTAATTCTCTCAGCATTACTAACTTTTTCATTATATTAATAATTCCCATTATTACTTAATAAATTTTAATCATTAATATTATTATATTTATAATAATCATTTTATTAATACTAAGAAGATTTTGTATTAATTTTCGCCTAAGGACTTTTTGAGATTTCTAAATATTTATTAATATTTTGCAAATCTTTTACTTTTTTGGTCAAAAGCTTAGTTTCATTATCTAATTTTTTAGCCAAATCTATATTATCTTAATTATCGGAAATATTACTGAAAGATTTCATTAATAATTTATGTAATTCTTCAATTTCTAGATTAGATCGTTATAATTTTTCTTTTAAATTTTCAATTTAATTTTTATGATCATTTAAAGAATTCTATAAATTAGTTTTTTATTCCTATAATTGATTTATTTAAGTATTTTTTAATTAAATTTAGTTTTTATATTCTTTTATTAAATTTTCCTTATTTATAAAGTCTTCTTCTTATAATTTATAATTTTTTCTAAATTATTCTTCTTTAAGTCTAAAATCTAGATTTAATTCTGTTTTTTAAACTTCTTTTTATTTTAGAATATTTATTTCTTTCTAATTTTAAAGTATTTCTTCTTAAAATTCAATGATTTTTTCTTTCAATCTTTCTATAGTAGTTTATAATTCCATTTCGTGTTATTATTATTTAAATAAAATAGCTTTTAATTCTTATATTTCTTCATATTCTGGAGTATTACCATATTAATTATACTCATAATGATCTATTTATTCAATTAAATTTTAATATCTATTTGAATTATTGGCTTAATGTAGACTTTTTTTTCTATTATATTTTAATTTTATTAATATTATAATTATTATTATTATTATAATTATTATTATTATTATTATTATTATTATTATTATTATTATTATTTATAGTAAATATTTCTTTTATAAATAACTAATTTACTGTTATAATTCTTTTATTTATTCAATTAATAATATATTTTCTTTTTTGTATTTTTATAATTCAATTTCTAAATTAGATTCTATATTGTTTTACTTTTCATTTAATATTTTATTAAATTTATTTAATAAAGCCTATATTTATTTTTCATATTCTTATTTTAATTAGTTTATTTATTTTTATGTGTTTTCTTGAAATTATTATAATAATTTTTTTAGTTTATTTATATAATTGTTTAGTCCATTTTTTTTGAAATTATATTGTTTTTAGTTTTCATAGTTGAAGCCTTTTTATTTTTTAAAATTATTTTCTTTTCTTTTAATTCTAATAATATTTTTTAAATTTAAATTTAGTATTCTTAATTTTTTTTATTATCTTCTTCCTAAATAAAAAATTTATATATGTAATAGTATATAAATATATAATATAATATATATATATATATATATATATATATATTATAATTAATATGATTTATATATTTACATTCTTAATAGAATTTTCTTTATATATATCTATTAATTTTTAATTTAATGTTTTATTTTCACTTTTTAAATCTTCTAAATTTTATTTTAAGTTTTTTATTATTTCTTCTTTAAAAGAAATACAATTTTAATTATTTTAATGTTCTCCTTTAATTAATTAGATTTAATTATTTTATTCATTAATAATATTTTTTTATGCATTCAATTATTCATATAAACTTTGGTTTTATTTTTGTATATTTTCATGTTCTTAATGTTATTTATTATTAATATTTTTTATTTAATCCAAATCATTTTTTAATTAAGAACAAATTAAATCCAATTCATTATAATTATTGACAAGATCATCGTTTTTTTTTTAATATTTATTTGTTTTATCTTATTAATTTTCAATTTCATTTTAGAGTTTTTTTATTTATTTTTAAAAATCATCATTTTCAATTTAACATATATTTAATTTTTCTTCTATTTATTAATTCTTTTACACATATTATTTTATTTAAATTTTAAAATCTTTATTTTATATTTCTAATTCTTTTATAGAATCTATTTTTATTAAATAAAAAAATAAATATAAATATTAAAAAAAACTACTTTAAAAATAATTAATTTATATTTCAGTTTCTTTATTTTTCCTATTTTCAAATTATTACATTTTACTATCTGTATCTTTCTTATATTCTATTAAGAAAGTTTCAAAATCTACTTTTGTTTTATCTAAAACTCTCTTTTTTCTTCCAAAACTTCCTCATATATAGATTTTTAAACATAATCTCTTTATAAAATTATTAATTTTTCTTCTAACATTTATTTCAATTGCCTTTCTTGATATTTTAATTTATCTGCTTCTTAATTACTTTCTTCTTTTATTTCTTCTATTTTCTAATTCATTTAATCTTAATAATGTTCTTAAATTTATAGAACATAATCTTCGTGTCTTTTTTACATTTCTTCCTTTTATTTATTTTATTCATATAAATTTATTGATTATATATTTATTATTTTACAAATTTTATATTTTATTATTTATAAATCTCTTCTATTTTTCGTTCATATTCTATTTTTATTTCTTAAGTAATTTTTTCTTGCTTTACTTAATTTCTTTAATTAGTGTTTTTATTTTCATTTAAATCCTATTTAATATTTTTTACTAATTATTCTTATTCTTATATTCTTCCTTTATACTCGATAATTTTCTTTTTATAAGCATCGATTTTTTACTTATATTTAAGTCTTAACTTTTCGTTATATTCTTTTTATTTTTCACATTCCTATTTGAAACATATATATATATATATATATAAATATATATATATATATATATATATATATATATATATATATATATATACATTTTATAATTATATTGATTGCGTATTAAAATTAACTTCGTTTTCTTAATTTATCTAAATTTATTCATCTATTTTTAAATTTAATTAATTATTAGAATCCACAAAATTATTAAGTTTTTTTTAAAATTATTAAATATCAAGTTTTAATCCTTCATTATTTTTTTACAAAACTTAATTTTTTTCTTCAAAAGTTTTTAAATTTATATTTAATTTAGTAATATCTTAAATTTTTTCATTATAATTATTTTTTATTTGATCTATTTTTCCATTAAGTTCATTATTTTCTTACAAAATAATATTATAATTTTAACTTAAATTTTCATATTTTTATTCTAATTAATTTATACTCTAATTTAAAGTATTAATTTAATTATTATCTTATACTTATTTTTATTAAAACTACTATTCTTTTATTTCAAAAGTTTCTTAATACTAATTTGTTAACTAATTTATTTTAGCCTGAATTTTCACATATTCATTTTCATAAAATTATTTGTTTTAAATTTCCTTATTTAAATCTTCCCTTAACATATGTATTATTTTTGAATTTTCTTCCATTTATTCTTCATTTTAGTTTATTATTTTTCTTTTTTCTAACTCATTTTTTGCATATTCATTTTTCAAATAATTATATTAATTTGATAGTTTCTCTATTATAACTTCCCTTTCATTTAAAACTATTTCTTCGAATATTTCTTTAACTCTTTAATGAATATATTCTTTACTTATTTAATCTTATTTTAAAGTATTAAATAAATCATCCTTTAATATTTTATTATAAACATTCTCAATTGATGTTTAAAGAGTTAAAAATCTCATTTCATAAAGTTCTTTTAAGTTATTTAATCTTTCATTATAATTTTATTCTAGAATCTTAATTATTTTGTTTTTATTTTTATATTATTTTATTTTTACTTTTGGGTCATCATATAATTTTTTTTATGGTTTTTAATCACTTAATTTTAATTTTTATTATATTGAATTTGACTTCCATTCATGTTAAGTATTATTTGTATTAGAAATACTATAATTTTAATATATTTCATCCATTTTATATTTAATATTATATTTTCGAATAATAATTATTATTTTTTTCAAAAAATAAATAAATAAAAATTAAATTAAATATAAAAATTATAACTTTTTTATTTTTTTTTTTTTAATTATATTTAATTTATTTAAAAAAAAAAAAAAAATTGTTTAAAAAAAAATAAAAAAAGGAGAAAGAAAGAAAATTAAAAATTTAAATAAAAAGTAAAAAAAAATTAAATTAAAAAAAAAAAAAAAATAGAAATAAAAAAAAAAAAAAAACTACATTAATATTAAAAAATAATAAAAATAGATATGAATAGTACTTTATCCAATCAATCGATTTCAAATAGCGAAAAAATAAACTACCGTTAACAAGGTAAAAAAGTAGATGGTAGAATATATACAGGTTTTATCCGTGATGCTGCATCCAAGATAAGTGTAGGTTCAATTCCTTCAAAATTCGAAGTAATAGTATTTAAGTCTCCGACTCAGACAAAAGGATTTAATAATTCCGAAATAAGATTTAAAATTAGGAAATAGAATGTCCAGGTCCAGGTACATATGAATATCCGTCATCAAATTCAATCTTATATGGAGAAAAAGAATCAATATCGAAAAAAGGATATGGAAATGGATTTATAAGTACAAGTGAAAGAGATACGTTTAAGCCAAAATATTTAAATACAGGACCAGGTCCTGGTCAATATAATAGTATGGAAACAAACAGTTTTATTTCAAAAACTACTAATGCAACTGGAAGTATAAAAGGTATTAAAAAAATAAAAAAGTTAAAGAAATATTTATATAACTATATTAATAAATTAATGTATAGTTTTATATAAAAAAATAAATAAATATATAAAATATATATTATTATTTATTGATATATATAACATAAAATGTATTTAATAATATATAAATATAAATAATATAGATTATAATATTATATAGCATATAAATAAAAGTATATTTAAAACATATTAATTTTATATATAAAAAATTTAATTAAAATATAAAAATAAAAAATATAAAAAAATATAAAAATATAAACTTATACTGATATATATTTAAAATATATATATATAATTATATATATATATAAATATATATATATATATATAAATTTATATAATTATTTAATTATATATATATATTTCATTTTTTTTTATATTAATTTTATGTTTATTTATAGGTAGTTGTATGTTTTTAAACAGAAAAAGAAATCCCGAAATATAAAAAGAAAATCCGAATACAGTTCCTTTAGAAACTCCTGGACCTGGTGAATATAATCCTAAGACTAAAAGAAGTATAAATGCTTATCATAGTTCATTTATTTCACGTTCTAATAGAGATAAATATTTAAATAGTAATAATAATCCTGCTCCTGGTGATTATAATATAAGGACTACTGTATTAGAAAAGAAACCTTTTTAGCATAAAGGATTTATGAGTAGTTTTTCAAATAATGTTTAAAAACATTAAAAAGCAGATAGAATGTAAGACTTAGTAAAATTTTTAGATGATGGTAAAAAAAAGCTTATTATAGGCTCTAATTAACCTATTCCTGAATAGGAATTGTTTACACCTGGCCCATCTTCTTATAATCCTAAATTACCAGATTTTAGACCTTAGTATTTGAATAGTTAAATTACTTCGAATTTCAAAGAAGGAGTTAAAGATAGATTTGGAGATTTTTATGATTAATCGAAAAATAAAAAGCCTTTTCCAGGACCTTAGGCTTATAAAAAAGAAGATATTGGGTTCAATTAGATATAAAGTGCGATGGTTTCTGGGTATGTTTTTATGTCGGAAACTGCGAGGAAACCTTATGGAGATTTTCATAAAAGATTAGGACCTTCAAGAAGTATTCCTTATTATTTACCTTAATAGAAATCTTTTCATTTAAATTTAGCAAGAAATTGGGTTTGATAAAAATTATATTTTTGTTAAAAAGAATTAAAATAAGTCTTTTATTTATACATATATATATATTTTATATTAATTTTTTTTTTAAAAAAAATAAAATAAATAACAAATATATTTATTAATAAAAAAAAAAAATGGGTAATATATGTTGTTGCGATAAATAAAAATAATTATTTATTTTTGATAGAAATTAAGAATAATAAACATCATTAAATACTATATAAAATTAAAAAAAGCAAATATCCCTCCAAGACTTTAAAATAATCCAAAAATTAGGAAAAGGAGCATTTGGCACAGTTTATTTAGTAGAAAATAAAAACGCTATAAATCAAAAAAAATAACAATTATATGCCATGAAAGTAATAAAAAAAGGCAATTTATAAGACGAAAAAAGTATATAATCTATTTAATTAGAAAAGTAAATTTTATTTTAATCAAAAAGTCCTTATATAGTTTAATTAAAATACTCGATATAAACTGACAAAAACATTTATTTTTTAATGGAATATGTTAATTCGGGTCATTTATATACTTTTTTATAAAAAAACTAAGGCAAACTTAATGAAAAAGAAGCTGTTTTTATCATTTCAGAATTAATTTTGGCAATTTAATATTTACATGAAAAAATGGAAGTTATGTATAGGGATATAAAGCCCGAAAATATACTTATAAATAACTTAGGGCATATAAAATTGATTGATTTTGGACTATCTAAAAAAATGAATGCTCAAGATAAAACTTATTCATTTGCAGGTACACCTGAATATTTAGCACCTGAAGTCATTTTAAATAAAGGGCATGGAAAAAGTGTAGATTTATGGGCTATAGGTGTACTTTTTTATGAGATGATAAGCGGTAAAACTCCTTTTTGTGATGACTCTAAAAATTTCGAGAAAATTTAGAGGTAAATAATATAAAATAGACCAATTTTCGGATCAATTTTTTCTGAAAATGCAATTAATTTTTTATAAAAAATATTAAAAACCAACCCTAAATAAAGATTAGGGTATTTTAGTTTCGATGAATTAAAAAAACATGTTTTATTTAAAAATATTAAATGGGATAATCTATATGAAATGGAGTCTCCTTTAAAAGAAAATAAAGAGTTATTATAAAAAATAAAAAGCGAAGATATTTTAATAAATTAAACAATTTAAGAAAGTCCTAATAAAAAAAAATTTATTTATATATAAGGAATAGATCAATTAGAAGAAGATTTATGAATAAAATTAGTTTATTTATATAAATAATTAAAAAATAAATAATAGATTTTATGTATATTTCCTTTATTTTCATATAATCTTTTCTTTATTTTTTTATAAATATATAATATTTATTAAAATAAAAAAAAAATATATATCATAAATTAAATAAAAAAAAAAAATGAGTTTAGAACTATGTATTATTAAGTATAAATATATAAAATTTATGAATATTAAATTAAAAACAAATTATTATATATATATATAAATATATATATATATATATATATATATATATATATATATATATATATATTTTTTATGTTTTTAAATATTCTTTTTTATAACTTATAAATTTTTATCATTATATGATTCTTATATTATAAAAACAATTAAAAAAAGATTTATATACCTATCATATACTTAACATTAATATTCTTTATTTTTTAATAATAATATAACATTTTTATAATATTATAATCAATTTTTTTTTTTATTAAATAATATCTCTTATTATATCATAATAAAATATGATTCTTAATATCCGTAGAAAAAACTTAATTTTCTTGTATTCATTTTTTTTTTACCTATATATATAATATCATATTTTAATAAATTATAGTCTCTTTATACTTATTGATCTTATTTTTAATTTATTGTTTAAATTTATTTTGTATTTAATCATCATATTTTTATTTAATCAAATAAAAATATTGTTATAGCTATTTAAAAGATTAGTCTTTTTTGATATTTTACATTTATTGAATTTTTTCTTAGCCAAAAAATGAGAAATTTTAAGCTTAGTAAAATATTTTTAATCCGATATTTTTGAAATACTAGTATTATTTTTTATACTTAAGTAATATATTTATTAATTGTGTGATTTTTTAGTCTTTTTTGTTATTTTTGTTGTTGTTTTAATTATTTAATTTTATAATAACAAATATTTAATATATTGAACATAATGGAGTCTTTTATTGTTAATGGAATGGATATCATAGAAAATGTAAACATTTTAAATTTATAGAGATATTCTGATCATTATTTTTATTTATATATGGGGAATATATGACTGAAAATGATATTTTTTTATTGAAATTTATTAATAGAAGGAATTTTAATTTAAATTAATGAAATAAGGATAAAGAAAACAAAAATAGAACAAAGCTAATATTTTGATACAGGAATTTAAAATGGTTGAAGTTTTTTTTAAAAACATTGCATTTTTATATTTAATTTTTTTATAAAAAATAAATTGATTTCTTTTTTAAATAAATAAATCATAATAATTATTATATTAAATAAAAGAGAAAATAAAAATTAGAAAAAAATATATTCAAAAAAATATTATATTTTCAAATTAAATATTATAATAAATTAAAATAATTAAAAAATACTATTATTAAATATTTAATAATATGAAATTAAATTTTTTTTATAATAATATATTGAATTTAATTTACATATTTTTTTTTAATTTAAAAAGATTTTTATAGATTTAAAAATATTTTAATTTTAGATTTTTATTAATAAATAAAAATATAAATAAATGATAATATGAAATATTATTTTAATATTCTATATATTTATAATATAAATGTAATTAATATTGACAAAATTATAAATTTATTTATGCTTTATAATAAAAATATCTTTATATAATATTATATAAAAATATTTTTCTATTATAATTTTATAATTAAAAGTTACACAAACATATTAATATATTCTATTTTTTTATACACATAAAAAATAATTTTTTTTATATATATATATAAAATTAATTATTAATTATAAATTAATTTTTTTTTTATATTTTATAAATAAAAAAATATTCTATTATTAAATATAAATTAAAATTACTCAAATTAATCAAATAATTAAAATTAAATATTATAATATATACTTTGAATATATTTTTAAAAACAATATTTTTATTTTCTTTGTTTCCGAATTAAATAAATAAAAATCACAAATTTTATTGTTTTTAAAAAATTTAAAAGTCAAATATAAATATAAAGCATTCTGTTTAATAATTTAGTATTTATTATTTTAGATTAAGCTTTTTAAGTATTTATTTAATTTAATTTAAATATATAAATCAGGCAGAGAATATTAATTTAAAATATTGTATTCAAAAAATAATTTAATTTATTTAGATATATTAAAAGATATATTCAATATAAAAAATTATTATATATAAAAAAATAAATCGTGTGTGTTTTTATTAAATTATAAAATGAAAATAATTTAATTAAATCTTAATTTTATTAATGGATTTTTTTTGTCGTCAATAAAGATATCCAAAAAGATTTGAACATTTATATCGATTTTGGTTATTTAATACTCTTATTTGCTTATATATAAAAAATTATGTATCTGATGTATCTTTATAATTATTTTTTTTATTTATAATAATTAGAAAGAAAATACAGAATTAAAGAATAAAAATAAATAATATTTTTTAATATTAAATAAAAAAATGAAAAAATAATTATTATAATTATTCATTAATGTTTAAAATTTATAGGAAAAAAAAAAAAATTATATCTAAATATAAAAAATAATACGAAGTAATTATCATTAAAATTAATATATTTATAAAATCTTTTTTATATATTTATTTTAAATAAAAAAAATGATTAAATCTTATTATGTATATATAAAAAAAAATTTGTTCTTTATATGAATAAATATTAAAAAAATATATATAAAAAATAGATATAAATTTAATATATTTTAAAATAAGATATAATAAAAATTTATAAATATTGAAAATATAAAATAAAAAAAAAATATATAAAAAAAATAATATATATATATATATATAAATAATTAAATTTTTTTTACATTACATATTATACTTTTAATAATTTATTTATTATATTTTTTTATAAATATTTTATTTTATTTTATTATCTTATTTTTATTTAATTTTATTTTAGATAAATTTTTTAAGCTTTTTAATTTTTTTTATGTATTTATTTTATTTTGAAAAAATTCTTAGTATAATATTTTTTTTATTATTTAAATATTTCATTTGTAAGTATCACATCTAAAATTTATTTTTTTATATATAATTTTACAAATTATTATGTTTTTAATTATATAGATTTTTATTTTTAAATATATAATTTATTGTTTTTTTATTATTATTTTTCTATATATATATTTTTTTTATATTAGAATTAGTATTTTTAAAAACATAGAAAATTCATTAATATTTATTTATGTTATCTTCACTTATTTTTATAATGAATTTTTTTTGAAGAATCAAAAAAATTATTTTTTATATTTAAAAAATATATAATAATAATATATTATTAACTAAAATTTAATTTTTTTATTAAAAATAATAAATAAATAAAAATAATTAAATAAGTTTTATTTTCTTAATAAAAAATAAAATATTTAAAAAAAATAAAATATTAGAATGTATTATACTTAATCCTAACCATAATAATAAAATATAAACATTTAAGAAAATATAGGTTTAACCCCTAATTATAATACTAATTATTAATAAAGACCATAATTATAACAAAATTAAATTTCATCATATTCTATTCCTGTAATAAACTAATAAAAATCCACATTTTAATAATCATACTTATCCCCAATAAAACAAAGTAAAAAATAAAAACAAAAATATAAACAATAAATAAATAGTATATGGTTCTCCTAACCATACATAATTATATGAAAGCAATATACCTATAATATCATAACAATATCCTATTTAAATAGAAAATACTTTTTATTAACCTGAATATGTATAATATTAATAGCATTAAGATTATCCGAGTATATATACTGATGATTCAATCAACAAAACAAGGCTTTATATATTAAAGAATGATATATAAAGAGACTAGAATTATTTTTATGATGATAATTTGACTATTCCAGGACATGGAACATATAAGAAATATTAATTATACCTAAGAGAATCGGAGAATAAAGAAAATGAAGTTGAAAATAAAAACTAATAAAATGAAATGAGTAACTATAGTTTTTTTATGAATATTTTAGAAATATCAAAAATCGAATCAGAAATAGAATTAAAAAAAAATAAATTAATTGAATAAAATGACTTCAATATCCCTACTTTTTTTAAATATTTTGATAAAAATAATTCTTAGAAAGTCTCTATTTATGAATTTTCTTAATTATAAGATACACTAGGTTTATCTTTTAAATAAAACTAAATTGAACAAATTTATAAAAGAGTTATTGATTATAATAGCAAAGATACTTTAATAGAGTAAAAATTTATTAATAAATTTCTGTTTTTTATTTGTATATAAAAATAATAATAGTTACACATCTTTTCAAACATTATTGTTGCCTTATTTAAATACTAATATTAATTAAAAAATAACATCTGAAAAATATATATAAGTAGATATATAAATATATATATAAATATATATATAAATATATATATATATATATATATATATATATATATATATATATATACATATAAAAATTTATTTATATTATATTTTATAATAGAATCCTAGCTCATATACATTAGAATTATTTTAAGATTTAATGAAAAGTATGAATGAAAGTGAAAGTTTAATAAATAACTTAAGAATTAATTTAGTAAATAAAGGTAATAAAGTTTCTTAATATTTCAAAGAAATTGACGATTCCTAAAACGGTAAAATAAGTCCTACTGAATTAGAATAAGCTTTGTAAAAATATAGTTAAGTAATAACTCAATTTTAAGTAAGTGTTTTATTTAAAAGAATTGCAAAAACGAATTATATTTCAATCGATTTATATTAATTTGAAATGTTTTGTTATGGGAGCGATTCAAATAGGATTTTATTAAAGAAAAATTTTAATAAAAATTAATAACTAAATAATAATTAATAAAATAATAGTACAAATGATAGCATTACTAATTAAAGATAAAAACTTATGATAGGTATTTAAATATATATATATATAATTAATTAATTAATTAATTAAAAGATAAAAATAGTTTTGAAGATTAATTTTTTATTATACTTTAAGAAAATTGTAAAATTGAAAAAGAAATTATTATGTTACAAAACATTTTATTTTAAAATTCTAACTTTGACATAAATTTACTTTTTTCTTTATTTAATCCTTAAAATAAAGAAGATATTAACCCTTATGACTTCACAAACACATTAAAAGAATATTTTCTAATACCTCTGTTAGAATATGCAGATTGCATTTTTATTTTCTTAGATTCTAAGGACCAAGAACACTAAAAGGGAGACTTACGTTTGATGATTTTTGCTCTTTAATAAATTATTAGTAAAAAAATATTAATCAATTAAAAAAAAGGAATCTAAATTTGAATAAATTAGACTAAGAAACCAATAATTAGCTAACAAGATTATTCAAATTACACTTAAATAATGAAGTTATTTTCAACAATTTAAAAAGGGATTTGCTCAATAAGAAAGTTTCATATGAAAATTTATTTAGGAAAATTTGTAAAGATAAATAATACGCAGAAATATTGATTTTGATAATATTATGAGATAATATGGATCAAATCAAGATTTCATATACCATAGTTAAACTTTTTCTAGATTTGATATTAATAAAGAAAATATAATTACTTTTTAAAATTTTAAAAAAATTTTATTGATGTGAAAATTTATATATTTATATATATATTAATATATATATGTATATTTATATATATACATAATTATTTTTGAAATTTCTTTTATAAATATAAAATCTTTTTAAAAAAAGAATTTAAAATATATTATTTTATGTTTTTCTAAAAATATAAATAAAAATTTATTATTAAATATAAATAGTTTTTTTAATTTTGTATTATTAAAAAATTTTAAATATAATATTTTTATACAATTTAAAATCAATAATATTATTATTTTAAGTAATTTTATTTATATTTATTTAGTATTTCATAAATTTGATTTTTTTTTTATTTAAGTTTTATAAGATTATTAACGTTTTTTATTTTTATTACATTTACATTTTTAGTATTTTCGCCTGAAACACTTCTATTGTTTTTATTTCTTAGATTAATGCTAATAAAACTTTTATCAGTTTTTATTTATTTTTAATTAGTTAAATTAGGTATTATTTTATTTACACTATTTTATTTTATCTAATTAATTTTATTTTTAAATAAATTAACGATATTTTTACTTTTATTTTATTAAAATTTTTGTAATAATAATTATTGATAATTTTAATTATTACTTCCATAAAATTTTTTTATATTATTTTTATAAATAATATCACTTTTATTTCCTAAATCACTGCTTATATTTTTTTTTTCATTTTCAAAAGAAATACAACATTTCTATTAAGAATATTGTGAAGAAGGTAGTAAATTTTTAAGTTAAAATAAATTATTTTAAATTTTTATTGTTTTTAGTAATAAATGCTTATTATTATTATTATTATTATTATTATTATTATTATTATTATTATCATTATTATTATTATTATTATTATCTTTATTATCTTTATTATTACTTTTTATATTAATTAATTTTCTTCCTCTCAATTATTTTTAATTATTATTTTTTTATATAACTTAATTTTCCATTTATTTTAATATTTCTAAATCTTTTATTTTTTTCTAAATAATTTATGAATTTAAAATATCTTCACATGTAGGCCTTTTTTCTGGATTTTTTTTTAATAAACTATTTATAAAAACAGCTAATTCTTCACTATAACTTTCTGGTATTTTTTTGTAATCTTCTTTAGTAATTTTATTAAATAATTCATCCATATTTTTGCCTTTAAACGGTGGTTTAAGTGTACATAACTCATAAACTATACATCCTAGACTCCAAATATCGCTTTTTAAATTATAAGGGATTTATTTCCAAACTTCTGGACTTGCATAATAAGGAGTTCCTGTCTAAGTTTTTAAAAACCCATTTTTATCTTAAATTTATTTTGATACATTTAAGTCTCCAATCATTAACTTTCTCTCTTCTTTATCTAAGAAAATATTCGCCGATTTTAAATCTCTATGTGCTATATTTAAATTATGTAAAGCTTTTAATCCATTTGTTAATTATATAATGCAATTCCATATAAATTTTTCTGAAATAAATTCTCCTTTTTTTTGCGTCGAACGAATTTTTTTAGATAAATCGCCCCCAGGTGCATATTCCATAATTATACATAATTAATTTATTTTATCATCAAATATAGCTTATTTATATGATATTATATTTGGATTTTATATTGAAGCTAAAAAACGGATTTCGTTTAGGGCATTTTATTACTCTTTAAGTGATAAGTTTGACATTTTTATCTTTTTTAAAGCATATTCAGTATTATCTTAATGACGTTTTATTAAATATACAGAACTAAATGAACCTTTGCCTAATTTTTATATGATTTAAAACTTTTTTAATTCTGGATGCTAAAAATAATCATTTTGCATTATTTTTTATTTAAATATGTATATATTTTTATATATTTCTATTTTCAAAAATATGTATTGTTATTATTTTTAACAGATTTTTTATTTTATTTTAATTAATAATTTTAATTATTTATATTCTTAAATTTTATAAATAACTTTAATTATATATATACTTATTTTTTTAAGTATTATTAAATTGATAAACTAGTATTTAATTTAGATATTTAATAGAATAAATTTTATTATTAAAAATAAAAATATAACTATTAATTTATTACTAATTATTAATATTAAACATTAATATAAATTTAATACCAATAGTATTTATTTATATAAAAAAATATTAATTATATTATATTTTAAATAGAATAGTTAATAATTTATTTTTTAAATAATTATTATTTATATAAAAATTTTTATGTAATATTTCAAAAATAAATCTTAAATTAAAAATAAAATAAAATTTTAGAATATTATAAAAATAGATAATCTTACTTTTAGTAAATTTATTTTTTTAAAGATATTTTGCGAATATTTATTTTTATTTATTATCATATATTATAATGATATTTTTTTTACTTTTATTATTTTATGCATTCATTTATGCATTTTACTTTTTTATTTTATGGACACATTTTTTAAAAAAATTAAATAAATATTTTATATATAATCAGTTTAAATTTAAGTAATAATTAATTAATTTAATCCACAACAAAAAATAGTAATTAAAAATAAGATTAATAAATGAATTCGCTTTAATGCGTATTAATTTAATTATTTTTTTAAAAAAAGTTTTTATTAAAAAGTAAATAAAATAAACAATAAATTAAAAAAATAAAAAAAAATAGAAAAATAAATAAATAATGAATTCAGAAAATAATGTTAATAATAAATATATACCATTTATTATAAAAAGAAATTATCCGAGAAAGCTCCAAATAAATACAGAAATCTAGTAAATAAAATATGGTTTTATTACAGAATTAGACAACCTAGAACGACGAAAAAGATTTTTATAAAGTTTAAAAAATATGACTTATAAAAATATTACTAATAATCAGCTATTATATCAAACTCCAAACAAAAAGCATTTATTTTATGATTAAATTAAAAATAATAAAGGAAAAAATTCTAAAAAATCAAAAATAGAAACCGCTAAATGTTTTTAATTATGTAATAATAGTAAAATAAAGATTATTAAAATAATTATAAATATATATATATATATAAATAAAAATTTAGCTTGTAAAGATTTAGAAGAGACTAAATATACTTTAAGTGAATCGCATAGAATAAACTCAAATAAATCAATTAAAAAAGATAATTAAAATTTTGAAAGCTATAATCAAGATAATACTGATTATTTAATAAACTAAAAAAACTATGATAATATAGAATAAAATCAAATAGTTAGTAACCCTTAAGAAGATTATTTTAATATAAATTTTAACTGCGAAAACTACTTTAATTAGCTAGATAATTCAAATAATAGTTAGTTTTATTTTTATTAATATAATTAAAATAACTCTAATAAGAATAATTTTATTTTTGAAAATATTTTAAATGATATATGATAATATTTTTGATTGACATTTATATTTTTCTAAAAAAAATGGCTTTTTATACTTTTTTTTAAAAATGTCTTAGTTAAAATATATATATAAATATACATGTATAACATTTTTTAATTTTAAAAAAATAATATTTTATTTATTTTTTAAACATTATATTGTTAAAATTATAATTTTGTCAATTTTATTTTTAAAAAAAGCCTAATTTTATGATATTTTTTTTTAGTTAAGAAAACTATAAAAAATTAAAAATTCATAATAAAATAAATATAAATAAAAATATATATATCAATTATTAAAATAAAGGTAATAAAGAATAATTATATCTATTATTTTAAAATTTTCTAATATCAATTTTAATATATTTAATTTAATTAATTATATAATGTTAAAAATATTAATTTTAAATTACTATTAAAGTATTTTTTTGCTAAAAAAAAATACAATATAATTGATTTTCTTATTTTAAACAAAATAATTAGTAAATAATTATATTATATTAATTTTATTTTTTAAATAAAATATATATTTAATTTGTTATGAGTTTTTTAATTAAAATAAATAAAAATAAAATGTGAAAAGAAAAATAAAATATAAATATATATATATATATATATATATATATATATATATATATATATTTACATATACAATTATTTATATTTATTAATTATTTAATTTTATTGAATATAATATATCATATACTCATATAAATTGGTATAGATGATTTTAAAATTTATAAAGCCCTTTATCCCTTATTAAAATAATTTAAATTAATTTAAAAAAAAAAAAAAATACGCCATTTTATTCTAATTTTCTAAGAACTATTTATATTTTATCTTCAAATTTTCTAAATTTATAGAATAAAAATAATTAAAAATATTAAAATAATAAATAATACTTTTTTTTCATTTATTTAATAAGGACCTAAAGTAAATGCTTTAGATAATCATTTAACTATTCATTTACCATATCTGATAATCTCCTTAAAAATAAAAAATAAATAAAAAAATATAAATATTAAATTAACAATAATATATATATATATATATATATATATATATATATTATAATTTACATTAAAACATTTAATGAATTTTCAATATTTTATTAATTTTGATGATTTAATGCATTTTTTAAAGGCCAAATTAATTTAATTACAATAGGCTTAATTTTTTCCTCTGCGTTCTAAATTAAAATACATATAATTTAAATATTTCTATTTAAAAATTTAAATAATACATTTTATTTAAGTAATTAATCTACGCAATTATAGGCTATGAAATTATAAGGATGTTTATCTTCAGAAAGACCTTCGAAACACGTTATTAATAAAGAATCAAAAGATATCACTTAAAAATATATTAGAATTAATTTAAATATTTTTTTTACTATTCAAATCTATTTCTTTATTCCATTTTATTTCCATTTTTGTATTATTATAATTTAATTTACAAGGTATTCCTCCTGCATTATAAATATAAGAAAATTTATTACTAATTTTAGATATTTTTTTTTAGTAAATATTATTTATTTTTTATACTTCGTTTGTCTTGTAAAAATATCATAAGTTTTTATTTAAGTAAATTTAGATGAAGGCTTTGTTAAGAATATATTTTAATTTTTACTATAAGGACTTTATTATTATTCCTCTTAAAATAATTATTTTTTCTTAACTTTTAAAAAACAAATAAACAGATTAATATTTACATTCATAATATTTAAATTAAATATACTTTTTTCTGATTTTGTTATTTCTTTTATTGTAAAAGAAGTTAATTTTGGAGATTTAGAAAACATTTTTTTATTTATGAAAAATATTTTTTTTTGTTAAGTTTTTTATTTATTAATAAATAAATATTTATTTATTGTTTTGTTAAGTATATTTTGTGGCATTTTAAATAATATTTTTATTTTTTAAATTTAATTAAAATATTATCTCATACGATAATTTAATTAATAAAATATTTCAACAATAAAAAAATATTTTATATTAAATACATATAAATTTTCTACAAAAAAAAAAAAAAAAAATTCTTATAATATTTATATATAAAAAACATTCAACTTATAAAAATATAAATTAATTCCTAATTGAAAAAATAAAATATAAATAAATGCTTTCATTTTTTAACAATAAGATTATAAAGTCCAAAAAAAGTAGTAGCCAAGCCCATAATCTCAACTAAATCTGGATATTTTTAATAATAAAAAATATTAAAGATATACGAATAAAAAACCGAACAATAAATAGTTAAAGAATATCTTGGTTTATCTTTCGCAACTACAGTTCCATGAATAAAAATTAGAGAACTAACGTAGGCAGGAAAACCACATAATATAAAAGCTAACATATATAGATAAAGATTTGGAAAAGTTATATTTTTAAAATTTAAAATCATTAAAAGTACACTAAAAACTACTAATAAAAATCCCATAGAGAAATTTATTTATACTGAATTTAGACTGGGAGCATATTTTATAAGTAAAACACCATAAGCCCATATTCCATTTATTAGAAAGAGTCCTAAAGCAATTATAATTTGAAAAAAACTCAAAAAATCACCACTGCTATTATTATTATTTTAAATTTTGTTAAAAGTAATTAAATCGATAAAAAATTAAGGGCTTGTGACCATAATTATACCTAATAAACTTAAAAACATTAACAATATATCTTTTCGTCTAATTCTTTATTTAAAAACTAAAAAATTAATCACAAATACCCAAATCGGACCTATATTTTTTATTATAAATACTATATTTAAAGGTAGGTATTGTATTGAATATACAATATATAAATTTAGAAAACTCATTATTATACCTCTGCTAACTGAAATTAAAAATAAATTATTTTTATATGTCAAGTCTATTTTGTGTGTTTAGGAAATTATAAAAGATCCAATAAATGTGGCTATACCTCTTAAATAAATGGCAAATGCAAAATCTATGTTTTTATTTAGTTTTAAAAATACACTGGATAAAAAAAACAAAAACTCGGCGAAAAAACCAAAAAAATATTCTTTTATGGGTGTACTTTAAGCAATTTTACATACTATTGTCGATATTATTTTAAAAATTTGTTCTAGTCTTTAAATTATTTAACAAGAGTATTAGTATAAAATTTATATATTCATATTTTTTTATTTTTTTATTATAATTTATTTAAATGATAATATATATTTTATTTAATTTTTTATTTTATTATTATTTTTGTAAGACAAATGTATATATGAAATAAAAAATAAATATATATGTATAATTTATATTTTATATATAAAAATTAATAAATAAAATTATATATTATATGAAAAGTTGAATCTAAATAAATATTATTTATTTATTAATTACAAAAAAAAACATAAAATATTTTTTTGGATATAAAAAGATTTGTAAGATCCTATTTATAGAAATTCATATATTTAATTTTTATTTTTAAATATTTCTTATTTATTAAGTTTATGTGTAGATAATAATAGAAAATTATTTTTGTATCATTTAAACTTAAAATAATAAAATAATAAATTTATTGATTTAAAAAAATAGAAAACAATTTTTATTTAAAAAAAAAAAAAATTATAAATAATTAAACATAAAAGATAAAAAATATTTAACTTAAAGAAAATATTCTGTGAATCTAAAAAATATTGATTCTACCAAGTTTTATTTTAAAAGCCTTATTTTTTATTTTTTTTATAACAAAGGTCTTAATTGCATTTTTAATATAATATTTTTCCATAATTTTTATTAATTTTATTTTAAATATGTTTAGTTAGTTTCTATGTATTAAAAATAATTTTTAACATAATATTTTTTTTTTATGAGATAATAATGTATTAGAATCTTATATTATGTAATTATGAATATTTATCTATTTTTTTTATTTAAATTTAATATATAACTTTTTTTCATATATAGTTTTAATTATAAAAAAATTACATTGTAATAAATACAATAATGTAATTTATAAATATATTAAAAAAAATGTAAAATTAAGAAAAATATATAATTTATTGAAAAAACTAAAGAAGTTTAAATATTTTATTTAAATTTAAATAAAATAAAAAAATAATTAATTATTACATAAAAATAATTTAAAAAAATATAAATAAATAATTTAAAAAAAAAAAGTAAAAAAAAGATATACAAGAAAAATTAAAAAATTATTATAATCATGTGTAAAAATTAAAATATATAATTAAAAAGTATTAATAAAAAATAAAAATAAACGAATATTTTAATATAAAAAAATATTAATAAATCTAATTTATTAATAATTATTGTATTATTTAATATTAAATAAAAATAATAAGAAGAAAAATTAATTAAAAAATAAAAGATTAATATAAATTTAAATAATAATTTATTAATATAATTATATTTTATATAAATATAATATAAATATAAATTAATATAAATATATATTTATATATATATATATAATTATATATATTATATTTATTTTTAATTAATAGATATTTATTTTTTGATATACATTTTTAAATAGATAATGATATCTTAATATAATGTTTATTTTTTTTATTATTATCAAAATATATTTATATTTAGTTTACCAACTATTTTAATAATAATTGGTGTTATAAATAAATATATATTATATAATAATTTTATTATAAAAAACTTCAAACAATTTATAATAAATCTAAAAATAATATATAAAAAATATTTATGTTTTTCATAATTATAATATATTTTTTATATTTATATATATATATATATATTTATCTAAAATAAATTATATTTGTCTTTAATATTATTATATTAAATATTAATTTTTTTTATTTAAAAATAAATAAAAATATTTATATATTTAGATAAATTTTAATATATAAAATCTATTTAATTCTAGAATATTTTATTTTAAATTTCTTATTTTTTCTATAAAAATTTACATCATATTTTTATAAATAAAATACATATAATGTTTTAATTATATTTATAAGTAAATAAAAATCAAAAAACCAAATACAATTTAAAAAAACATAACATAAAATTAAAATTTTAATTTCATTTTTTAATAAGTTCACCTGCTTAATTGTAATATTTAGACCAATCAGTTTTTAAATTATAAAATCTAATAATACCCAAGCATAAAAGCGCAAATATTCCATCGATATAAACAATTAATTCAAATGAGTATTTTTTTGAAAGATTATAAACCATCAAAAACTAAATGAAATTCGATATACCGAATCCATACCAATACACTCCATATAATAAAGAACTTACTTTAGTTCCGAAAAGTTAACCTGCTAAAACTGGGAACATAGCCATAATTCCTCCAAAAGCCGTATGACAGGCAAAAACCCATACTAAATATATAAATTTATGTATAAAAGCTAATCTATAAATAAAAGCTAAAATTATTTCAAAAATCAATAATTTCGAAAATATATTCCTAAATGAGTATTTGTCTAATAAACTAGACCATAAAGGTCTAGAAACACCATTTGCTATAGATGCAAAAGCTCCACAAATAGTTAAAAAAGAATCATCTGAAGTAGCTTTTTTTCCTATAGTTTTATAGTTACCATTTACTAGTAAACCTAAACCAAGTGAAAGAATACCAACGAGTAAAGAAACATAAAATTATTGAGTTTTAACGGCTATTTTAGGTCTAGGGCATGGTAAAGGATAGTGATGGTTATCATGATCGTCTTTTTTTTTAGCAGGTACAAGTCCTCCTGTAGTTGTTGAGGCAGAAATTTCTTTTTAATATTTAGATTAGGATTAATTATAGGCTGAATTAAGTGAATTCATGAAGTTATTTGGAGGCTTATAATTATTATTAGTAGAAGCATTTTAAGACTTGGATAGATTTTGCATTTCTGTCATTTATTATCCTTAAATTTCTTCTACATCTTGTTTTTCGACAAATTCATCCACCATAATATTGACTTCATCATCGTCTTTTAAAATATTATTTATGAGCTTTTCTTTCAACTCTTTTTCTTTAGCCTTATCCACTTATCCGTTTTTTAATTAATAAGATTATTCAATTAATTATTCTTTTAATCTTCTTTCTTCTTCTCCGGCTTGATTCGGGTGATAAAAAAGCAATGAAGCACCTACCATAAACAATAGAATATAATATTGGCATAATTTCCTTAATACTTTTGGTACATTTCGGGCCACTTCTTCGGATTCTCCATAAAAATATTTATTTATATGCTCCTCGTCGTATATAGGTTTCATATTATTTGGGTTTACTAAAGAAAAGAAAGTCAATCCAAAAATTAAAGAACATAATCCATATCCCATTAATATAATTCCAGAAACCAACCCTTTTTTTTTCGGGAAATATAACGAACCCATATATATCGGAATATAATACATAGTACCAGTAATTATACCAAACATAATACCATATATTAATATAAATTAATAAAAGGACAATACAAAACTAGATATATAAATGCAAAATGTAGCCGCAGCACCCGCACAATAACAATATAATCTTGCACTTCTAAATCTTTTCACAGCCCGAACACCTAAAGGCATTCCTGTAGCCACACAACACATCATAACTGGAAATATCGAAGCCCCGGTTTCTATAGAAAGAGTTGGATCATCGACTAAACGGAAATATGAGGTTATGTATACATTTAATGTACCCCACATATATAAGGCACCGCATGCTAAGTGCATTGTAAAACCACCAAGGAGGGTTAGGTAACCTTTTAGATCGGAAGGTTCTGTACTTAGTAAATGCATCATTTTTTTTATTTATTTTTTTGTATTTTTTTTTTGTGTTTTTTTTTTTTGTGTTTTTTTTTTTTTTCCTATCTTTAATATATATATATATATATATTTATTATTATTATTATTTTACTTTTTTATTTATCTATTTAATTATTTTTTTTAAAAAAAAATATTTATATGCGTATTTTTATATTTTTTGAAATTTAATTTTTTTTTTAAATAATTAATGTTATTTGCTTTTTACAGTATTGTTTTGTTTTTTTCCTTTGTTATTATATAGTGTATTTTTTGTTAATATAAAATTTTCTATTTTGAATTATTGTATATTTTTTTTTATTAAACATATATACATATATATTTTTATTTAAAAAAATAAATAATTAACTTTTATTTATAAATATGAATTTCCTCTATATTTAAATTGCTTATTATTACTTTTAAAATTATAATAATAATTATTTAAAAAATAAATAAAAATAAATATTTTATTTGTAAAAAAAAAAATATAAAAAGCAATTAATTATAATTGTTATTTTATTATTATTTTTAATTAATGTATTTTAGTTAAAAATTATTTTATTATAAATTTATATTATAATGCTAAATATATTATAAATTATCAAAGTGTTAATATATTAATTTTAGCAGTCGTTTTAAATCATCAGATATTTACTGTTTTTTTATAAAATCAAGCAAATATAAATATTAAAATAAATGAATTTTGATGTTGTAAATATCTTCACAATACAAATATATAAATACAATAATATCTTTTTTAAAAAAATTAATATTTTATATAATGTAATATAATTTAAATACTAACTAAAATAATAATTAATTATAAATAAATTTATAATTATATAATAATAAAAATTTATAAAAATTAATTATTAAAATAAAATTCAAAACCAATTAAAAAATAAAAATAAATTAAAAAATTTAAAAAAGAATTATGAATTCAAAAGAAAAATATAATATACTATAAGATTGTTAAAAAAAAGTTGAAAATAAAAAATAAATAAAAAATCAGTCTTCAAAAAAATCAAATAAAACCTATAACTCATTAAAATAATTTATAAAAAAATCATAGAAAAGAAAATAATGTAGGTAGTCCGCAAACAAAAGATCGTACTAAAAAATTTTATAAAGGATAAAGATATGCCCATGTGTATCCAAAATTTTGCTGATGACCTAGTAGAAGAAAATTTTCCAATAATTGAAGAGGAAATTTAATATTAAATAAGATTAAAAACAGATATTGCTTTCGTAGAAGCTTCTAAACCGGAGGTTTCAAGTTATTTTTGGATATGTTGGAAATTTAAATCATTGTAAATATAAATATTACTTTTAATATTATTTTATTTTAAAAAGATTTTTTTTTTAATAATAAAATAATAAGCATAAAATTAAATAAAGATAAATAAAGATAATTTTAATTTAAAATTAAATTTTTAAAAAAATAAAAAAAATATAAAAAAAAGAATTTTATTATATATAAATTTTATAGCATTTTTAAATTATATTAGTAAATAATGGTTAAAATTAATAAATTAATAAATATATAAATATGATTATAAATAAAAATATATATATATATATATATATATATAGAATGAATTATTCTATGTAACCATACAATAAAACTTTAGGTTAAAAAATGAAAAGTTTATTATGGTGGATATTTTTTATAGCTTCTTTGATTCCTTATTATGGTATAAGTAGCTTTTATTTTATTTTCAGATTTTTGGTTATGGATAAATAAGATGAATATTAATTAACAAACTTTATTTTTTGTTTTAAAAAATACCAATTTATAAGCTAAGGAGTAATAGGTGGAGTTATTGGTTTTTACTTGTTTTTTTAATGTGTAGATAGAAATACTAATATTTAAATTACTGTTTTAGACAATTGCAATACATATGGCCCAGGTTTATTAGTACATCCTTAAGTAGATATTATTTCATACGGAATTAATATACTTTTGATTTGGATTACTTTAATTTTTTTACCTTTTTCAGAATAAAAAGGATAACATAGATTCCGCTTAGCTGAAGATGAACAGGAAAAAGAAAGAGATGTCAAATTAAAAATAGCTAAAAAAATAAAGGCAAAAATAAATAAAAAAATAGAAAATTTAGCTTTGGAAGGAAAAAATGTCACAATTAAAGATTTAGCAAAAGAATATAATTTAGATGAATATGACGATGAATACAAAGATAAACCCTGTTGTCCCTCTATTAACTTTAAAAGAGGAGGAGGCGTAAAAATACTGGTAATTTGGGATATTTTCTCATTTGGATTAGCTGTGCTTTTCTTCTATTAAAGTTATAAAATTGAAGCTTATAATTTTATGGAAGCTAAGGGACATGTTTACTTCACTAAATGGATTTATTCTTGTCTTAGTTTACCTTTTTTATTTTTCAATTTACCTCTTTTAAATTCATTAGTTAATAGGGCAAAGCCAACTGGGTATGATTAGTGGGGAAATACTGTACCTATTAAGGCAAATATTAATTATATTGATGATGATGATGATGATGATGATGATTATCTATTAGATGATATTGATTTAGAATAGTAAACGGATACAAAATAATCTGAATCAAATAATAAATGAAGAAAAAATGCTATATTTTGGAAATAATTATATTATCTATAATTAAAAAATTTTATTATTATATTTTTTATTTTTATATATTATTATTTTATTATAAATTAATAAAATATTCATAAATAATATGCAATCTATTATTTAATTATTAGTTATGCCTAAATTCAATTTTATATAATTAAAATATTTCAAAAATATTAAAATTTATTTTTGTTTTAAATATAAATAAAAAAAAAACATTTTTTTAATTAAATGTCAATTTTAAAATCAAAAAAAAAAAAAAAAAAATTTAATTTTCTAATTTAAAAAATAATCAAATATAAAAAAAATGAAAAAAAAAAAAAAATATATATAAATATGAAATTTGACTAATTTAAATAATTCTATTAATTTTTTTATTTTTTAATGATAATTTTTATTTAATTTATACAAAAATCACAAAAAAAAAAATTCAAATTTTAAATTTCAAAATAAAAAAAAATATTTTTTTTTTAATAAAATAAAATAAAATAATTGATATATAACAAAAAAATTATCTATATTAAAAAAAACATAATAAAAAATTAAGAAATAAAAAAAAATGTACAATAATTAAATATTGTAAAGTAAAAAAATAATAAATAAACAATCAAAATATCATTGTTAAGAAACGTAAAATTAACAAAAAAATAAAAAAATATTTAAAGAATTTTATAAAAAACAGAAATTATAGTTCAAATGCAACAACTTTACATAAACAAACATTTTTAGCATCACCTGGAAATTTTTCGTCTTCATAAAATACTAATTATATTGATAAAATAAAATAAAATAATTCAAAAAACGATGAATTTGTTTCTTAATTTACAAAATGTACAAATGAAAGCAATATATATTGTCAAAATCATACGAATAAAAAAGTTAAATATTAAATGAAAGAAAATCCGAAAGAAAAGTTTTGTACAAAATGTGCCATATAATATTTATAAAAAGGGAAACTAATATAAGAAATAAAAAATAAAGAAGGTATATATATTATATAAAAAAAAAATATCTTTATTAAAAAAAAAAAATATTTAATATATATTCTATATTTATTTAAATTAATATAAAATATAAATAAATTATTATATTAATATAAATATAAAGAAGTAAAAGAACTTGATAATTTTATAAAACAGTTAAGTATTATTAAAGATTAAAACTAAAAACTCTTAATTTAATTAAAAAAGAACTTCTAAAATATTAAAGAGCATACTTTTTCTTAAATCCAAATAGTAAATTAAGCCTATATTGATATTGAAAAAGCCATATATGAATCAAGAACTGAATAAATAAGTATTTTAAATGAGAAAATGTGGGAAAATATAAATAAAATTGAAATTTATTAAAACACTGCAATTTTAAACGAGAGTAAAATAAATTATTATTTCTCCGATATATAATAAAACTATAATAAAATAATTGAGGAATTAAATATTTCAGAAATAAGAAATATAATAGATCCTTTGTAATAATAAATATAATAAATATAGTAAAATATGCTCTAAATATAAGAAGTTTTATAAATAGATTATGTATATTTAGAAAAAAGTAATGATTATTAGGCTATAAAATAATAGATCAATTAATTTTTTTTAAAATCTAAAAACATATAAAAAAACATTTTTTTAGAAAACATATTATAAGAATAAATTGAAATATTAAATATTTCTGTTAGTGAGAAATAATTAACAACAGAAAGTGAAGAATTGGCATAATCGGGTGTCCTTTTATAATAAAATCATAGTAAAATTTCTAATAAAAGTAATATTAGTACAAATAAAATTATAAACTATAATGATGTACATGAAAGTTGTAGAAAAAATAATATCTTGTAATAAAGTCCTTTGTAAATTAAAGAAAATAAAAAAAATTTAAATATCTAAACAGAACCTAGTCATCTCCATTATAATAAATGTAAATAAATGTAAGATAAATAAGGAAATTTTTAAAGAAACCTTCATTATTTAAATGATGATAATTTCTAATCTAGTAATAAATAGTTATAATAATAATTCTAATTATAATAAAAGCAATAATAGAAATAATTTTAAGAATTAAATATAAATAATAATAATAATAATAATAACGGAGTAGTTTATAAATCTAAATAACCTAATCTAAAATCGAATTTTCATAAAAATTAAATTTTTTAATAAATGAAAGTGAATTGATTTTTTTTTTCTTCTAAAATTAAATATATATTATTTATTTATTTATCATTATTTTGTTTTATTTTTTGTGATATATTTTTTAAATATATCATATATATTATTTGTATATTAATAATTTTATTAAATATTATAAACTTTTTATTTAATATTTTTTAAAACAAAAAATCATTTTTTATATTTTCTTTAATTTTAGTTAAAATATAAATTATTAAATATTTTTCTTTTAATATATATAAAATATATAATTTAATTTTTCTATTTTTAAAAAATAAAAAAATGTGTTTATTTTTGATTATTATATATAATTTTTAAATTCTATAAACACTTATTTATTTTATTAAAAAAATAGAAATTATTATATATTATATTTAACTAAAATTTATTTTATTTTTTATAAAATTATTAATAATATTTTTTATTTTATTTTTCTAAATAAATATATAAAATTCAACAAAATTTACATTGTTTTTTTAATTCAAAAAAAAAATTATATATTTGCAAAAAAACATTTATAAAAATAAAAATTAATAATATATAGAAAGAAATAAAATAAAAAGAACTTTAGAAATATATAGAACAACATAAATTAATTTTTTTTTAAAAAATAATTAAATAAAAACATAAATAAAATGGGTCCTATACTCTCTTCATTTCGTTTAATTTTTCAAAATATATATAGTGAACAGACTTTATCAGATTTAGAATCAATATCTGATATCGAAAATGAATTAAAGCATACCTAAGGACAACAAGTATGCTAAATCCATAAAAGAATTCTTGAATATGTATGTATAAACTAGAATTGTAAAAGACCAGAGCGTTTTTTATGCAGACTATGTTTCTAAAAGAATCACTAAAATCACATAATATAATAAATAGATTAATTTAAGTAAGAAATGATAGACTATATATAAGAAAAAAAACTCGAAAGAACAGAAGAAATAAGAAATAATAAATTTTGTAATAAAATATAAGAAGAATTGGAATAAAATATAAAGATTTCTTAATAATTTATATACGAGAAATTGATATATAATATAGAAGAATTTCAAGGAAAAATAAAGAATTTATTAAATTCAAAAAACTATATAGAATTGATTTAAATAAAAAAAAATACTCAGAAATAATCCAAATATACTCTTAAAATTAAAAAATGGCCCAATAATAATTATATTGGACTTAGTTTGATGTTATAAATGAGTTAAAAACATATGAAAATTCATAAAAAAATAAATAATTAAATTTCTTCTCTTTATTAAAATATACATCATAAAAATGCTCTATTTAAAAATATATAGAATTTAATAAATTAACCACATGTTTATTTTCAAGTGTCATTTTATTAAATAATTCATATTTTTTTATTATATATTTAGACTAATTATGCCATTTTTAAATCTCTATTTATGATTTTTAAACACTTAAATAATAAAAAATATAGTTTTTATGTTTTTTGTAGGATTAATCTTTGAATATTAATTATTACATATAATAAGCTTAGTATATAAAGTATATTTAGACTGAAAATAATTAATAAATTTAATAAAAAGATGACTAAATTAAAGACTTAGATGAATAAATTTGTAAAGATTTATTTGAAAATTAAATACTTTTATTTAATTAAGGAATTCGTTTTTTAATTTTTTGTGAAAAATAAACTAATATTATATACGTTTTTAAGTTTCTAAAAGAAAATAATAAAAAAATACTCAAAAAAATGCATTCTATTAAATATTTAAATATTAAAACTATTTTTTTTATAAACTAAAGACTTTTCGGTATTTTGATAGATAAAAAAATATTAATTTTTAATCTTTTTTTGGGAAAAATAATCAAATCTTTTACAATAAAGAATTTAAATTAAAATGAAAATTTAATAAAATCTTTAAAATTTAACAAAAATATTGGATATATATCATATATAAACTAAAATAATCAATATATTATATATGATTGGATATAAAGAGTTCAAATTTTGGAATTTTAAATAAATTATAGTTAAAATTTTAAACGAATATTTAATAATTTTAATATTTTTGTTTAATTCTATTATTTTATGTATAAAGATTTAAATTTTTAATTAGAGAAATAGAATATTTATTTATAAGAATATATATTTTATGAAAGCGATTTTAAAAGAAATAATAAATAGTATTGTATACCTTTTGTTAAAAAACATAACAATTAAAACATAATTGGATGTATATATTTATAAGGTAAATAAATAAAGGAGATAGAATTTGATTTATAAAATATGTTAAATCCTTATGAAAATATAAAAAAAATATAAATTGTTAATGATTATTTTATTATTTTTTTATAAAATGGAAAAATATTATAAATTAAATGATAATAAAAATAATTATTAAATTTATTTAAAAAATTTATATTAATTATAAAAAAAAAAATATATTTTATAATAAATTACTATGTTAATAAATAAAGATAAAAATTAATAATAATATATCTAAATAAAATATTATATAAAAATTTATATAAATAAAAAGTTTTTAAATATTATAATAATATATAAACACCTTTATTATTTAAATATTAATCTAAATATATATAAATATATATATGTATATATTATTATATTTTTTTTTTTATTATATTCTTTTATTTATATGCATAATGGAAAAACAATTAAAATTATTAATTTTTTTTTTTTTAATCTAATATTTAATTTTATAAATAAAACCATTGTATATACATCGAAAAATATATAAATATTTTTTTAAAAAAATAAAGTTATTAATTTTTTATTTATATTTTTAAAAATTATATATAAAAATATATTAAACATCCTTTTTTAAAAAAAGATTTTATAAAAGATTTTTTATTATTTCCTTTATTTTAAATAAATAAAAATATAATCTAAATAATCATAGACATTATGGAATAACTTCAAAAAGAACTTTCAAATTTATAAATAACTGATTAAATCCACAATAACTAAAATTCTTAAAAAACCGGTATTCTCTATGATCTAGACTAATTAAAGCATAATTCTTCCCGCCAACATGTCGAATGTCCCGGACGTCTTTAATCTATATATGATCACTTGAATAAAAAGTAACTTCTTTAAAAGCCTAATATTGAATTAGTAAATAAGCTCCATCCAGGTCTTCGTGAGATAATATAATACGTCCATAATGATGATTATATAGATTTTATTGACTAAATGTGGCCTGAAAAAACTTCTAAAAAAGAAATATATATCATAGATACTTATTTTAATAAAGATAGTGCATATTGTGCATATTTAGGTGTCGGCGCAATATAATAATCAATAGATAAAATAGAGAATAATGATTGGAAAAATGCATTTTGTATAATAAGACCTCCTGGTCATCATTCTGGTTATTCTAATGTATGTACGGGTTTTTGCTTTTTTAATAATGTGGCTATAGCGGCTAAATATATATAAAAAAAATACAATAAAAAAAAAATTCTCATTTTTGATTGGGATATTCATCATGGTGATGGAACTTAAATTATTTTTAAAGACGATCCTTCAGTAATGTTAATTTCATTTCATAGATATGATGAAGGTATTTTTTTTTATAAATAAATAAAATATTTATTAAAAAAAAGGTATGTTTTACCCATCATCAGGATCTCCGAGTAATGTAGGAGAAGGAAAAGGAGAAGGATATAAAATAAATGTAGGCTGGAATATTGGTCATAAAGAATATAGTCTAAAAGCAGGAACTGATGAATATATATATGCTTTCGAAAGAATAGCATGGCCAATTATATAAGAATTTGAACCTGATTTTGTAATTGTTTCAGCTGGTTTTGACTCTGCAGAAGGAGATCCATTAGGATAATGCAGTGTATCATACGAAGGATATGCGTAAAATAATAATTATAATATAAAAATAAATAAATAAATAAATAAATAAATAAATATTTAAAAATATATATATATATTCTTTTTTCTTATATGTATTTATATATATTTAAAAAATATATATATATATTCTTTTTTTCTTATATGTATAATTATAATTTTATATATATATATATATTTAAAAAATATATATATATATATTTTTTTTTATATAATTATTAATAGATACATGACTTAAAGATTAATGCAAATTAATTAAGGAAAAATATTAGTAGTATTAGAAGGTGGTTATAATTTAGATAGTATTTGTTGGGCCAGTGAGAGTGTTTTGAGGGTATTAATTGGAGAAGATTTTAGTTATTTAGATAATAAAAAAGATTAAATTTGTCCTAATTTTGTCGGTTTTTCAGCTGTTGAAAGTGCATTTTAAAATTTAAAAAAATATTGGATAAATTTAAGTGATGCAAAACTTTAAATATACACTGAGAAAATAATTGAAAACTCACAAAAAAAGTCACTTATTTCTGCAGGACATTAATCCAAATTTTAAATTAAAGATAATAAAATTTTTAAATAAGCAAAAGAAAACGAACTTCTTTTTTATAAAAAACTATGGATAGAAAAGCAATAATAAGCCGATTTTCTTAAATTTATACCTATATTTTATGGCCTGGAGTAAATAGAAGAACAGGAATATGTAGTTCTCTAAAACTTGACATAAAATTGCCAATTAGGCTCCATTATAGATCTTAAAATTGGCTAAAACACCATCCATGAATCCTATACTTAAAAAAAGCATGATGAAGCATTATTAAAAGATCATAATTCTACTTCTTTTACTTTAGGATTTAGGATTAGTGGAGTTATAATAAAAGATTAGAAAGGAGTTCCTATAGAAAAGGTTAATTTAGGGAAATTTTTGTAAAAATTTACGAAAGAATAGACTTAAGAATATATAATAAAAGTATTTAAATCTAATTAAAAAGAAGAAATTAATATGGAGGCTTTAGAGAATTTTATGATTTTCACATAAGATTTATTAGAATTTTTCGAAAAAAGAAATAAAAAAAGATTTATTGCATCCTCGATTATTATAATTGTTGATAATATACAAAATACATATTAATTTAAGTTAATAGACTTTAATTATGTCGATGATTTAAAAGAAGATAAAAACAAAGATAATAATTTCATTTTTGGTTTATAAAATTTAATAAATATGTTATAAGATATAAAAAAAAAATACTGAAAAAAATAAAATAAATAAATTTAAAATAAATAATTCATTTTTTTTTTCTTCTTCTCAATTATTATTTTTTTATTATTTACTAGCTTCAGCCCTAGCATATGCTAAATAAATAACAAAAGATAAATAAAGCGATTTTTAATCACTATTATATTTATTAGGAAATCCTAATCTATAATTATCAAAACCACAAGTACATAAAGTTGGTGTTAAGACTTCTAAAATTCCCTTATTTCCATCATCATCAGATACATTATAATATCCGATTCTACAACTCTCGCAAAAGCAACAGGAAAAATACGAATTTTTTTAACAAATATTATATTAAATATTTAAATTTCTAATATATTTAGACTCTAAAAAAAGACTATTTGAACATTAAGTAAATATTATGGATGCTATTTATTCACTTCTTCCGTTATTATTTACATAAAATTTCACATCGGGTTGTTAAAAACATTTTACTTTTTATTCAATGTACATAAAAGCTTATTTTTTATCATTATTTTCATCTTTAGGGTCTTTAGTTATAATTATTTCTAAAGAAGAACATAATGAATTAGAAGTAAAAAGACAACAACAATATTAACAAGCACTACTACAAGGTATATATTTCGCTAAAGCATATAAAATAGGATTTTTTTTATCTTTAAGCTTTATTCCATGCTCGTCTGCTTCGTATATTTAAAATACATGATCAGTATTCCAGGAAAATATATTTAAATATTAATGTACTTATTATAAATAAAGACCTCGTATGTTTTAGAGAACTGAAAGGTCAGTGTTTATTAAACATAATTGTTGGAGTTCTTCGGATAATTTTTTATGTATTTTTTCGTGTTTTTAATTTTCTTTTTATATGTATTTTTGTAAGTATTTTTTGTTGATATCTTCCATTTATTACTTTATTTTAAAAATTTTATTTTTTTAATTTTGTGTAATATATTTATAATTAAATAATATTATATATTTTAAATATAAAAATTTATTATATATTATTATTGTTTTTAATTTTAATCGTTTAAAATTTAAATTTTTATATATGTATATATATATACATATATATATAAATATATACATATATAATTATATATATATATATATTAAAATTAATTATTTAATTTGATTTATTAAATATTTATTTTTATTTATAAGATTTTAAAAATATTTTTTTATTTTTTTATTATTTATAATAAATAATTTATAAAGTTCTATCTATTTCTAAACATTTTTTTATGTAATTCATTTTTTTAAAACACAATAAAAATAAAAAATATGAGACTTTTTTTAGCTATAGTTTTTTTAAAAAAATGTAGAAAAAATAAAAAAAAACTGATAAAAGAAATATACTTTAATGTATTCATTTTAAATTATTAGTTTATAATAGATACATATGTAATTAATTTGATATTTTAATTAAAATTAATAGATAAAAATCACTAATCACTAAATATTTTTAAATATTTATTTTATTTTATAAATGTTTATATAATTTATATACACATTTAAATATGTTAAACTAATAAATAATTTTAAAAATATTAAGTATAAATAATTATTTAATTATAAAATACAAAATTAATTTTAAATGTTTAGATTGTAAAAATACTTTATATATCTAAGAATTTATTATAAAATACTCATTTTTATATTGAAGAGCTAATATAATATTTATTATAATTTAAATATATATATTTTATATATTATTTTCTAAATTTAAGAATTTTTTTTTTATTTCATAAAATTTTATAATAAAAAATAATTATGTATATCATACTTTTTTTAAAAAAAAAAAACTAATAAAATTATAGTATAAAAAAATAAAAGAGAAAAAAATAATATATATATATAATAGAAAAAAAAAAAAAAAACTAAAAAATAATTTATTATGAAAAAAGTAATAATATTTTATTACATTTTTATTAAATAATTATTTTATTATTAACAAAACATTTAAATTCAATTTTTTTTTTTATTTTTCTTCTATTTTTTATATCTATATCTATTATAAAAAAAAATGCCTATAAATAATAAAATATTAAGGATAATATTATAATTTTCATTCAAATTAAAAAAAAAAAAATTATATTAAATTTCAAAAAAAATAATAATAATTAATTTTTCAAAAATAATCAATATAAAAAAAATTAAAAAAAATAATACCTTCCATATTAAATAAATATGCATATATATATATATTTTAAAAAAAAAAAATCATCAAAGAAAAAAAAAATAATTCTAAAAAAAAAAAAAAATGCAATAGCAAACCTAAAAAGTATTCACATAAAGACATCATCAATAAATTCCTTAATCTCTAAACGGTCCCCAAGTCTTAAAACACGTCGACAATTACATAATATTTAACGAAAAACTTGGTGGAGGTTAATTTTCTTAAGTTTATAAAGCAATGGATAAAAACGATAGTACCCACTAGAAATATTTTGCAGTAAAAACAATACCAATGACCCCTGCTTAGTATTAAAAAATTTCCAATTATAATCAATTACTCTAAAAAGAAATAGACATCTTATTAAAAGCCAGACATTAAAATCTTATATAAATGCATGATTTAAAATAAACACCAAATAATTTATATTTATTTCTTGATTATTGTAATGGAGGTGATCTTCGATAATATATAACAAAAAAAAAAAACCGTTTATCAGAAGAAGTAACATATATAAACAATATATATATATATATATATATATATATATAAATATATATATAAATATATATATAAATATATATATAAATTTAAAAAAAAGGAAGCAGTTGAGTTTTTTAAATAAATGTGTGCCGGTTATTAAGCCTTAAACGAAAAAAAAATCATCCATAGAGATTTAAAACCTGAAAATATACTACTCCATGGCAACAAAATAAAAATCGGCGATTTTGGATTTGCCCGAATAGTTACAGATCTTGACCAAGCAGTCCGTATGACATAAAAATGTTCGCCTTTATATGCTCCTCCATAGATTCTTTTAAACGAAAAATACTCATCTAAATGTGATGTATGGTCCATGGGTTGCATTTTCTTTGAAATGCTATACGGAAAGCCTCCTTTTAATGCCAATTCGATAATATCTTTATCGGAAAACATAAAAAAAATAGTCGGAAATTCCCAATATTAACTACCTACCTACCCACCTATAGCCCCCGAAGCTAAAGACATTTTAATAAAAATGCTTATGTATAATGAAAAAGACAGGGTTTCTTGGGAAAAAATATTTAAGCATCCTATTTTAAACAAAAATATATAAAAATTAGTCCCTTTAGATGTAGAATTGGATCATGCAAACAATCCTTTATATTAATCAATAAGAAAAAACATAGATGCAGTTTGGGAATAATAATAACTAACAAAAAAAATAATAAACAATATAATAATAATAATAAATAGTTTAGAAAATAAAAATTGAATAATATTAAAAATCTCCTGAAATACCTTCAAAATAATAAGAAATTTAACATCTATATCTTAAATCGCCTGAAATGTAAATAAAATCACCTGATGTTCCTTTAAAAACACCTGAAAATCATATAAAATCACCAATAGAAGTTACCTCTACAAACAATATTACTTTGAAAAATGAATAAAATACTTACTAAGCATTACCTCCGCCTGTAAAATCTCCTTAATAATAATAATAATATGTTCAATCTGTAAAATCAGATAATAGAATATATAGTGCAAATATATATGGATATGAAACTAATCACCACAGTAGTAGTCCTAATTAATATATGAATAAAGAAAATATTTTAAAACGTGCAAATTCGAATAATTTAAGTGATTTTAATCATAATAATATAAACAACTTAAATAATAATAATAATATTTAAAATAATAATATTTAAATAAACAATAATAATTCTCCATATAATAATAATAATAATAATATAGATATAAAAAAAATAGAGGAAAATAAAGAATTATCCGAAAATGACAAGTATATACTTTATATGAAGCAAATAAAAATAAAAGAAGCCGAATTAGCTTTTGTGTCTAAAATAAATAATTTTTTTGTTTTATGAGAAAACGTGCCTTATATTCAAATGCTACTTTATTAAATTTCTGGAATAGTTCTCGAGAATATAATCTTCCTTCTCATTTATAATGTATTATTTTATATTGTTTATGTTCTTATTATTATTATGGGCTAGATAATCTCAAATAAATTCTAAATAAAGAAATTACTTAAAAAATAATTAAACAAGAAGGTTTTGCTTTATATTAAAAAAGTAATGAATACTAATAAATTAAAGATATTATTTTAGTTGACTTAAAAGAAGCCAAATAGCTTTTCGAAGATATAGAGCCCTTTATGGTAAATGAAATTAAAATGAGTAATTCTTAAGAATCTATAGATTTTTTGAAATTCATTTAAAATAAAAATAATAAATATGATGATTTTAGAATTAAAGTTTCTTAGATTTTATAAAAATGTATAAGCTTTATTGATTTTAATATTTTATAGAAGAATGCTTGCAAAGGAATTCATATGATTTAAATTTTTATTAAAATTGAAGATTTTATTCCAACTAAAAATTATAATGAGTTTGATTTTAATAAATTTTATGATGATATGTTTAATTGCCCAAATATTGAGTAATTTAAAATAGCAATTAATTAATTTAATTAAAAATTTTTAGCAGGTAAATAAGCTTATTGAGTATATACATATATTAATTATTTTATTTATATAAACAATAAAAGTTGTTTGTTTATTTTCTTTTTTTTATTTTATAAATTATAATTAATTAATGAATGTTTTTTATTTATTTTTTAAACAATTTTTTTTAATTATACTATTTCTTTTGTATAATCATTACTATTGTTTGTTTGTATTTTTTTTTAATATTTTATATTTCTTTAATTTTTTTAAATAATTAAGCTTTATTATTATCAATATTTTAAAAAGAAAACTAATATTAAATATCAAAATTAAAATCAAAAATATTTAAATATCAAAATTAAAAATAAAAATATTTAAAATAAATAAAAATTAATAATTAACAATTGAATTAAGAAGAAATACCTGATTCCTATATATTATTAAAAAATATTTAAAATAATTGAATTCAAAAAAAATAAAGAAAATAAATTATAAAGTGTAATAAAATAACAAATAATATTAAAAAAATATATATAAAAAAGAATGATAAATATAATTAATAATCTTAAAATTTTTATTCAAAATATGAAAAAAAATTTATTATAAATGAGTAAAATATTAGCTTTAGGACTTAAAAATATATAAATAATATATTATGAAATAATAAACTAATTTATTATTTTTTAATAGATAAAAAAATAAAAAAATCAAATCAAATTTTTTATATAAATATTAAAAATCCAAAAAATTCTAACTTTTTAATAATAAAATATATATATATATATATATATATATTTGATATATATATCTTAATAAAATATATAAATTAAATTATTTTTTTTTACAATTATTATCTTTTTAATATCATTTTTATGAATATTTTTTTAATATCATATTTTTTCAGTTTCTGAATATATTTCAATTCTTATAAAAATTTTTATTGTATTAATTTTATTTTTTTCCCTTTTTTTTATTTTAACTAACAATTATCTGTATATTTTTTTTATATTCCTTTTACATTTTTAAATAAATTTACATTATATTTATTTCTACTACTTTTTTTAAAAAATAAATAAGTGACTTGACTTAAAGGAATAAATTTTATATTTTATAAATAATAATAAATTTTAATTTAATGATATTTGATTAAATATATTGAATAATATAATCGACTTAGTTATTAGATGATTTATAAAATATTAATTTGGGGATGATATTAATATTTTTTGCATTTTTTTATTTCTTTATTATAAATTTATTAATATATATAGATATAAGTAATTTTGCTTAAATATATCAATTTTTCCTATTGATATTTATTAGAATTATAAAATATTTTAATAAATATGAATTTTTTAAAAATATTAGGTGTAGTTTTTTAACAATAACCTATTTCTATATTAATATTTTTGTTTTCATTAAAGATATATGTTTTTTTTTTTTTGAAAAAAAATTGCTTTTAATTGCAAAAAAATCGTATTTTTTGAAAGTTAAATAATTTTTTTTTTTAAAAAAAATAGATTTTTATAAAGCAGCAAATATATAAAAAGTTTTTAATTATAAAAAATTAAAATTAATTTTTTTTATTAGAATTTTTTTATTTTTTTAATAATAAGAATAACTTAAAATATATATTGATAATAACATTTTTAATTTTTTTTTATTAAAATAATATAGCCTGATAAAAACCATAAAAAAAAATACAAACTTAAATATATATATACTATACATAAAATAATAAGCTTATATATAAAATAGAGAAAAAATAAATCAAAAAATAAGATAAAATAAATCTATCACATTTATTAGTTAACATCTAATTACATTTGATAAACTTCCGCATTTTTAAACCAATGAGCTCCAATTAAAGTTTCATTTTCATAAGAAGCAGCCGTGAAACTTTCCAAAGCCCTTGAATGTCCCACAATTGCAATTTTAGTACCTTAAGGCATTTTTTCAAGTAAATTAAGAATATACTATTTTTAAAGTTACACATTTTAATTATATTCCTATTAGCTTTCTATATGTACTGGAAACATTTATTTAATAATCTCTAACAATTTAAAATGACCATGCTTCTTAATCTATATACTTTCCTATACACAAATATTTTTAATATTTGCTTCAATCTCTTAAACTTTTTATTTATTAGTCAATTCATAAACATTCCATAAAATCGGGTTTTCGTATTATTCCAAAAAAGAAAAATCGTATTCTGGAAAATCTTCCTTTGATTCCAATATTCTACCCCCAATATCACAATTACTTAACAGCATTTCCCTAAATAAAGGATTTACAATTACTTTAGGCTTATTTTTGTGATTTTTGAATATTTCTTTACATGTTTCTAATGCTCTTCTTAAAGGACTAACTAAAACTATTCCTATATTTAAATTTTCACATATTTATTCAGCTTATAAACACTATATTTTAATTTTATTTATTTTTGTAAAAAAGAAATTAATATTTTTATAATACTTAATTTTTCCCTTCTTCTGTTAAACTGCAATCTATTAAATCTTTTTTAAATTTAGTTTAAAGATTTTCCCCGTTTTTTACTTCGGTGGATGAATTGCAGGCTTTTCTTTATTCTAAATTATATTCAGATTCTGCATGTCTAATTAAAACTAAATCAATTTTGAATTATGTTGACATTTTCTTTGTTTTTATTTTTTTTTGTTTTTAATTTTGGTGATTAAGTTTTTTTTTATTTTTTTTTATTAAAATTTATATTGTTATTATAATAGCTTTGTTTAATCTATTTAGTGGCGAATTTTTTTTTTTATAATACGCATTTTATATATTAAATTTATCATTCTATTTTTGGATTTTTTTTTTTAATGTTAATAATTTTTATATATTAGATGTTTAAAATTAAAGAATATATAAATTAAAGCAGATTTTTATTTAATACAAAAGTAGTCTTGTTATATTTTTTTTATTTTCTTTCTTAGTTTTTTAATATAACTTTATTAAATTTTATAATTTAATAAATTATTTTGCATTATCTTTTTTTCTTTATCAAATTATATATAGAAAAAATAAAAATAAAATGCGCACTTTAGAAAAAAAAAATATATAGAAATAATTGCTTTCTTACAATAGTAAATTTAAAATTTTTAAATATTTTTAAGCTTTAAATTTAATATAAATAAAATATTTTGTTATATTAAATCTTTAACTTTTAACTATAATACTAATCACTTATTTTAGTCAAAAAAATTATTAATTATATTTTAAAAATTTAATCCTTTTTATTTTATAAAGTATAAAGCAGTTATAAGAAATATAAATATAATAATAAATTTTATTCTTTTAATTTTAAAAAGATTTAAAAATATTATAACTTTACATTTACAATAATTTTGACAAAAAATAAAAACTGTCCAAAGATTTATAGAATCTATTATGGTTTAAATGCACATATATTAAAAAAATGGTTTTTATAAAAGAAAAATACAAGTTTATTCGTATTTTCATATCATATTTTTTTTTTTACTTAAAACATTTTAAAATCAATAATATAAAACAAAAAAATATTTAGAAATAATAATTATGTTTGAAATTAATATTAAAAGATATAAATAATTAAATTTAAATAATTTTGTGATAAAAAAATAATAAATATTATTTAAAAAAGTTTATATAAAAAATACAATTAAATACTTTAAAATAAATAAAAATGAATTTTTTTTAAAAAAAAAAATAACTTAAATAAAATTTATATTTTTAAATTATTTTTTTCAAAAAATATTTTTATCAATTTTTTTATTTATTTTTATATATTTTTAAAATAATTGAAAAAAAAATAAAAATAATAAAAATACATTAAATAATAATAATGAGTAGTAAAGAAAAAAAGTAGCCATCAAACAAAAGTGTCGATAAAAAAGACAAAAGTGTCGATAAAAAAGACAAAAGTGTCGATAAAAAAGACAAAAGTGATGATAAAAAAGAAAAAAGTATTGATAAAAAGGATAAAAGCATTGATAAAAAAGATAAAGATAAAAAAAAGAAAGATAGCGATAAAGAAAATAAATGTAAAAAAAAAAATATACATATAAAAATGCAAAAAGTTATAATTAAAAAATATCTAAAATATAGTAGAATAATAAGAACCCTAACCGCCATAAGAACTAATTTCCCTTAATAAAATTCAAAAATAATAAATGTAAAAAAAAAAAAAATACCTTTAAATAATATAAAAAAATATAGAGATAATAAATTTTGTGTTCACCATTCTTCTGAATTAGTATATTATTGCGAATCCTGTGAAGAGCCCATATGCCGTAATTGTACTAAACTAGGCCCTCATAACAATTAACTCCACCGCATAAATACCCTCGAAGAAGCTTACAAATCTCGTGTAAGTAACCTATCAGAATTAATAAAAGGTAACCTTTTATAAAAGCGTGATTAACTTTTGGCTTAAATTCACCGTATAGAATACCGTATTGAGGAGATAAAATACATTAAATAAATAATCGAGCGTGATGTCCGAAACGAATACGCTTCCATAATTGAGAATTTGAAATAGGCAGAAGGAAAAAAGCTAGCTATATTATAACATGAAATGGCTGAATTGTAAAAAGACTTGGATAAAATAAATGATTTGGGTAATAGTTTCAGTAATTTTGTAAATAATCCAAATGATCCTGTTTCTTTTTTAATAAATGCATAAACAATTCACGAAAATATAGAATTTTTAGTTGCTAAACCATTCAAGACTAATATTGATGTTTATCCGTATGATTTACCCAGGTAATTGACTGATTTACGTTTATAATTATAAAAAGCAGATGCTTAAAATTCACTAATAGAGTTTAAAAATTAAATTATTTGGAAATTATTGGAAGATAGAAAAAAAACTGAAATCGATATTAAATAAAATATGGAAAACGCAGCAAATAATGAAATCGCAGAATGGGCAAAATTAACAGATAAATTTGCATAAGAACTTCAAAAATATTCATTAGTTTGTTACTATTGTGGAGTACCTATGGAATACAATAGTGTAAATAAAAAATGCGCTATTAATGTTAAATTATAAGAAGAAACATGTAAATATAAAAATATATAAATATATTTTTATATATATGTATATATATAAATAAAAATTTAAATTTTTTTTTTAGTTTAAGGATATACCCTTAAAGTTCCTGATGCTAAATATAATGGAAATCATAGACATTTCTTTAGTAAACCTAAAGGAGATTTAGTAGACTTACTAAATGAAGGTAAATAATTAGGTAATAAAGACGGAAAAGGAAGGATTCCGTTTATTAGTTTCATTGAAATTCAAATTAATAAAATGAAAAAAATATGTGAAAAAAAAGCAATTGATCTTACAAGCATATTTAAAGATCATGATAAAACAAATAAAAGTAAACTCTTTTATAATTTTAATATTTTTTCATATATATTTATACATAGAAACTATTAACTAAATTTAATTTATTTATATTATTACGGAAATCATTGGAATAAAATAAGATGAAGCCGATTAATTAAGAAAATTTTTCGATCCTAAAAATACTAATTAAATAATTTATGAAGATGTTTTAGAAGTATTTAATGACCCTTCTTTAGTTGATTAAATATATGAAAAATATTGATTATATTATAATCTTTTTTTACATATATATATATATATATATATATATATATATATATATATATATTTATATATATATATATTATATATAGATATTTTTAATTTTTATTTTTAAATATATATTTTATTTTTTTTAATATTATAATAATTATTATAAGGAAATATTTTTTTACTTTTATTATTATTTTAATGTTTATTTTTGATACAACTATTATATTAAAGAAAAAAATATTTTTAAATAAAAATATTAAATAAATGAAAATTTTTATAGACTAATTAATAGACATAAAAGCATTTTTATTTTTTATAAATTTTTTAATATTATAGAAACAAAGTTTTAAATATAACTGATTAATAAACTTAGTTAAATATATTAAATATTTTTTTTTTTGTTGAATAAATAATATCTATGTTTCTTATAATTTTATTACTTTTAATATCATTTTTATAAATTTATATTAGATATTATATATTTTAATTATTTTTTTTATTTATAAAAATAATTTAAACCTAATGATAAAATCTTTAAATTATTTAATTTTCTCTAAAGATTCAGATATATAAGACAACCCTTCATTTCTAATAGTACATTGAGATAAATATAACCTCAAATTTATTATTTATGCCATATTATATATTTATTAATCAAATATTTAAGTTCCTTATTATATTATTAAATTATTATTTATTATTTAATAAACATTTAATATATTTCATTTTTATTTTTTACTTTAAGTCTATGAGAAAATTTTTTATATTATTTAATTAAGATAAGCTTTTCCATATATATGAAATTTCATGTACTATAATATTATTATCCCTTTATTATTAAAATCTGTATAAATTTATATTATATTATATATATTAAATTTTACCCCCAAATTTATTTTAATTTCTTTCAAATAGTTTAATTTTTTTATTTAATTAGACATATTTTCTATAATTTCATCAAATAATTAATTTTTTCTTTTTTCTTTATTCTTTTTTCTTTTTTCTTTTTTCTTTTTATAATATAGAAAATAATAATATAAATTATTATTTTTACATACTATAATTGGAATTTTAAGCGTATTAACTTTTTATTTAAAGTTATTTTTTATATTTATTATAAAATTATATTTATATAAAATATTTTTTATTTATTTATGTTTATATTTTTTACTTCCTCAAATTAAATATATATTCCATAAACAAAAAAAATATTTAAAAAGGTTTTTCATTTTATGATAAATATATAAATTAATTGTTTTTATTTATATATATATATTAATAAAAAACAATATTAAAAACGTAGTATATTTATATTAAAATAATAAAAGCATATATATATAAAAAATATATATCATTAATTAACAAAAATAAGAATTTTTTCACTTTTACCTTCAATTTAAATAGTTTAAACATTCCTTTAACCTTCCTAATAATAAACTAAAAGTTTTTTTTACCTATCAAATATTTTTTCAACCAAAACCTAATTGCTTTCATTCCCTTAATTATCTAAAAGTACTAAAAAAACTTAACTTTGCAAAAATTCTAAAATATAGGTGTCTATATTTCCTATTTTTTATTTTTTTCCTTTAATTTTTGTAAACTCAGAAAAAATCCTATTTAAAAAAAGCGGATATTCCTCACATTTAAAAGGCCTTTACATTGCCGAAATTTTAGTTTTTGATACACAACTTAATACAAAGTCATAATTTTTATCCAAAAAATCAATAATACATAAAACATAATAACTTCCTTTTTAAATTCCATTTAGTTCAAGTGTAAGACTTTTTATATTTTAAGAAAATCCACCCTTTTATATTGTAAATTACTCATCCAATAAAAAACAATGCACATTTGAATATAAATATTTTTCATAATTTTTAAAATTACGTTTATCAAATTAAGTTATTTATATAAAAACATTTTCTTCTGTAGAATTTTAAAAGTCGATTTTGATAACAGAAAATGCTCCTTTTTAATGTTTTTGGCTTTTTGCAGCATAAAATAAATTTTCGGAAGATTTTATACATATTATCGATTAAAATTAAGACTAAAAATTATTCAAAAGAAATTCTTTTTATTAATTTTGAATAATACTTTTTAATAAAATTTTTTATTTCTCAAAAGACTATATAACATGTAATCCTTATTAATTTTAAGCTATTAGAAAGTATTTTTTTTACATATTTTCATTAAAAAATTAAACTAAATTATATATTTCATTTATACCATATTAAATACATGGAGAACCTTTAAATAAAATAATATATATATTAATCAATTATGATTGATGTCATTTTATTTTTATATATATTTTATATTGAAAATGCATCAATTTTTAAAAAGGCAGTTAATAAATTTATAATAATTATATTTGTTAAATATGTTTTTAAAAATAATAATATAAAAATTAATAAAAAAAAATATATAAATATAATTTAAAATTTAAATAAATAAATATATATATGTAATAAAAAAAATGTGCAATTATAAAATATATAATATATATATATATATATATATATATATATATATTTATTTATTTTTTATACCAGTTAAATCTCTATATACATCACAAATATTTATATTTTAATGCAATATTTCATAAGTTCCGTATGCTTTTGCTAAAGCTTTTTCAATTAAAAAAGGAAAAGAATTTATTTATTTTTTAGAATTTTCTTTGCAATAAATAAACATAGGGTCTTCTTAAGAATTTAAAGGTATTTAATCATCTATATGTATATATCTCCAAAATCCGTCTTTACAAATAAGAAAAAGAAATTAGTTTTAATTTTAAATAATTTAATTTTGTATAATTTTTTCATAAAAATATTTTCTTTCAGTTAAAGTTGCTAAAATATTTAACAAAATTTTGTTTTCACTATTAACTTATATTTCTTAAGAAAATGTAAAAGGATCAAAAATAACAACATTTTATTTATATATTTCTTTTATGCTTTTCCATTTATTTATTTTTACTTTATAAGATAAAGGACGTATATATATAGATGAATTATTAGTAGGAAAATAATAATCTTTATTTATATTATACTACTTAATATAATTTTAATGCAAGTGTAAATTATATTTTCTATCACATTGTAAAGGATATGGAGGAGAAAATTAAATTATTTTGTTTTCTTATTCTTCTTCATTTTATTGATATTTTAATTATTATTATTAATTTCCTAAAGTTATTTATTTCTATATTATTAATTGTTCTTCAAGACAAGATTATTTTATAAGATTTTAATCGTTTTTTGGACTGACTCTTGAACTCGAAAATAATTGTGAATGATTGTTTGTGTTACTTGGAATATCAAAACTTATTATTAGTTCTTGCATTTCTTGCATTTTTTTAATTTTTTAGTTTAAATATATATTATATAAATTATTATTTTTTTAGTTAAACAAAAAATGTTTTTTTTTATTTTTTAATTTGTATATACATATTATTATAATGTTTTTTATTGACTTTTTATGTTTATATATATATATTTATATTTGAAATTTATTTTTTTTACAAAAAAAAAAACATATTTTTAATATTTGTTAATTAAATTTAAATTATTCGAAATTATATATAAATAAATAATTTTTAAAAAATAATGCATATTAATTTAATATTTGTTAATTAATTATTTAAATTATCTATAAATTATATAAAAAAAAGTAAATTATTTTCCTTTAAAAACATTATCTAAAAGTATAATATTAATTTAAAAAAAAATCAATTTTGAAAAACTCCTTCAATTTTTTTAAATTCTCATATTTTGTTATTATTTTTTCACATTTTAATTATTTTCCTTATAATACTTGCTCCAATCCGGTTTAAAATCAGCAATAAATAAAACCACTAAAGCCAAAAAAGTAATACCTGCGTAAATATAGAAAATATTAATAAAACCAATTTTTTTCTCAAACTCTCTAACAATTAAAAACTAAACAAAATTTGCAAACCCAAACCCGTACCAATAAAGTCCAAAAATCTTTGACCCGACCTAAACACCAAAAATTTAAGCAGAAAAAGGCGGATATAGTGTTAAAGTCCCTCCCATATTCGAAACTATTAAATAAACTTAAAAAAGGTAATAAATCTTATGATAAAACGATAATTACATAGTTAATGCTAGAAAAATTTAAAGTATAAATATAGATGTAATGAGTTATTTAAAAGAATATTTATCTATTAAACTACTCCAAAAGAGCCTTGATAATCCATTTGCTAAACTAGAAAAAGAACCAACCATAGTCATAAATTTATCGTCCACAATAACTTTTTTTCCAATTGTTTTATAATTAGAGTTAACTAAAATCCCAAAACCTGTACCTAATACTCCGATAAGGATTAAATAGAAAAAATGTTTCGAACACAATGCTGTTTTAACATTAGGAGCCGGTTAAAAATTTTTTTTAATTTTTTAAGTTTTTATAAAGCTATTTGGCATAATATAGACTCTATTTCATGTCTAACATTTATGTTTTAAGCTTCTATATATTAATTAATATAATTATTATTTTCATTTATATTTTTATTATATGCTATTAAATAAATAGGCTAATTTTAATCCTTTTCTTATTCATTTTATAACTTTTATTGCAATTCTTAAATATTTTATTTATTTTCTTCATTTTCTAAAATTTTATCTTCCTCTTTTTTTTATGTTAATATAGGAAATCCTGTACAAATTTATTATTATTTTTAAATCTCCAATATTTATTTTTTTAACCTTTTTTCTTATTCTCCTATTTACTCAGGATGATAACATACTAAAGATGATCCTAAAAGAAGCAAAAAAACTTATATTATACAACAATATCTAATTGAAGAAGGTACGTTTAATGCTACATCTACAGATTTTCCTTAAAAATAAAATTATCCATCTATACTATCTTTTTCTGGGTCTTTATTATTCGGATTAACAAGCTAGAAAAATATAAATCCAAAAATTAAAGCTGAAAGTCCATATCCACACAAAATAATGCCTGCTACCATTCCCTTTCTTTTCGGAAAATATAAATATCCCATATATAATGGAACAAAATAAATACTACCAGTACTAACGCCAAAGCCAACACCATAAGCCAATACATATTGCCAAAAATGAGTTGTATAACTTGAAATAAATTAAAAAAACATAGTTAATAAAGACGCGAAATATAAATATTTCCTAGCAGAGCCAAATAATCTTATACCTTAAATCCCTAAAGGCATCCCGGTTGCTACAAATATCATCATAATAGGATATATAGCAACTCCTGTACTTATTTACAAATCTTAGTCTCCTTAAGTACGAAAGTAAGAAGTCATGTATATGTTTAAGGTGCCCCAATTGAAAATGGCTCCGCATACAAGATGAGTAAGAAATCCTCCCAGAATAGTAAGGCTACCTTTTTGGGTTTAAGATAAAATCATTATTTTTATTTATTATAGATGTAATTAATTTTTTTGTATTTTTTATGAATGTATATAATTTAAATATAAACATTAATTTAATTTGTTTTTAATAATATATGTTAAAAAATAATAAACACTTTTAGTTTTTTCAAGTTTTTAACATTTTTTTCAAATAATAATATCTATAATTTTTATTATTTTCTTTTTAAAATAATTTTTTTAGGAATATATAAAAAAATTATTATAATTTAATAAAATAATATAATATTAATTAATAAGATAAAAAAAATAAAAGAAAAATATATTATTATTATATATATAAAATTAAATTTAAAAAATTAGATTTTTATTTATGAAAGTATAAAATTATAAAAAAAAAAAAAAATTATAAGACAAAAAATAAAAATAAATATAAATATATTTTAAAACAAAATAAAATAAAATAAAAAATATAAAATTATTATTTAAATATAATTTATTAAATTTATAAAAATTATTTCTACATTTATAATATAGATAAATATTATAGAAATGTAGATATAATAAATAAAATTATAATTTTGTATTTATAAAAATTTATATATAAAAATAATATATATATATATAAAAATGAATTGAAATATAAAAAAAAAAAATATTTATAATTTAATAAAATTAAATATTATAAAATATTAAAAAAAAAAAATTAATTTTATTAATTAATTATATATAATAAACATATTAAATAAAATTAAATATTAAATATTTAAAAGATTTTTTATTAAAAAAAAATTTAATTTAATTTAATTTAAATATATATATAATAAATAAATATTAATTAAATAGAAAAAAATATATAATATAAATATAAATAATTATACATTAAAAAATTAAATATAAATAAATAAATTATAAAAATTTATAATAAATATATATGATAAAGTAAAATATATTTTTTAAATAATGATATATATATAAATATTTTTTTTTTTAAATAAATACAAATATATTTATATATATTATTATTTTTATATATATATATAAAAATATATAAAATTAACTACTCTATTTTATAAATTAAATATCTTTTTTTTAATTTTTTTATATTTTTAATCATTAATATAATTATACATTTAAAAAAAAAATACTCATTAAATTACTTTTTAAAAGTTATAATTTTTTTTTTTTTTTTATATTTGTTTCTATTTTTTAATATTTTTTCTTTTAATTTAATTTAATCAAATTTAATTTTTAATGTTTTTTTATTATTTTTTTAATTTCAAATATATCCTTAGTTAAGTTAAAGTTATTTTTTCTTTTTTTATAAATTTAATATTATTTATTTATTATTTCATATGCAATTAATTTATAAATTTAAAATTAATTTTTTATTATATTCAAATTTTATATTAATTTCATATTTATATTTTAGTTAAATTTATTTATTAATAAAAATATGTTTTTAATTAAATAATTATATTTTATTTGCATTAAATAAAATTTTATTTAATACCATTAAAAAAACGGCTTTATAAATATAATAAAATATAATACAAGGAAAAAAAAAAAAAAATTAAAAAAACTATTAAAAAATCAAAAAAATCAAAAAATATATTAAAAAAATGTATCGTCAAAGTTAATCCTATAATAGCCAACAAATGCCATAAAAAAATTAATAATAGTCATTATCTAATGATTAAAACATTCAATAAACAAATTTTTTATAATAATCTTAATAAATAGCATCTGCATAATAATCTAACAATAATTAAACTGAATAAATATAATTTAATAAAGTATTATCGAACAATAATTCCTAAGTTATAAATTAATAAACATCAAATAATACAAATGTTGAAGTAGATAAACACTATAAATCTTAATTAATAGTAAAAAAATGTATTTCAAATTTGTAAAGTCCAAAAGTAGATACAAATAAAATAATAAATGCTGACGCACATAGAAATTGGAGATCTTCAACATAATAAATAACTGATATTTTATAAGGTAAAGATGAAGAAATTTAATATTGGAAACATATGTGTGAATAATTATAATCATTATCGCATATAGTTGGTAATTTTTTTAAAAATTATCAAAAAATATAAAACAAAAATAATTAAAAGAGTAAACTAATATAATTGAAAGTGAAAATATAGTCCTAAAATAAAAAATAGGCGAAATATAAATAGAAAATGATTAATTAAAAGGTCAAATTTAATAACTTTATGGAGATATAAATAAATATAAAATATAAATTTCAGATTTAAATCTTAATAATGGTACAAAAATCAAAACGGTATATGAATAACGTGTTGAGTAAATTAATTATTATTTTTTACTAATATAATTATATATATATAATTAAATTATAAAGTTACAAATAAGATTAAAATAAATTTATAAATGGGGAAATTTAAAGATTATAAAATTTAAGCGAAGAGTATGAAATTAAAATTAGTTTGTTATCATAAGAATAAGATAGACTTAATGCTGTTATTAGAAATTAATTATATCAAAGTGAAATATAGAAATCCAAAATTTCTGAATTAGAAAATTATAAAGAGAAACATAATGTAATTATATATATTTATATATACAAATATATTTATATTTATTTAGAATAATGATTATGTTAATAGAATTTCTATTCTTACAAAAGAAATTAATAGAACTAATGATATTGTTGTAAAATAAACTAATGAAATTTCAGATTATAAAGAAAAAATTAAATCCTATGAAATAGACATAATTAATTTTAAAGTTTTGGAAGAGAAATGTTTATATTATGAAGGCGAATTTAGAACTTTGGCAGAAGTATTTGAATAAAATTCTTTAAAATATAGTAAATAATAAACAATGATAATTTTTTTTAAAAAAAATAAAATAGAGGAACTCGAAAAAAAATATGAACTAAGTTAAATATAGATAAAAAGAAACACGGAATACGAAAATAAAATAATAGCCGCAACATAAGAAATAGACAGACTAAATTAAGTTATTCATTAAAAATTAAAAGAAACTGAGTAATAATAATCTTTAATATTAAAACTAAAAAGTTAATTAGAAATATATACAGAATTCGAATCTTTATAATAAGAATATTTAATAAAAATAAGTAAAAATAAATAATTAATAATATGAAAATTATAATTATAATATATATATATAAAACTTATAAATTAATTTAATTTTTAATACTATCAAAATTAAAATTATAAATATTAAAAAAAAAATAGAATTTCTTGAATAAGAATTATAAAAAATAAATACATATTATTAAAAAAACCAAGAAGAACTAAATGAATGGCAAAGTCGTTGTTAATCTCAAGAATCTTAATTAAAGATATTAAACTAATAAATTAATGAATAGAGTCTTCAAATAATAAACTAAAACAAATCCCATTAATCTATTGAAAGTTATGAGCTAAAAATAACTTAATTCACAAGCGAAATCGAGCGTTTGCGTTAATAAATTCAATAAAAATCTTCTGAATTATCCGAATACAAGAATAAATATAATAATATTGAAATAAACATAAACTAATATAAATCTTAAATAAACATTTTGAATTAAAAAATAGTTGAAATAAATAAAAAATACGAGATCCAAAATTAATCTTTAACAATAAAAATAAACTAAGAATCCGAATTCATAATTTAACAAAAAAACCTTGAAATCGAATAATTGAAAGCCTAATATACAAAACTAGAAAATGAATGGAGAAATAAATACTCTTTAATAGAAATAAATATAAAAAATTACTAAACACAAATATCTGCCTTAAATTAAAAAATAGACTAACAAAATAGTATTATGGTTTCCCAAAACTCCCAAAAATTTTAAATTGAAGAGGAATCAAAAATAGCCAAGCTTTCAACCGAAATAGAAAGACTTAGAATATAACTTTCGTAAAAATAAACTGATATCGATTAATATAAAAAACAAATTTAAACCTTTGTAATTTCCATAAATGAATTGAAATCCTAATATATAAGCCTAGAATAAACTGCTTTAATAAATATTAACTCATCTTCTTAAAAAGTCACATAAGAATAAGAAAATAAAATATCTTTGTTATCCACTTAGATCGAAAAGTTGAAATTTCAGCTTTCCCAAAAATCTTCCGAATAAGAAATATGTATTAAAAAACTTTAATAGGAATTCGAATTATAAATAAACGAAAAAAATAGAGAAATAGACTAGTGGAAATCCAAATACTAATCCTTAGAAATTCAAATAAACAACTACTAAACATAAATAACATCCCTAAACTAACAAATAAACAACTTTTAATTAGAAATAGACCAAGGAGATGATTTATAAGGTAAAATAATTATGATTTCTACCGAATTAGAAAGAACTAGGTAATAATTATAATTAAAAATCTAAGAAATTGACCAAAATAAGAAATCAGAGTTGAATTTCTAGGCTAAAATTAAACAATTAAATGCCGAAATTTTAGATCTTCAAAAATACTAATCTCAATATGAAACTCTTTAAATATAATTATAATAAAAAATAAAAGAAATAAACGAATGGAAAATCAAATACGAACAATAATAAACACTAGTAGTATAAAATAAAGACATTTCGAACTCTGAAAGAGAAAATTACATATTAAAGGATTAAATAAATAACATACTTATTAAATATGTACTCTAATGTGTCGAGACAGACTATTTAAATACAATGTTAAAAACATAAAATAACAATACAGATTTTATTGCAGCTTAAAAATAAAATAATAAAAATATAATCAAAGGTGATATTAATGTAGATAATTATAATATAGTTAATACTGTTTTTAGTACTAATATTGAATCTTTAGAGGATGGAGGAGAAAGAAACTAAAATGTTTAATAAAATTTATATTATACTAATGGTAATAATAATAATAATAATAATAATAATAATAATAATAATAATAATAATAATAATAATAATAATAATAATAATAATAATAATTAAAATGAAAATATATTTATCTAATCAGATGGATATTAATAATCCTAAACATTTAAAACTAGTGAAAGTAATAAACCCATTTATATAGGCAATTATTTAGATAATGATTTTTTGTAAAATTAATAATAATATTATAGCTCTTATTCTAATAATAGAGGTGCTTAGATTTCCGATTTGGCTAATAATATTCTTAAATAAATTTAATATGATAACTCGTAAAAATATTGATTTTTTTTTATATTTTTCTTTTTTTTTTTTAATTTTTTTATATTAAAAAATAAATATTTATTTCTGATTATTTTTAAAAAAATAAATAAATATTGTATTTTATTTTTTTCAAATTATTTTTTTATTTTTATAATTTTTTAATTCTTCTTCCCATTTTGCTTTTTATAAAGCTTTTTAAGCCTTTTCCTATTCTTTTTTTTTTATTTCTTATTCATATAAAAATCTATCTTATTTAGCCTAATAAGAATTAATAATTTCTTCCTTTTTTTAAACTTATAAATTGTTTTCATTTTTTTATTCTTTTTAAATTTTTTCTAATTACTAATTTTTTTCAACTTAAATTATTTCTAATTGTTAATTATTTTCAATTTATTAAATCCTTTCATATTATTTATTTTTTTATAAATTATCCTAAATATAAATATCCCTTTCTTTAAATGCTTCTTCTTTTAATAAAATATGAGTATCATCAAAAAATAAATTTTCTTATTTTTTCGTTCCATTTAAGAAATCACAATGTATTAACTATTAAGCCTAAATCCTATTTTTGGCATCATATTAAATGCAATTATCTAGAAATTCTTTACATTCAGTACTTATATTTAAAGGATAACGAGGTAAAACTATAAAGCGAAAAAATAAAATATATCATTAAAAAAAAAGAATACCTTTATTAACAATACTTTTAAAAACTTCATTTATGGTTAAATTAGGATATGGAGGTATTCCAGTTAACATTTCAATAACTAAGCATCCTAAACTCCATATATCAGCCGAAAAAGTATGACCTGTTCTTAAAATAACCTCTGGAGCCATCCAATTAGGAGATCCTTTTAAAGATTTATTATATGAGCCTATATTTTCATAGTTTTATATATAATTTTATTAAGTAGCAGTGCCAAAATCTGTAAGCTTTATCATTCCTGAACTATCAAACAGTAAATTTGCAGCTTTTAAATCTCTATATTAATGTAAAAAATAAATAAAACATAAAAAAATTAACCTGTGAATTATTTAATTATTATGTAAATAAATTAAACCATTGACAATATCTTTTGTATACATAGCAGTAGTATATTCATCAAATTTACCTTTTTTATTTAATAATCTCCTTAATGAACCTGAAGGTATATATTCTAATATTATATCTACACCTAATGAGATATATATATAATAGATAGATATATATAAAAAATAATAAAAGAATTAAATATAAATATATATAAATATATAAATATATATAAATATATATATATATATATATATATATATATATTTATATATATACATATATATATCATATTTTTATTACCTGATTTGTCATCACAAATTTCAAAATCATAATATTTTACAATATTTGGGTGGTTTAGTTTTTTCAATAAATATATTTCCTATTTTAATTAAATTATTTCTTTTTTAACTTATTCAAATTAATCTGATACTTTAATATATTTTATAGCTACTATAATTCCTGTAGATATATCTAACGCTTTAAATACTTTTCCATACGTTCCACTATCAATTAATTCGGTTTTTATATATCTTTTAGTTATATTTTATTTTTCATTTTATTTTTGATTTTATATTTAATTCTATTAGAATTCAGTTTAAACATTGCTTATTTAATCTTTTTATTCATTTATACACAGTTATTATCTTTTTTATTTTTATTAGTTTATTTATTATTAAAGCTATTATTAAGATTATTAATTTTCATTATTATATTAATTTTTTAATTATTCATTATTTTTGTTTGCTTTATTTATATTTAAAATATTTTCATTTTCATTTCCTTTTTCTAATTTTAAGTTTTCATGATTATTCTAAATTTTAATTTAACTTGTTTGTTTAATGTTTTCTTGTTTTTATTTTTAAAAAATAATTTTTTTTATTACATTATCTTTAATCAACATCATTTATATTTTGTATTGGTATTTCTTTTATACTTTAATTTTCTAATATTTGCTTATAACTATCAATTTTATTATTAAATTTCTTTTCTATTTATATTTTTTTTAAATTATTTTTTAAAGTTCATTAATAAATTTATAATGAATGTTTTTAAAACTTTTTTGAGTTAGTTTTTTTGTTATTATAAAAAACATAAATGATTAAAAATATTACAAAATAATATATTAACATGATTTTTCGATAACTGATTATGCTATTTTATAATTTCCACAACCCATTAAAATTTAAATTTAAATTTAAATTAAGTAAAATATATAAATATATATATTTATACTAAATATTATATATTAATATATAATATTAAATGAAATTTTAATACATAAAATATTTTTATATATATTTAAATATAAATGAATAAAAAATACATATAAAAAAAATATTAATATTTTAAAATAAATATTAATATATATATTAATAATTATATATATATATATTATTTTTATATTAATTTATATAATAAAAATATTTCATTTGACATAACAACTTAATTTTTTCAATATTAAATTTTTAGTTTTAATTTCTTAATCAATTTTACTTTTCATTTCTTAAACTTATCTAATTTTCTCTTTTTTTACCCTTTCACAATCATATAAAAGCATATCAATTTTCTTTTCGTATCCGTTTTTCATTCTTTCATATTCTTCTTTAAGTGCTTCCTCATAAGTATTTAATGCTTCTTCTTTCAATTCGTATTTTTAACTAAAAATTTCAAAAAGTTTATTTTTTCTAATTAAACTTAATAATTTTTATCCTATAAATCTAAACATATATTTTAATATTCTTCCAATTTAATTTTCAAATCTTCCATTTTAACTCTAATTTATGCACATTCCCTTTCTAAATCAATCATTTTATTTTCAAAAAAAGCATTAGTTTCATCAATTAAACCTGTCCAATATTAAGGATCATCCTTAAAATTACTTGGCGGGTTTCCTATAATTTTTTAATCTGTTTATTATTATTATATTTATTTTTATTAAAAGCAAACTTAATTTTTCGAAATATTTTCTTATAATTAAGCTTCCAAATCTTTAATTTTATTATTTTATATTTATATTTATTCTTCTAATATACTTATTTTTTAATTTTCTTATTCTTTTTTTTATACTCCCTTATTATTTTATAAAAAAATCTTTATTAAAATATTTAATCTGTTTAAATTTTCAAAACTCGCGGTAAATTTATTCATTTAATAATTTTAGTTTTAAATTTAAATATTACCTAGTTTTGTACCATTTGTACTACTTATATTTTCATTATTTACAGTATTTTATATCTCAGAGTTATTTTCTAATATATTACTATATGATTCATCGCTTTTTAATATATTCAAAATCTCAAATTCTGTCATTTTTACACAATATATATCGAAAAATAAACATAGTCTGTATAATTTCTTCAAAGCTTCTTCTGTATTGTCTTTACAGTTTAAACTTTGACATATTTTATTAATGTCAATGTCAGTTTTTTATCTTTTTTCAATAATTTCTTTGACATTTAGGTCGTTATTTTAAATTAACCATTTTTTAAAAGGTTATAAATGGGATTTATTTAAACCTAAAATAGTTTTTCGAAACTTATTTTGAGGATCTAGATCACTTATTTATTATTAAAGTTAGATTAGATCTGCTTTTATGCTTGATATTTGGGTTTATTCATCTTATTGTAAGGAAAATATTTAAAGCTAATATATAAAGTCTTTTTCTTTTTCTCTTTCTTTGTCTATATTATTATTTTGACGAAAGTTTTAGCCTGATAAACGCATTCTGGTAAAATTTTGGCTTGTATTCATTATTTTCTTTATTTATTTTTTTAAATAAAAAATTATATACAAAGTATTATTTTAATAAATATATAAAGATTATATATATATTTATTTATTATTTTAAAAAAGAAATTAATTATATTAATTTTTAAAAAAATTTAAATAAATATTATTTTAACTATATATATATATATATACAAAAAAAAAAAAAATTAATATTTATAAAAGCTTCATTTTTAAAAAATAAAAAAATTAATTAATGTATTTTTTTTATTTTATTTTTTCATCTATTTTTATTCTAATCAAATTATTAATTAATGTTACTATTTTTATTTACAAGTTAATTTTTAACTTTTTTACCAAGAAAAAACACAAAAATAATAATAATAAATAATATCAAAATCATCAAAAAAAAAGAAATATAATAAGCAAATTTGGAAATTTTTTTTATTTATTTTTTATTTTATTTTCATATTTTTAATTTTCTAAACTTATGTTTTCTTAGTTTTCTTAATTATTTTTTTAGTTTTCTTATTTTTTTTTTAATTTTCTTTATTTTTTTTTAATTTTCTTAATTATTTTCTTCATTTTTATTATTTTTCATCTTTTTTTCAGCCTCAATTATTTCAACAGTTACATTGCTTTCTTAATTTTTATTCTCTCCATTTAAAATTTCTTTCTCTTATTATTATTATTATTATTATTGCTATTATTTCTACTCTTCTTATTATTTTTACCATTATAATTCCCATTCATCTATTTATTTTTAATTATTTTATTTAGAATCTTCTTATTGTTAATTGCTTCTATTATCTTATTATTCTTGCATTAATTATTAATTATTTTCATCTTATTCAATAAATTAAGCTATTTAAAATTATATGCCTTCAAAAAAACTATTCATATGTGAAAAAGGACTAAATTAACCATTACCTTAACTAAAAATAATCTATAAATCATCTAAATCATTTAAATTTTATGTTAATTAATTATCAGCACCTTAGATATTATCTATTTATTTATATAATTAATAATTATATTATATAATACCATATTATTGATTTTACCTACTATCGTTATTTCGGTTATATAATCTCCATTTTAAATTATTTATTTACGAATATGAAGCGATTTTAATTATTAAAAATTAAAATAAGAGTAAATATTTTATTTATCATTTATATAAAAAAGTATTAAATATTAAAAAAATATACTAAAAAATATTTTCTTTATTTTTAAAATATATGTATAATTATATATAAATTTAAATATATATATATATCTATATCTATATAAATAAATATATATATATAATTATATATATATACATATATAATTATATATATATATTAATTTTAATTTTTTTTTTTTTATTCTATATTATTTTGTTAGTCTTTTTATTTTTAATATGAC